ATTTGCGGGCAAAATGATAGGTCACTTCTAGCATTCATAACTTCAGAACAGTTTAAGGTACAAACATAATCCACATATCAGGACATTCAGCAGAGTTCATATTCCGACAAAAAAGGTGACAAAAGACTGCAGTGTCCCATTCAACACAATGAGTGCACTTTCCCTATTTCCCTCAAAATCACACAAACAGGCCCTAAAACACATTTTAACAGATAAACAACAATAAACATGACAAATATTATAAAATAAATAATATCTAGCTCTTTCTTTCAGTTTACATTGATTTTGAGTATTAAAAATATCTGATAATAAATATGTAACTCAATTTGTAGTTAAAAATAAAGGCTGTCTTGCTGTGTATCAGAGTTTTAGCACTCAGCATGAATTCAAGAGGACAGAAAATCAATAAAAAACATGTCCGCCTCATGCTAATTGTTTATTTTTTGCTCATAATGACCCATAGAATGAATCACCATCAAAATTATTGCACTTGCAGCTCAGACACTCCAGACTAACAATTTCTGAAAAGATAACTACACCTGCACTTGTTTTCAAGATCTCTGTAACAAAAAAAATACAAAAATTTGCAGGCGCTTGGTACATTTTTTATCAAAATTGACCCAAATCCATAAAGATCACATTTCTGTTAATATTTACATGTCAAACAATGGCATATCTGAGTAGGGTTCTAAAGGCTAGTTTTTTGTCATTTGTGAGTGAAAGCAATACAATTAATGAAATAAAATGAATGTTTTAATTGCAAATTCTGCAAATATTGACCTTGCTGGGTCAAATATTTTCCTTCTGTACACAGTATAAAAAGTCATTAACAGATTGTTGTATACAGTGACATCATACGCCTGAACCTTTATGTTTCCACAACATTGCTGATGCTATTCAGTTTCATTGTACTGTATACACTATTTCTGTCTTGTATTGTTTGGAGCAGGAGCCATTTCTAAAATGTATATTTTGCCCCCTTCACACAAGTGTTGGTTTATTCATTCAAAAGTTTAGACAACTTATTATTCAACATTTCCTATAAAATCAAGGTTGGGGGGAGTTTACTATGAAAATTTGATGGCACTTAAAACAAGAGTAAAATGATTATTCAATAATAAACTTTACTCCATCTCCTCCCAAGGGTATTGGTTTAAGATCCATCACTCCAGAGAACACAGTTCTACTGCTCCATGGCCTATGCTTGGCACTGAGCATGGTGGTGACCTTAGGCTCATGTATGTCTGCTCTTGTACACTTACGGTACATTACGTTTGTTTACACAAATGCATTTTAAACACATTGACACCTCAGCACATCTTTCATCTGTGATGAAAACTGTATTCATGGGACTGAGGAATAGAAATATTACAGGCCCATCATGAATCATGTTTCTGCTGAAAGTGGACTCTTCAGACTTGCTGTTTAAACCCTTAAAATCCCAGCTTACTACATTCTACAGTTTATTATACAGTGCATACTGTGTTATTAACTTATAGATGTGTGTAATAAATCAATGTAATTTTTTGAGTTGAATAAAACTAGTTCAATCGTTTGTTACTACAAGAGTATTTTTTAGGTTGATCTGATGAGCCGTTTTTTACAGTCAACACACATCTCTTTTGTACATCTCTTAAACCATTATTAAAGAAATTAAACTGACCAAAGAAATATCTGTTTCAGGGGGTTTTGTAAATTTGTGTCCACTCACTGCCCTCCAAAAGGCAATGTTAATGATGACTTAGCTCCACCCACACTCAGCACAACTCTTTCATGTCATATATTACTAAAAATGTTGTTTTCTGTAGAATCTAAATATAGATCTCACTGGCTTCTAATGCCCATTTTGAATAGTATTTTAATATTATATCATATAATATAAAGTAGTTATTTACACTTTACACTGTAAAAAAGTACACTGTAAAAAGTGACCCATCAGATCTACTTAAAAAATACTTCATGTGGTAACAAGTAAATTAACTAGTTTTATTCAACTCAGAAACTTACTTTGAAGGAATTGTTCATTCATAGTATTCGTTTGGGTGGAATAAAACTAGTTGATTTACTTGTTACCACATGAAGTATTTTTTTAAGTAGATCTGATGAGTCACTTTTTACAGTGTAGTCAATTTCAAAATGTAATAGGATTATGTTGGTTATTACATCCTGTAAAAGTAACCTCACGGCTCATCGTATTTATTTCTGTTACTCACTCTTAATGTCACTTAATTTAAGATGATTTCACTTGCCAAAATGTTTTTTTTTTCTTTTACACAGTGTACACTGTAAAAAGTGGCTCATCAGATCTAACTAAAAGAATTACTTCATGTGGTAACAAGTAAATTAACTAGTTTTATTCAACCTAAATAAATACTTTGTATGAACTATGATTCTTATGTATCATCATTTGATTCTTATGTATCATCATTTGTATATATTCATATATATTTCTATTTTTTCTGCTGCTATTTAGTAAAGGCTCCAGTGTATTTGTTCCAAATGCCAAATAAGAATATCTTGAATCTCAAATCTTGAGAGGGACTTTGCTGAACTCTCTCGACCTTTCCAATGCAAATTGCATCCTTAAGGACTGCCCGCCACAGGTGGCGCAGCTGGGATTTGTTTCTGAATCATGGATCCAGTAAACAGCCCCCAGAAGTCCGCTCAGTGAGCTTACTGTACTATCACTGATTAGGGCTGGGATCTACAGTTGGGATTTACTTCTCTCAGTGAGGGAGAGACCAGAGAGACCAAAGCAGAAGCAAAGTCCCTCTCTGACCTTTTGTTGTATAACACACCAACCAGCTGTGCATCCATGTGGTTTCAGAGTTGAGCATGTATATGAGTCGAGTATATGATTTGGGTCCTCAGTATAAATAGAAATAAAATCATACTAAATTAAAATAAAACTAAACATTCATAAGGAAACATGAAAGCTTATTACAAAATTTTGTCATACTGGGCTGTCAAATATCTTTTGTTCCTCATGTTGTGTACAGTACTGTACAAAAATCAGAGACCGTTAATTTAATTTACAGTGAAAAAAGGCATTAATTCTGGAGATATTCTAAGGAGATAAGATAATACACATGCATGAGAAAAAATAAGTGAAAACAGGTGTTTCCAAAACTGGACCTTGAAAAATGATTAAAGGATACAGAAAAAATGTGACTGCTAACAACTGTGCAAGACCTGCTAGACCACCAAAACTGTCCTCACCCGATAAACAGCATTTCAGCTTTCATCTCTGAGAGAGAGGAGAAAATCAAGCTGCTTCAGATCTGAAAACATCCACAGGTGTTTCTGTCCATCCTTCCACTGTGAGAAGACAACTCAGGGCCATGAGTCTGAAAGGATGTGTAGCTGTCAAGAAGCCTCACTGAGAAAAGGAAATCAATCAAATAAAGAAGCTGCTGGTTTTTTCAGAACAATGGACTGACCTCCCCAAAGTCCAGACCTCAACATCACTGAATGTGTTTGGATTACTTACATTGTGGAGAGCCAAAAATAAACAACTACTAAGTTTGAACTTTGGAGGTGTAGAAAAATCTCTCTGCAGATTTCTTTGAAAAACTGAAAGCGAGTCTCCTGAGTGGACACTTTAAATACTGAAAAACATCTGATGTTATAATTTACAGTATTGTAACTTATATTTCTGTCAACATGGCAAAATCAACATCATGTTAAATGATCACCTGTGGCATTAAATTGGTCTCTGATGTGCACTGTTTATTCCCTCACTCAACGCTTACAGCATGCCGTAAGTGTTAATGTAACACTGCTTACTGAACAGGAAAAATACTGTGGTGTCCCTCCGCTGGTCATGCTGCCGCAGGAGCGTGGGAGGCATGGCCATGCAAAGAGGCTTTTAGGAAGCTTCGCACTTTCAGTAAGAGAAGCACTTATTTTAGATACGTTTTTGCTGTTAGCTTAACATGTGGACATGTGTTGTTTGGGCTATTCTGTGCTGTGCTGTGGGGTAGTTGTTAGTGGCTACTGTAGAGAGAAAGTGTGTAGCTAGAGGTGACCTGCCTGCTATCCTGGCTGCTTGAGTAGCGCTGAGTGGTGGTTCTTCCTTGCTGCTTGTTTAACAAAAGAGCTTTTGCCTTTAAAGTACAACGTTGCCTGTGGCTTCTTCTTCACTGACGCTACAATATCAGCAGAGACGCATCTTAAAAATATAGGTGCCAAGGAGGGTTCTTTGCACAGTTCCATAGAAAACCCTTTTGGTTCTCTAAAAACATTCAGTGGATGGTTCTTTGAAAAAAACATTTTTGTCTCTGAGATGTGTGAGAATATAAGGAACCTTTTTAAAGTTTAAAGAACCTCCAATAACATAAAGGTTCTAGAAAGATCTACAGAAAACCTGTACATTGACACAGAACCTTCACATAAAGGTGCCAAAAAGAGTTTTTTTGCATGATTTCGTAGTAGAACCACTTTTAGTTCCCTAAAATAACTTTTGATTTTGGAAGTTTTTAGAGTAAGTGAGATGTGTGAGCATAGAGAACCTGTTTAGCTTGCACTCATGCATCTCATTATAATAAATAGTTCTTTAGGGAACTAAAAGTGTTACTTCTATGCCATCGCTTGACTTTAAGGAGTGTAACGATTCTATAACAATTTATGGCTTCTTCCTAGAACCAACTTCATTATGTGGAGGTTCTTTAAACTAGTAAAAGGTTTTTCCATCTCAGTTACAAAAATGGTTATTTAAAGAACCATTCATTAAAAGTTAGTTTAGACGTTTATTAGGTATTTATTTTTTAGGTATAAATGAAAATTGGTATCTGTAGTGTAGCATCATGTTGTCGTTGTTGTTGTTGCTGTTGTTAATCATTATTACTGGTAATAACAATAAGAACAATAAGAACAATAATCCAACCTTACAGACGTGGTTTTCTTTCTGTAAGAAACACACACCCCTACACACAAGCACACAGAATGATGTGATTAGTAAACAAACCGGCCAGGCAGGTAGAGAGAGAGTGAGAGAAAGAGTGAGAGCGAGGCAGCAGGCGTGCCCATTGCTCATGAGTGCAACAGTCTATAGAGAGTACCCGTCTGTGCTCAGTATTGCCTTGTATCAGGTTTCAGCCACAGACGTGTGAATCGCGGAGGTTCCTACACAGTTAACTCCTGTTGGAACAGTTTTTATTTATTATTTCCTTCCTTTCTGCTGCTGTTTTATATTCAGTCAGGTGGAGGTCTCACATGGGGAGCACTTTCTGTTAGGATTTACCCAGCAGGCAAAATGCTCTTTACTCACCGCATGTATTATTTTCCATAACGATTAACCAGTCCTGTAGAAAACAAGGTACAGTAACTCATTTTAATTCATTTTTCATGTTCCTCATGGTCTCATTCATTGTGAATGATAATATATGCCTCAGTTGGAGTTGTCAGCTTTTTCTGTGGAGAAGGTTGCTGGAGATTTGTTCCCGAATCTAAGCATCAGTGATGAAACTCATGGGAGATGCAACATTTTTTCCTTGGCAGAAAAGCCTACTGCTTTTCTACTATGATAATGATAATGATAATTAGGTTATTAGTACAAAAAAGGCAGTGGCGTATAGATGTGTATAAATATATTGAATTATGTTTAACAGAAGTGTAGAAAGAAAGTGGTTGAAATCAGCTGTATGAGCCAGTGAGTTAGTATTGTTATTATAACAATAATCATAAAAATAATCATTATAATAACATAATTGTATTATTATCTATTTATATTATTATGGAAAATTACATGCAAGTGTGCAATTCTTAAGTTATTGTGTTTTTGGTAGGTTTGATTTTACAATATCAGTGTCCTCTGGAAAATCTGTGGTGACTCATATGAAACATCTGTGAATTTTGGCCTTTACCTCAAGTGAGCTGTGTAAAATCTCCTCAGGGAAATGTTTAAGTGGAAAGTGGGAAGATTTTAAGTTTTAGACTCATTTCACTTAAAAGAAATGCTTAAGAGGTCAGTTTCTAGGACAGCATTAAGCCCATTCCTGGCCTATTAAGCCTATTCCTGGATGCTGTGTAGTCTGGGACTAATTAATTAATTATTTCTAATCGTTTTTCTCTCTTTCATATACACTCCTAAAAATGAAGGTTCCTAAATGGTTGTTTGCTTTAATTGATCTAGATGCTTTTCATTATGTGGAAAGTTTTTTAGAACTTTTTTAGTTTTAGTTTTTTAGAAAAGGTTATTTCAAGTGCAAAAATGGTTCTTTAAGGAACCGGCTACTGAAAGGCCCTTAGTGGGAACCAAACATGGCATCACTCTGAAGATACTCTTTTGGCTTCCTTTATTTTTCAGAGTGTACCGTGTACAATAAAAATGAATTCATGTCGAAGAGAAAGCAGAAACCAGGACCTGCATGTTGACTGTGTAGTTCTAAGCATTAAAGACAGTGTTTAGATATTTGCTTAGCGTTAGCATAATTTTTCACTGTAATCAACCTTTTATCCTCAGTTGTGGACATGTAGCCTTCATCAAAGGATGATCTGAAACATAAAATGATATGGAAATCTAGTTTATTTGTTTGTTTGTCTGATCAGAATGAAAGCCATAAACGTCAAAATGCTCCTTAAATTGTTCCTTAAATGCCTTGAGAGTCATGATTCTCGTACTATCCAATATATTCAGCAGAGTGTTGATCGTATTATGTTTCGTTGATTTTCTAAATGAGAAGAAGTGAACACATCCTTTACAGAGAACGAGTGTAAGTGTGTCTGTATTTGCTGAATTTAAAATATTGGGAAAAAAGCATAAAATATTAAATATGCCATAACTTTTGCACAGGCAATTGTTTTTCCCAATATGATCAATTCAGTAGAAAAACAATAATTCCACTTAAAAATGCAGAAGTATGTTCTCTGTAGAAGATGTTTTAACTTATTTTCTAAGTCAAGTGAAAAAGTCAAAACATGTAATTTGACTGGGGAACCAAACTTTTTACTATATATTGTAAGGTTAAAGGAAGACGTTGGGCTTAGATATAACAGAACGCACTTTAACCCCTTAAAAGTTTAGACTTAGGCCTACTATTGAGTAACTACATGGTCTTCAGTGCAAACTGGCTGAACCATTCTTAGGTTATACAAGTGTGTAATAAAACTTTGGGTCTTCGCTATTTAGGCTAAGTCTCAGCTTCTATAGTTGTTTGTGTTGTATTTTTCAAATTTCAATATAAGATACTCATATTTGTTTGTTACAAATAACAATGGTATACAAATACAGATCTACTGGTTAGACAAACAAGTTGATGTCAAATACAAAGATTGTTACAACCTACACTGTGAAAAGTGGTTCGTCAGATCTACTTAAAAATGACTTCATGTGGTAACGACTATTTGAACTAGTTTTATTCAACTCACAATATTACTTTGAAAGAATCGTTCATTCAAAGATTTTATTTAGGTTGAATAAAATTATTTAATTTACTTGTAACAACATGAAGTAATTTTTTAAGTAGATCTGATAAGCCATTTTTTACAGTGTACCATACGACCAGTGTGGTTGTAACAGTAGATGGAGTAGGTTGTTATAGTGATATTAAACATGTCCACAATGTAATATTAATGAAAGTTCTTATTTAGCTACATTTGTCAAGTACACTTTATGTTTTTAGATAAAGCACATCGGGGGAAATGAAATCTTCTTTGCTTTTAAGAAAAAAAAGAGTTTGATGTAGTTTGTAGTAAACACACACTCTCCAGTCCATACTGTCCACATATGGAAATTAAACTTTAACTGCCCATTATGATTTAATTATTTGGTCACAATTTCTTTTGACAGTCCCCTATAGATGATGTATAGATACTTAAATTATTACCAAACTCTCTGGTGATCGTTGATCATCAACACCATTACTGTAAGGGTTGGGTTTAGGAGTGGGTGTAGGTTTTGTGTTAATGTAAGGTTTAGGTTTAGGGTTAGATTGAATAGAATCTATCACACTCAGCTTCAAGTTCAGTTTTATTTTACAAGATATTTAGTTGAAAGTTAGTTAAAGACAAGCAGAGCATCTACAAAGCATCTATAGAGGGCAATCAAAATAAAATGTTACCAATTGTTTTGTAAAACTGTAAAACGTTTCACTTTTCAAAATTTCAATGTAGGCAGAAATGCAATGTGTTCTCTAATCTCTGTGAGCCCCGTTCCCCCATCCAAAGTCATGACATGGCTGAGTTTTTAGCATGTATGTTTTAAACTAACATACATATTAAACATCAAACTAAACTAGAGAAACTCCTGATTTACACCGTATTAATTAGAACATACAACCTGCATTAATCTGAGTTCTAACCAGTTTATATAACCAAGGTGTGAAATTTTACGTTCTTACTTTAAAATCTGTTTTTTGTTATGTATACACATCAGGGTTTCACCTAAAGTGTTTTAACTTGAGAGGGTCTTATGTGCTTACAATAGCTTTATCACCACTGTAGCTGGGGAAGTTATCACTTATCTTGTGTTACAACTCTCCCCAGCTTTCCCTACTGAAAATAAACAGTGCTTTGGATTTGCATGATGTGTCTAATGGATGCACATGAATGAAATGTTTTACATCATATTTTACATAAGACAGTTCTTGCCAAAAGAAGTAAAACTGAAAGACAGTAAGTGATGCAACATAATTTGTTCATGTGCAACCATTCACAGAACCAATTTAAAGCAATCACATCTTCAAATGATCAAAAACCATTTTAGTATGTGCTTTAATATCAACACAGTTCATGAGCTGCTTTACATAGTGAGATTATGTAGTTGCATGCAACTGCAAGGTAAAATTGATCAATTGAGGCCACACATTTTTTCATATCACCGCTGTCCAAAGAAAAAATCTTGATTTTTTGCAATTTTTACTTTTCTGTATCATTTGTGCACGGCAGCTGTCATTACAACTGTCATTGCCATTCTTTTTATATTCTATATCTCTATATCTGTCTTTTATCTATACATCTCAGGTTCTTACTAGTACATATTTGAGTTTTTCACCTGTTGAGTGTTTAAGTAGCCATTATGGTTACAGCCTACTTGAGGTCTTGCTTATTCTGTCCTAAAAGACTCAGTCAGACCTCGGCTAAGTCTCCGATTCTGTAAAAACTTATATTTTAACCATCTCCTGTTTTAGTTTTATGTGCATGGTGAAATAAATGGTTTGAAAGAATGTCTTTTGATGTAATCACTTGGTGCATTATTGGCATTTTGCTTGGCAGTTTCATGAAACTAGTTTCACAAAGTTGAGAGGCTTGCAACTGTTACAGCTGAGTTTCAACTGCTTTACCTCATGCAACTCAAAAGCAATTTCGTTTCATGAAGGTTTCAAGCAACTAAAGTTGTATGAAGGTTTCACCACGTAAAACCAGCCTTACAGGTCTCAACCTTTGTATTTCCAAAGCAGTTTTCAGAACCCTTTCCTTCTAACAGTGTGGAGCAAGAACATGATTCCACTGTTTTCTTGAATGTTAATTGCAAAGACTCGGTGAAACTGATTTCTTTCTTTTTTATCTCTTGTCTAGGTTAGTATCCTTCCTCTGATGGCAGGATTCTTCCAGCAACTTCGACTTCTTCTGTGGAAAAATGGCCTTAGTGTCATCAGACAGCCGGTGAGTTCCCTATACAAAAGATTTGTAGTACAAACGACCATAAGCCACAAAAACAGAAACAGAATTTGTTAGATTTGAACTGAAAAGACTGTGTCATTCTGTTCTCAGGGCTGGTCTCTGTCTCTGCTCATTTGGCCTCTGGTGATCTTCATCATCTTAGCCATCACCCGCTCACAGTTTCCCCCAACCATCAAAGACACCTGTAAGTTTGATGATTTTATTGACTGGCGATTTATTAAACTTTGTTAATAAAATCACCAGTCATTGGACTAATTGTTGGACTAATCATTGGACCAAATTAACTATCAGTGTGGATTTTGCATTGGGACTATAACAATGGTAATACTATGGGAGCTACAGTTTGGCTGTACTGCTGATGATAATTTAGTTATTCATCTCTTTCCTATATAGTTGATAAAGCAGCATAGCTATGACCTACTAGTATTGCTGGCAATTTAGCTTCAGGTGACTGTTCCAACATAATTGGCTTGAGTTTACTTGTCCAGTAACACACCAGCATTGCCAGCATGATAACTGCAGATGTACTGCTGTGTGGTTAAGAACACAGTGTGCTGTTGTTAACACTGTTAAAGCTAAACCTGTTTGAGAGTGTATGTTCCCTAATATATCATCAGTGTCGGAAAAAAAGCCTTGTATCTCTATAACAGTAATTAACAGGAGAAAGAAAACTATTCTTCACTCTGAATGTAAGCAAATATAAAGATTTAATTCTAAGTCATTTTGACCAATGCAATGGTCTGAAATGTCAACACATTGTAAACAGCAGCTGGAATTAAAAAAAAAAATAAAGATACAATGTTTTGTCCCAACAGCAACAATTTAAAGGTCTAGTCATTTTACAAGAACAATACTCTATGGCTAAAGATTCTTTAAAAACATGCTAAGATAACCTTATTTTCAACAAGAAATGTTCCTTTTTCTTATGAAAAGGTTTCTTATAAGGTCTGTCTGGGGAATCATACATTTGGGAATTCATTAGCACATCAAACTATAGCCTGATTATTTTGTAATTAATCTTAAGACTTATTATTCAGTAACTACACTGTAACTACTCAGTAACTACTATGAATTGTTTGGTAACTATATGTTATTTGATGTTTTATCTTTGCAAAGAAAAGAAATAATTCCTCAAAGATCTGAATATGACTGTGATGCCTCATGTGAAACACATCTATGCATACAGAACTGCTTCTCCCCTCTTTGCTATTAATGAACGAAACATCAGTGTCTTTTTCTATTGAATAAGCACAATAGGACATAGATTGAGGTGTAATGTGATGCTAGTGCTTTTTCAGTATCGAACTCGTGAGAACATTCATATCGCCCTCCATACACTTGGCGTCTCATGCTTCAGCAGGAAAACGGCAGATTATTTAGCCACACCTAATCCTAGATCCCCATTCATAGACACAATTACTAATTGTTATGTAATCTAGAATCAATGATTATGCATAATAGTGTTTAGTATTTACAACATTTTGCAGTCATGGTGGTTCTTTCCACTTATTGTTTGTGTGGATACCAAGAGGATTGAAAAACCTTAAGTTAAATGGTGTTTTCCTTGTACTGTAGCTGCTTAGCATAAAGGTCCACTGGGATATTGTTCTTGCTCACAGTGTTGTTGACTCATGATAGAGTTCTCTTGGGTATCAGTGTGTTTTGTGTGGTCTCCTTCCTCTTTTGTAAAGCCCTCGTCTAGGCTAAGATGGATTACCCAGATACCCAACATCAAGGGAATTTGCGCCAAGGTATTTCAACGTTAGCTGATCAGAGGTCAGCTCCATATCTGGACTGAACATGTGCAGAGATTTAAAAGCAAGGGGCCTCTGCGCCCGTCTTTCTGAACAAAAGCAATATTTGCTTACGTGGAAAATGTATGGTTACTTTTGAACATATACAGGTGGTTAAATGGGCTTTACCTTGAGCAGACGGGAGGGGGATGATGAAAGTAATGGCTGAAAGCAGAGCCTCTTTCAGTGGAGCCGTGCTTTCAGTCCCATGTCCCAGATCTCCCTCCCATGAGGATCGTTTTTGTCTTGTTGCTCAGGAAACGATGAGTCATGTTGGAATAAAAAGCTGAAACATAAATGAATGGTGTTAACTTGTAACTTTGGGCTGAGAAATGGAGGAAAGAACTTCTTTATATGTGTTGCTGCTTTAGATATGGATATGTTTGAGCCTCCTGATGGCACCAAGTGCAAAAATGTTTATATGTAGGTTAGTTGTCAATAATTCTCAAAAACTTTGTGGCTTTTTTAAACTATAGTTTCTAGAGGAAAACCTCTCAAATCTGTCTTAGTGGTTCTGTTAAGAGCAAGTGGTTCGCTAAACTCGAGGGTTTCAACACAGCCTTCAAGAAAACCAATTAGCTACTTAGTTCATGACATCAAAGACCAAACCTAGTTCAAATGAAATGAAAAATACAGACCTGCTTAGCTCATCTCATTCAAACTCAAGCTGCCTCGGGATCGTCCATGTCATTGCAGTGTTGAAATGGTTCTTCAAGCATGCTTACCAATAATCTTAAGCAACCATTCAGGAGAAATTTTTTGTTTTATTGAAGAGATGTACCCTAAAACCCCACCAAGAACCATCTAAGAACAGTAGCTACAGCTAGATATACCAAGTTTAAGGTTTGCTGATTTTTGAACTTTGAGGTTGAGATCAGCATCTCCTCAGTGGAATCAAGTATGACCGCATTCCTTATCTGGCGCCTATCTTATCTCCATTTTCTAGAAAAAATGTTTTTCTATGAACTCAAAATAGTGCTTTCAGTACAGGGAAAAAGGCACAGACTAAACAGCCAGTCATTGGCTGACATCAACTGTTTTAAGAGATCTGAGTAGCATCCACAAAACAGACCGTTCCACTACAATGCTGAACCTTCTGTTTCAGGTTATGAATGAAACGTGACTTATTCAAAACAGTACTGATCAAAATATATTACTGATGTGTGTTCTCTTCCTCTGTAGTTATCACATATCCTCCACACAGTTTTAAAAGCTGAACTGAGCCTTGACACTTACCCTACCCAGCCTTCAAATCAAACTATTTAGACTATGCAGTGGTAATACAAGACAAAAGTCAAAAACAATGTTCTCTGAAATGTACTTTACAGTCATTTATATGCATCATAAGTGTATTTTAACTGTCCTAAACAGTGTGAATGTTAATGGAATAAATGTGGAAGACAAATTCAAATAGCATACTGGCAACTTCGCTGTTCTTTAATTCCCATAATTCATATTTCATGCAATACTAGACTGCCAGATGTATAATTTATGTTGGAACTAGGAATTATGTTGTAATGCAGGCTCTTAATTGTAAAGAGTAAATCTTCATAGCAACTCTTTGAAAGGTAGTTTTGTGCTGAAGGTATTCCCTCTGAAATTGTGAAAGATATAACATATGGGACATTTAAGCAGACACAGTGAATTTTCACCTGCAGGTGAAATCTGATATTAATAATACTATGACTAAAGCTATGGGAGTGTCATCAATGGTGTCGGAATAACTGAAACACAAAAAAGTAATAGTATGGTAGTGCTAAGCTATAGCTGGTGCAAATGAACATTTTTTGATTAGCATTAACACACTGCTGCTTTCCTCACATCTCCAAAATGGTAACTTTACAGGAGAAGGAAAAAAAAAACTTATAAAAAAATGACAAAAACATATAGCAACAATATATTTGACAGCAACAATTTATTTTACCTTGTATGTCTTACAGTGACTCTTTCAGTAATGAACCCTTGAATAGAGCTACTACCAATTCATTTGTGGCTGTTCTTGCATGAGAACTCATGTGATGGATACACGGCCACATTATTGTTCAACAGGATTCTTGGATGTATTTAGCCAAAAGCTAACACTGATTTCTTTTACTTTCCTTCTTTTTCTTTTCTTTTCTTTTCTTTACTTTGTTTTCCTTTCCAAACAGTACTAAAGCCATACATGCTCTTGGTTCCCATCATATACCTCAATAGATACATATATCTCAATAGGGGTCAACCCATTTCATTTCGCCTTATAAAATATGTTGTTTCATAGGTTTTGAGTTATACCTGTTTAACAATGGGATATGGACAATCCAGTATAATACGGATACATTTCTGTGGTTGCTAATGCTTGTGATGGTAGAAATACTAGAGTACTATACAATTTGGAGGCTGTGAATGCAAAGGTTATTGTCTGCAGAGGTTGACACATGTATATTTCATCCATTAATAATTTACCCCCTATAACTTCTTATTAATCTCAAAGGAAGAGCTCAATGATGCATGCAACATTAGCATTGTGAACTTTTACAATTCTTTTGAATGTTGGTAAAATACATTGTGCATCTTAACTTTACAGTATCTTAACCTCTTAAACTCCCAGGCTTATGACATTCTATTATTCAGCAACTATAGGGACCTCAATACAAACTGGCTGAGCTATTAGGTTATAAATATCTTAGGTTGTAGAAGTGTGTAATGGGCCCTGGTCATTTAAGGGGTTAAAATAAAATGTATGCAGTGCAGTGTAACAAGTGTGATGCCCCTCACTACTTTCCAGTCTCATTCTACTCAACAAAGCATGACAAATGAATAGTGTGGTGTGATGCTGGACTGACTCCAGTCACTTACCCAATATTGACTCCTATAAGTAATAACTGCGTGAAATGTTTCAGGAACTTTCTTGTGTTTAAGCAGTTTGTTTTGTAGAATTTGGCTTGTGCAAATGCTGATATCAGCAGGCAGGACTAGATAAATTAAATTTTAATCAGGCGAAAGTATATTTCTTAGCTTAAGATTAGGTGCTGTCAAAATGTATTTGCTTCACAAACATTTCACAACTTGTGACAGCTTTTAAGTCTGGAGTGTTGAACTGACAAGTTCACATGACCACAAGTTCTTTTATTATGCTTCTCTATATAAGGTCTTGTGATTTCTTGTAAAAAAAAGGACATGAACTTAACATTTTATCGAGTTTATCGAGACAAACTACACTTTAAAGGTGCACTATGTAAGACTTGGGGATTTGGAGACCTCTCTGGTGGAAATGTGTAATTGCACACAACATGTGGAAGAACATTTCGTAATGTGGGTTGTGTTTCAAAACTCTTCCCTGAGCAGATGAATCTAATGAATGCCAGGGCGCTGAAAGAGTATTCAAAGAGAACTCAGTAAAAAAGTTGAAAGATGCACCGAACATGTCTTCTGAGGATGAACAGTGTGGATTTTTTGTCAAACATGTTTCTAGTGAAGCTATTCAAATGAAATTTAGACCAGACATTGGAACTGACTGAGTAAAACTACACTGCCAAAGAAATTGTAACTTTCCACTCAATAAAAACTTCTCCTAAGTTTTTCACAAGATTTTCGACTAGGTAGTCGGAAAGTTAGTCAGAAGATTAGCCCAAGAGCCAAGGACCACTCAAAAAAGAGCTCCAGAAAGACCTGGAAGCAGCAGGTACAGTCATCACGGAAAAAACAATAGGCAACGCACTTCACCACCACAGTCTCCATTTGTGATCACGCTGGAAGACTTCATTATTATTATATATATTAAAAGGCAGGTTAAAGCTTGTATGAAGTTTGCTACAGAACATTTGCATACATTTACATTTACAGCATTTAGCAGACGATCTTATCCAGAGCGACTTACAAAAAGTGCATATACATACAATATGCATACTTACTCGCAAGTGCAAGCCAAACTGTCACATTTTACAGTCCCATTAAAACATAATAAAAAATAATAATTGAAAATAATAAACATATTATTGAATTGATGCCAGAATATTTCTCCATATTTTTGTGACTAAGCAAAATGAGTTCTTAAACAGTGGTTTTAGTATTCGAACACTGGCATCTCAAACTGTAAACTGTCCTCAAGTACTCATGTACATCACTAATTCCTATAGTTTTGTAATGCAACAGAAATATTTGATTTTCAACTCACTCCATGTTTGCTATTCTCTATGCTTTGTACGATCTGATTCTGGAACTTTCCCACCTCAGCCAGGTTTCTCTGTTATGGCGCTTTCAATCTTGAGAACTTTATATAAAACTCTTATTGTTGGAATAGACTAAAGGATTTTGTTCTGACTGAATGTCCTTCCCTGAGATGTGCTGAGGTGTCAGGAATTTAATATCATCAAGTAGGAACAGTTTTGTAAGCTAAAATCACATCTCACAATTTGGCTTATGACATGAGCATCGCTGAGCTGCAGATTGCCTTACCTGGGGTGTTTCGGGACACTGTATGGAATAATTGTGCATTATTGCACATGTAGACAGTGTTATGTTACAATTGATGCAATGTGTTCCACCATGTTGGGGACTTTCCATGGTTTGTTGAGTGGGCATGATTATGGGTCAGAGGACCTATCACTGTCAAAACTCAGAAGTGAAGAAACGCCGAGAAACAAATGAGAAATTCCCTGAAGTAAAAGAGCATATCAGCAAAATCAGTCCTGTTACAGTGAACATGAAAGAGAACTGACATCAGTGCTTTTTGTGTTAACAATGTACGTGAACTTTTAAAACTTTGTTATCTTCCTGTCCTTTTTTTAGCACTGATGAGATCTCAGACAACTTGTTGACAGCTGAACTCCTCTTGGACTGAGACACCAGTTGGGTAGCTCTAAATCATGGGTTGTTAAAGTTCTGTACATAACATACTTCTACATCTAAAGTCTGAATTGCTGAGCTGCGGTAAAATACCTTGTTATAGATCCATATGGCTGCAAACATCAACTGAATTCTGTATAATATGCAATGGTTACTCTTGTTCATGGAATAATCTTTGATCTAAATTTATTTTATTGAACATTGCATTGTATTATAATATATATGTCATTGTAATGCATACTTTTACATTGTATTGTTTTGGTTGTCACAGTTTTATAAAAGCAAAAAGGCTGTGTGGAGTGATTTAACCACTAGTGGAGTTTAACTTTGTGTCACATTGTGCCTAACAACACCATTTAATTGTGATAAACTCACTGTAACACACAACCTCTTGTGGCTTATTGCTGTAACATGCTAGTGCTGCTTTGTCTTCATGAGAGCACACAAACCGTTTCTCCTGAGTAATTTGCTTTTACCCACTAAGTAATAGAAGACTGCATCTGAATATTGTCACTATCATGAAAAAACTTCACAGGAGAAGAAGAAAAACTTTCTTAACTCTGAACAGAAGCTAATGAATTTTTTTCCCAATTATTTTTTTAGCTATTGATCCATTAGTCTTAATGACATTTTAACACATGGTTAAGGACAGCTGGCTTTTTCAAATTCTATAAAAAAACAAAAATAAAAACCTATAAAAAATGTAGATACAATATTTTGTTCTGAGAGTAACATTAGGTGTGTGCTAAGCCTCAATGTTCTTTAACCATAAAGCAACACTAACCAGACTAGGGTATTTTTGCACAGCATGGATCAATCGGACCACAAAATGAACTACAAACGAACTGTATTGAGACCACCTCGGGACGCTGTCTGAGTTTGTTTCGTTTGTGGGTCTGTTTAGAGAAAGCAATAAGTCAGTGGCCTCAGACCACAACATTGAACCAGTCCAAAACACCCAAATGCTATCACAATTAAATAGTCTACAGATAAACAATATCATCTGTAAAGTTCTTTCATTCTCTCTCTCAGGTGTTCCTCACTAGCTTGCTCTTCTATGTGTAGTTCTCCTGCTCTATCTGGTGTGCCTGCCATGAGAGGAAGACCAAAGAACATTTCATTTTGAGAAGCCCTACATGAGGACAAATTCAGAGGGAGAAAATATTCAGATCATAATGTATTTTGTATTCAGGAAAATCCTTATAGGCCTCACTAAACCTTTCCTCTACTCTTTTCAGGCTATGTGGCCCCGCGGAACCTCCCGAGCGCAGGCTTCTTCCCCTTCCTGCAGACGCTCATGTGCAACACTGACAGCTCCTGCTCCAACAAGTCTTACGCAGACAGAACCATCCGAGCATATTCCACATCCAAGAGCCACCGGCATCGCAGAGACACAGACACACAAAGGTATGGCCTAAACCATCTGCCCTCATCTAACCCTGCTGTCACAATTTTCACAATTTCACTGACTTTGCTACATTACTATTTAATTCAATGGTTGGCATGTAAACAAAATCATTCAGAATGATTTGATGTGAAATGCTCTGTTCTAGAGAAACTTAAAGCTCAGAGTTGTTCATAGTGGTTTTGATGGGAACCAGACAAGCCAGAAGAATTTTACCCCTTAAAATCCCAGTTTTATTACATTCTAAGACTTATTATTCAGTAACTACAGGGACGTCAGTGCAAACTGGCTGTGCTATTCTTAGATCATGGAAGTGTGTAATAAAACTTAGGGCCTACTAGTGGGTCTTGGCCATTTAAGGGGTTAATGTCTTTAAAAGCTAGTTCACAGAAAGCTATTTTGCATTTTGCATCAAACCACTCTGAATGACTTTGTTTATGTCTCATTGGATTATTCACAAATTTTGAAAAATAGATGGAAGTGCCCTTTAAAAAACAGCTTCACCTCTGTGGTAATATGTAGGTCTGTTTTGTGGGAAATCTGGTATTTTTTTTTTTCAGCACAGTGGAAATACACAGAACATTCTTCAGTTAAATGAAGAAGGAATATTCAAGATTCTGCCCTCTTTCTAGGTCACTATGCAGGTTTAAGATATTTTGTATTGCATCAAATTATAATATAATAGTGGTCTCTAGTGGTCAATAGTAATCTCAGACTTTTAGACCCCACTGTAAGACCTTCTTAAAATTGGGCACACCATGCCTTTTACATTTCACCAGCAATATATATATTAGTAGTGCCACTTTATGTCACTAAGCCTAAGATAACACTGAAGGGCAGTGTTCATAAAGCTATATGACATCTACACATTCCTTAAATAATATCTGACTTAAATCTATATAGATATTTATCAAGGACTATTCCAAGAAGCCTCAGTTGTCATAACACTTCTTGGGGTGAAATTGATTAAAGCAGCCTTTATGACAATCGATGCTTACTGGAATCAGCATTTGTAAAAACCTATATAGGTTTATATTAGTTGTTATGAAAGGCTTATGTAGGTGTCATGCAGCTTTATGAACACTAAAGTACAATAAAGTACCAATCAAAATAATATTTGCACAGGTGGCAGCACACTGAGCCTTAAACATCATATTAAGGAAGACTTCTTGGACTCAATAGTATTTGTATTCTGACTTGTCTCAGTCTCTGCTTTTGGTCTCTGGTTTCAGCCAAGACCAACCACCGTTTGAAAAATTGTATTTATTTGTATTGTCTTTCCTTTAACTGTCACCAACATGGTCTGACATTCACTGAATCAACTCATGATGAACCAGACCATCTGTTTGTGTGTGATTCAGCCAACTGGAAATGGCACTGGTTGGATTTATTCAGAGCAGGCAGTGCACGTTGATTAATGAATGTTCTAAAGGTGTTGTTTTACATAGTTTTTTGTCCATTCATCCTTCCACTGAAACATGATTAGACTTTCTCTCTGGATAAAAGTGCACATCACTGTCTACAAACTAAACAAATTCATTCACATTCAGGATTTACCCCTTTTACGTTTTTACTGTCAGCCTCTGCCAGGGTGTAGACCATTCTTAAATCACTCCACCAAACAACTGGAAAAGACCAAGAAAATTGAACTGGAAGCAGTTAAAGACTAGTTAAGACTTGTAGATGATTCAGTTTTGTAGGGTCTTGATTCTGTAGACTTGATCCTTACTCGATCTCGACTGGTCATAGACCCTGCAAACACCTGGATGTTTCAAATAATCTCTAGGTTATAACCTGATAAGATTTGCTTCTCTGGTTAATCCCATTGCTAAACGGCATATAATATGCAAATAAACTCATATACAACAACCATTCGCTGGTGTTGTTCCTAGTTTTTATATTCAGAAAAATGTTTTCTATAGCATTATTAATTTTCCTCAAACTGGCATCAATGTTTACAAAAAATGTTTCTGTATTAGTCATCACGGTAGTGAGATGGTGAATAAAGATGAGGAGAAGTAAAGATTAATCAAACTGTCATTATTCATCAAACATTCATAGAAAAAATGGAATTTACACAGTTTTTCTCTCACACGAAACATAGTCGTTAGACATTATCATAGCCTCTTGGCTTCAGACAACAAATATGCTATGGCTGATTGACGAGCTTTTCTTGTGGTAATCTGTCATCACTGCTGAATCATTCCTCATTTGTGATGTGACCTTTTTCCTCAGTCAGTCAAACACTTACAACCTAAAAGACTGCTTAATGCAGGAGAGTTTTCAGTGTCTGCAGTTACAAAGGAAGAGAAGACACACCCTGATACCTCAGTCAGCATTTACACTGACACCACAAACGAACTCCGGTGCTCTCTAGCCCTACAGTAACCTGTCACGCAGCATATGAGGAAATAAATTCATTGCAGTGGCAAAAGTTAACTAGTTCCGTCATGTGGTTAAAAGCAAGGTTTTCCGCCCTTTGCGAAAGCCTATGTGGATGGCTGGGTTGTTGTTAGTCACATACCTGCTCATCACTTGAGGTAAAGACAAAGATAGTATTTTCATTTTCTTTATTTTAGCATTGTGTTCAGAAAATGTGACACGTGAGAGGCCTCACGTTTCAGAGGCCTCATGTTTCAGATGCAAGAAGCCTTTTAACTCTCTGTTATACAATGTTGCTACAGGGCAACAAACCCATTTTCCTCACTTACCAGGAAATTATACATATTTTATAACAATGAAATAGTTAATAATGAAAGGAAGAGTATGAATGAAATTGACTTGAGCTTGTGAAGGAGAATTAAAAGCTTGTGCTTTGTCACTATGTCTCTTGAAGGGCATTTTTAAATGTCTTTCTGGTATGGTGCAGCTTGTGGATCACATGCATAGTTTTACGCCATTAGAAAGTGCTTAAATATATATGTTGCCTACAAACACCATTGTGCAATCATTTTCCATTTAGAAATGTTTTTCTTTTTTTTTGCCTATTTAGCAAATATAACTTTATTTTAATGTATGTGCAATATTAATATATATAAAAAAACACATTACAGTCAATTCTGTCATGCGGGAAAAAATCGATTCTTAGATGCATCGCGATGCAGACGTGAACGATTCTGAATCGATTCACAAATGTCAAAAATCGATTTTCTAAATATTTCATTTATAACGTAATGTTGACGGAACGCAAAAAGCGGAACTTGGAAGTGGGGAAGTGCGGCGCCCGGACAGTCTGTGGCGGCACATAACAAAAACACAACCGGATGAGTGAGAAATCCGACCGGCTCCCTCTGCATTAAAGCCAGGTTAGATCAGGAGTCACAACCCCAATGATAAGAAGAGCCATTTTGACCTTTCAACAAAAATCAAACCACCTTAGGAGCCACAACATTTATGTCCAGTATGTGATAATGTGCTAGTTTAGGCTAAAAAATATAAACGAAAACACAGATTTACTCTGCTCTGCTTTAAGCTTTAGCTATAGCCGCTTTTCTTCCAACTCTGAAGTCGCGTCTCATTCGCCAGCTTCTTGATGAACTTTCTGGTTCCACCTTAAATTCTGACTGAGGCGCCGAATGTAAAAGCGGCACCATTTAAGGTGGAACGGGAAAATTAGAGAAGCGACTTCATCTTCGCAGCTTCGCATCTTTCAGTTAGTGTTTGACAGTCTCTCGTTGCAGATTTAACGTACCAGGAAACCAACTGCGCTGCTTATAAATGCGAATAAGTCCATTCATCTCCAAATGTTCGTCTTTCTCTTTTCCTTTTTCGTTCGCTACTAGCCAAGCGAAACCTCGTTGCTAGGTGACCTGCAGTCTTTCGCGCCCCCCCCCCAAAAAAATCACGAAACCAAAACCGAAGTTATGAAATCCCTGAAGAATATATAATGTGCTCCGTGGACACCACTTACCTCTTAGGTTATCTTATTTAACCGTAACAGCGCATTTTATCACAGATGAGTGGCAGCAGCGTCTCCAAACAAGAGCAGTGAATGAGAGCCTGCCAGTTCACTTGCCACATCACTTCCATTTGTTTTATTAATAAAAGATATTGGATGTTAATGCATTGTGAATCATTACAAATACTTTGTTTTAAATCTACCATGTCCTCAGACAGTAAGAAAATTGAAAGCATGTATAGAAAAAAAAGATGCATCGAGATGCATCGATAATCGTTTTATAATCGCATCGCAGCCCTCTGAATCGTAATCGAATCGAATCGTGAGGTGCCTAGAGATTCCCACCCCTAATGTTTTGCTATTATTATCAATAGTTTTTATTTTAGAATTTTTGATTTTTTAAAAACTACTTGATTCTTTTTATGTTTCAGTATGGTTTTGACTGTTACTTACTTGTTTTGTCTGCAAGAAATCACTTTACATCATAACAGTTTTGTTTCAAATCTTTAGATTTCAAAACTAGTTTTCATACGACACCATGATATCATTTCTTTCTCTTGTTGCACTATGTTGCCTCAAGGCAACGTACCCCCAAAAGACCAAAAGAAGAATTGTTTTTTTTTTTATTTTGACAATTTGGTCTGGACTTTTGTCCTTGCACATGTCTTTTTTTCACGTGTAGTATTGCGTGAGACTGCTTTTGATAAGCTGTGACATCATACAGTATTAAGGCATTTAATCAGTCCAGGAGAGAGTTCTTTCTGCTGCATGCTCCGACATTATGTACATTCCACCACTCCTGCACAACACATGCTACAGATAGAGATATTGATAGAGTGATAAAAGACTGACAAGAAGGCTCAGCTCATGTATAAGCAGAGGTAAACTCTGGGTGTGGCCGTTCCCACATATGCATGGCTCGTTAAGGCATGCTGCAGTTTGAGTAGAGAAGCGCCTGATAATCCGTTAATAATCCGACTAATAGCTCAATCGGAATAGAACACGTCCATGTAAACACCTCAATCGGAATAGACTAGTCCGATTGAGGCCATTCGGAATACAATTTCTATCCGATTGAACGAGGTGGGTAAACTTCTAAATAATCCGTTAAATAGAAGAATAATAGCCATGTAAACGCCTGAATCCGATTACATTCCAATCGGAACGTGTAAGTATGTTCTGCGCATGTGCGTCGCGTCATGGCGAAAGTTTATACCGTTCAGCATGGCGGAGCAGAAACGGGTCTGCAGAGGAGACGAAGTTTATGCTCTGAGCTTTAAAAGACGGCGGTGGGACGGATTTCCATCTTATGTGTCTCAGAACACGACGTCTTCCTCTCGCCGCTTCCTTTATAAGCACGTTTTCCTGAGTCTGACATCATTTTAAAGCAATTAAAACACAAGCGCGCCAACTGGAAACTCATTTCACGCGGACTGGACCTCACGTGATGTTCGCTGTCATGGTAACGTTTACTCTAAACGCTACTCTACGCATGCGCGTCATTTTGCATCGGATTACTTGTAGTGAGCATGTAAACGAAGATTTTCCATCAAATCGTTGAATAGAGTGTGCATATAAACACCTCAGTCTGAATCTGTAATCGGATTGTATTCAAATCACATTGTTTTTTTAAAAAGCCACCATTACATGAACATGACTTGCTCAGCTGAGACTGAGGTGATGTTTATATGTGCATTATTTTTCTCATCATAGAAAAAAAATAACCAGAATTGAAACCATTTATCTTATTTTTTCAGGCTTTTAGAAGAGAATTTTTTACTGCATAATTTTAAAACATTGATGGAATTTCCCTTTAAAAGTCAAGATTTTTTTTTAATTTTGTAGAATTTCACAATTTATAAAGTAATTATTTTCACTTTTTTAACATATTTTTATTTGTTTTATTATATTTTTTATGTATTTTCTGAATACTAATTCCTTTTTTCTATTTTTGTACTTCTTTGTTTTTACTGTAACTTGTATTATTTTTAGAAGTATTTATTTTTGAATTTTTATTTTTGTTGCATGTTTTCCCTTCCTTATTCAATGTTTTTCCAGTCAGTCGAGTTGCTGTACATTGTAGTGTTTATTTCAGTGTAAGATGACACTCTTCATCATTATGCTAACTGTATGCATAGCTAACTTTTCTCTCTTCAAACTATCACTCAGGTTTTACCGGCTCTGTACTTTTGCTTTTAATAGATTAGTAAGATTTTGAAAAAGTCCCCATGCTTTCATTTAGAAAATAAGACACTTGTCAAGCAACTTCAGTCACCATCTTCAAAGGGGAATTCCACTTTAACTTATAAAACAGGTAGTTTAACTTATAAAACAGGTAGTTGTGGTCCTAAAATCTGATTGGCTGAGCCCCATTCAAAGCTGTTGCAAAATACTGGATACATGTACATCTCAATGGAATAATCTTTGACTATAATACTGCTCACATGGACCACCAAGTGTACAGATTCACCAACCATTCTTAAGATGAAATTTCTTCTTAGAACCCAAAGTTTTTACAAAGATTCTGACATTCATTTGGGATTTGTTCTTAGGTAAGAACAGAATCTACACACGTTCAAGAACACAAAGGTGCGACCAGTTCTGTGGTTTAAGATCATGTCACAAATCTAAGACTTTTTCTTAGGACCTTTCTCAAGAACACATTTTAGAAGACTTAGGAACATATTGGAGAATGAGGACCACTGTTTTGTTTAGACTGAGGGGCTGAAATCTTATTACTTAACTTGAACTAAGCTGATTAGTTCGCTAACAGGCTAAAAGACAGCTAACAGGCTAAACAACTCCATTAATATCATGGATATCATTCATATTAATGATGTTAATTTCACATTAGCCACGTTTACATGCAGCCTGATAATCCGTTAATAATCCGACTAATAGCTCAATCGGAATAGAACACGTCCATGTAAACACCTCAATCGGAATAGACTAGTCCGATTGAGGCCATTCGGAATACAATTTCTATTCGATTGAACGAGGTGGGTAAACCTCTAAATAATCCGTTAAATAGAACGTGTAAGTATGTTCTGCTCATGTGCGTCGCGTCATGGCGAAAGTTTATACCGCTCAGCATGGCGGAGCAGAAACTGGTCTGCAGAGGAGACGAAGTTTATGCTCTGATCTTTAAAAGACGGCGGTGGGACGGACGACCAGCTTATGTGTCTCAGAACACGACGTCTTCCTCCCGCCGCTTCCTTTATACGTACATATTAAGCACGTTTTCCTGAGTCTGACATCATTTTAAAGCAATTAAAACACAAGCGCGTCAACTGGAAACTCATCTCACGCGGACTGGACCTCACGTGATGTTCGCTGTCATGGTAACGTTTACTCTACGCGCTACTCCACGCATGCGCGTCATTTTGCATCGGATTACTTGTAGTGAGCATGTAAACGAAGATTTTCCTTCAGATTGTTGAATAGGGTGTGCATATAAACACCTCAGTCTGAATCTGTAATCGGATTGTATTCAATCGGATTTGCAAAAATCTTTGCATGTAAACATAGCCATTGATATAACAGTGATATATACATATATACATAGATATATACATGATTCACTATGACACTGCAGTATAAAAGAATGTGTCACTTGAAACTTGTCCTCCACTTTATTTTAATTCCTATGTAGTGCACTATGTAGGGAATAGGGAGGCATTTGAGATTCAGCCCCAGTGTGGGCAACATGGTTAGCTTGGTCCTAATTGGATCATGAAAATTACATAATGGAAATTAGCACTGTTGTCATGGTGGTAATTTGGTGAGCAAAACTACTTAAAAAGTGAAGGTTTTTGCATAAAACAGTACTATATTATGTTAATTATTAGATGACAAAAAGCTAAAAAGTTTATGAAATAACTGGAATACATGGTTATGGGCATCTAAATGTTCCTCTCCTCTTTGAGCAGTTTATGGTTGTTTAGCAACAACACTGTATAGTAAAATAGTAAAACTATTTAGTTTTATTCTTTTGTTTTTAAATTAACTACATTTCTTAGTGGCAGACTTGTTTATTTTGGTTGTTATTAACATTAACTTAAATAATTTATTGAAAAAATATAATACAAAAATATAAAATATAGTAAAAAAATATAATAAATGTCATATTTCATGTTGCTGCCGTTTATAAAAGCAATAAGCCACTTGAGCTCATTACGTTAACTTTGTTAAGTTCATTTCTACCATTATTTCAAACACAGCCTAAGTCTCTCTCTCTCTTTTTCTCTCTCTCAGCTCATCAAAGCTACAGGATGGCTTACCCCCCCTAGCCCACCTACAGAAGGGGGGTCTGGTTCATGCCCTCCTGAAGAGAGACACATCCAACCAGTCTCAGATCCTGGAGATGTGGGACAAAATGCTCAGTGAGTATCTGCCTTCTGCCCTTCCTGTCTGAACCACAGTTCAGCATCTTCCTCACCACAGCTTACCTGATTCAGCTCATAATCAAGTGCTGCATAGGTTCCATGTGTTCAAACAAATACCGAACTGTGCCATGACGTCATCGTTTGTCATCAGAGTTTAATGCTGTGGTTGAAGAGTGTGGAGTAGATCTGAACATGTCTTAATAACCTAGATATGCTTGTCCAATATCCTAGTTTTACTTTTAGACTTAATTTAAAATCTTGCACTGTAAGATACTGTAAAGTGGATTATAGAGATGCAAGCAGGACAATGAAATAATGGTCTCAGATCCTTTGCCATTTGTTCAGATTTGAGAATATTTATTTCCTGATACGATTTAGTTTTTTTCAATCATTGTGCTCCAAACAAAGGTTAGATTTTTTATTATTATTTTGAATAAAAGATCAAAAGATCAAAAAGGGGTCAGCAATTCATAGCCTGATTTGCTCATGTTTACTAGGCATGGCATTATTTGTGGAGGGCACTGCACAATACATCTAACATTCATTTAAATGTTACAAAATTATACTATAAGCATTAACAATTTGTGATTGATTAATATACTATATTACTAATATATTATACACATACTATAATTTTTGTAATGTTCCCTGCCTTTAGATTTGATATGAAACAAATTTTTTCACAACTCAGCTTCCTACTAATCATTTAAAGCCTGTGAAGTTGAACATGACTAATATTTTAGACCTGCATAAGCTTGTCATGACAACTGACATAACCCTTCATAAATGTTTATAAATGCTTATTCCAATAGGTGTCATTTTCTATAAAGGTTACATTTACCATTTTTGAACAAAGTTAGCTAAAGTAGCCTTTATGACAGATAATGCCTATTGGAATAAGTATTTATAAACAGGTATGTAGGGTTATGTCAGTTGTCATCACAGGCTTATATGGGTGTCATGTAGCCATATGAACAGCACCCTACAGTAAAGTGTTACCAAAGTAACATATTAACAACACATCTACTTAATGTAAGTAATGTATCAACAGAACATCTACAAGATATTTACCTCAAGGTATTCAGATGCTTCACTACTGCTACTTCACTGATATGTTGTTGATGTGTTACTGATAATCTGTTTAGAGTTTATTAATTATCTATAAAGTACCACTCCAAATAAAGGGTTAACAATATTTTTTATACTAAGGCAATTTGTCATACAGCCTGCTAAACAGCCTTTTGTTATTTTGAAGATTCCAGCACTCAAGGCACGTCAAACATGACCACGTCTATCTTGGACATCCTCAACAACACCCTACAGGCCGATCAGGTTTGGAATACTGTCATTATGATTCATGGCCTTGCTGTCATCTGTCATCTCAGTCTGTCCAGTCTGTACCTGATAACTAACTGCTGTAATCTTCATTCTAAATCATCAGAAATCTGTGGTGTTTTAATGATGTTTTTATTCTCTTTAATAGCTGTTAGGCCATTTTAATATGTTTGATAAGATCTTATGTTAGTATATCATTTGTGCTATAAACAGCTTGTCCAACTGTCTGTGGCCGGCATTCCATTGTTGAGTAGAGCAGCCGCCACTGTACGAAATGGATGTTTGTTTTGCTACTGAAAACTAGAAGGCAACAAACTCAATATAATGAAGCACCTGCTTCTGACGAAAAGCAGCAGCCAGAGTACACATACTGGATTTAATGAGCTGAGAAAGCAATTGTGTTGTTGTTTGTTCAAACACATTACATAGTCCTTTGTAAAGGTGCATGAAGATGCAATTGCCTGATATCTGAGTGCAGAAATGCCGAGCATATTTTTCATAGGCCGCTTGTTTGATTATTTGGTTAGACCGTCTTTGGTGATAGTCCCTCAGAGAGACTGAATGAAGGTAATAGCTCCTACTTGTTATTCTGTTTGGCTCCTTTAGGACACGCTGACTTCCATCCTGGAATCATTACGCAGCCTGAAAATCTCCTTCTGTGGTTTCTCCATGTCTGTGCTCAACTTGTCCCGCACGGACCAGATGACCGCTGCACTGGTCAGGTTCTGTGGGTCCAATGACTCGTTGCTGGAAGTGTCCTTCTCGACACTCAACCAGGTGGGGATACACCTCCTATACCCACACTACACTTCACTCACCCTCACAGATCTAACAGTTTTAATTTATTTATTACTGTTTAGTTTTATTTATTTAATTAGGAGAGCACTTTAGGATATAGGTACCAAATCAGTACCAAATCAGGTGGAAGATTTTTGGTAAGAATTTACTGTAGGCCAGCGTTCATAAGGCTACATGACACCTAGATAAGCTTATCATGACCACTGACATAAACCTACATAAAAATTAATAAAGGTTTTTCCAGTAGGCGTTGTCTATCATAAAGGCTGCTTTCGTCAACTTTGTTATCAAGGTGATGTCATTATTTTCTACTACACTTTTTTGTGAGAGGTGGGTTGAGTAGTACATCCATACTCAAGTAAAAACATTAATACTTAAGTAAAGTAAGTACCTTCCCACAAAATAATATAAGTAGAAGTACATTGGGTCAAAAAACTACTTAAGTATTTTATAGAACTGCAGTGGAACTTCTAAGTAAATCCAGCGTCCTTCAGCATAGGAACTGACGTTTATACTGCTTCACTCTGCTCTTTTTGGGATACTTTTGGCCTAACAGAAAATGCTAACACTCCAAGTTCAGAGATGTGACCAATCACAAAGCAGCAAAACATAATAAAATTTAACACAAACAAGGAATTAGTAACTAGTAAATATGAATGGCAAACAAAACTGAGTACAAAGCAGATTCCTTTACATGCTAATACACTTATGTATGTGTACTTAAGTGAATGTAACTAGTAGGGGTGGGAATCTTTAGGCACCTCACGATTCAATTCGATTATAATTCAGAGGCCTGTGACGAGATTATAAAATGATTATCGATGCATCTTGATGCATCTTTTTTTTCTATACAGCGTTTTTATTTTCTCACTGTCTGAAGACTTGGTACTTTTAAAACAAAGTATTTGTAATGATCTATAATGAATTTACTTCCAATATCTTTTATTAATAAACCAAATGGAAGTGATGTGGCAAGTGAACTACTGGGAGATTCACTGTGTCAGTAAAATTTTTTCGAGACAGGTAGCAACATAGCGTGAAAGCCCTGTTTTGCAACATGCAGGCTGCAGGTCACATAGCAACGATGCGTTATTCGCATTTATAAGCAGCGCAGTTGATTTGATGGTATGTTAAATCTGCAACGAGAGACTGTCAAACACTAAACAGTTGCGAAGATGAACTCGCTTCTTCTCCAGCTTCTTTCCCGTTCCACCTTAAATGGTGCCGCATTTACATTTGGCGCCTCAGTCAGAATTTAAGGTGGAACAGGAAAATTCGAACAAGAAGCTGGAGAATAAGACTTCAGCCTTGGAAAACAGTCGAACGCTGAGAGACATTTGAGGAACACTAGGACATTATCACATACTGAGACATACTGGACATTAAATGTTGTGGCTCCTAAGGTGGTTTGATTTTTGTTGAAAGGTCAAAATGGCTCTTCTTATCATTTGGGTTGTGACTCCTGATCTAACCTGGCTTTAATGCAGAGGGAGCCGGTCGGATTTCACCATCCAGTAGTGTTTTTGTTATGTGCCGCCACAGACTGTCCGGGTGCTGTACTTCCCCACTTCCAAGTTCCGCTTTTTACGTTCCGTCAACATTACTTTATAAATTAAATATTTAGAAAATCGATTTTTGACATTTGTGAATCGATTCAGAATCGTTCACATCCGCATCGCGATGCATCTAAGAATAGATTTTTTTTTGCAAACTCTTACGATCTATTACAGCTCAGTTGGTGGGAGATTTCTAATATAAAGCTCCTGAACTGTGGAACAGCATTCCAGGGAACCTGGATTGGTGTAATCCAGATTAATTGCTTAGGCTAGCATCACACTTAAAAATGATGCTTCAGCAAAGAAAATGGTTCTATGTAGAACCTTGTTGAAAAAGTCTTTAATCATGCAAAAGACGTTTTAATCATGCAAAGGGTTCTTTGAGTGTTAACGGTTCTGTATTGAACAATTTTCCATGAACCATCATTTTTAAGTGTGAAATATTGTGGCTTGTTTTCTCATGTTCGCAATTGTGTTGTTATCTTTATTTAGTGAGTAGAGTTTTTATCTTTCTAATTTTAGTTTTACTTATATTCCTGTTAAAAACATTTTGAGACTTTGTAACTAAAATTAAAAGTGCTATACAAATAAAGAATGTGTCTTCATTATTAGTAGTAGCAGTAGCATTGGTGTACTATTATACTTACTGACTGAAGACTAAAGGAAAGTAAAAAAAGGTTATTTCAATGAACATCACTCAGTTTTTGACATGGTTAGCTTTTGACACCCTTTAAGTAAACTTTTTCTTTAATGAACATGTTCATCTCACTCGCGTGTAGTATTCACATGGTAAAACTTAGTAACGCCTTCTTTTACACTTGTTTAAGTTCTAGGTATTTACCAAAAGTGTCCAAAAGTACTAGATAATTATTTGGGTAACATGATAACATGATGATGCCTAACAGGTTCTAGCTATAAAACAGATAAAAGACAGTTAAATTTGTCATGATTGGATCATTATTTGGATGAGGTAAGTAAGTTGTAAGTAAATATTTTCATTGTACAGTTTCACTGTAATGTTACATGTTTTAGCAGGAAAGTAAACACTGAAAACACTTCCAAGTACCAGATGGTTCTATGGGGGAAAAGGCAGTACAAAGACACGTGAGGACATAAGAGCTTTATATAGTATTTTCGAGTCTACACCTAAACACAGAACTGAATCTGGGCAGTAAAAAAAGAAAACGATGATTCTTAGTGTAGTTTTACAGTGTGCACATCATCTACTGAAAGAGGCTTTATGTTTACTTTCCTGCTTGAACACATGGCAATACAGTGAGATTTAGTGTATGTTGGTACTTACCACCTTGCTACTCCAAATAATTGTCCAATTATGAGATATTTTACTGTGTCCTTTTCAACTTAATAGTTAAAACCTGTCAGACATTTCAATGTAATTTAGCTAGACTGTGTTCTGGTACTTACTTCCAAAATAGTCACAGCACTTTGTAACTACTTACCAACTTACCAAGTATTAACCTGGTAACACACGTATCAGGTTAATACCAAGAACTTAAAGGACTGTAAACTATTAACTGTTATAATATGACTGTTCTAATCCATTCAGCACATTAAACCATTAAATGTGTCAGATGTGGTTTAGTCAAATAAAAAAAAAACATATAATGTAAAATGTGCCATGAACAGTAATTACACGTTAAAATGTGCAGAAGTGGGCAGACGTGTTAGTTTAGCTTCACTTAGAAAATCAACAAAGCGTAGTTTGACCAAGGTTGCCCAAACTTTTGCATAGGGCTGTATCTATGATTTTTGTGCCTAGTTTTAGTAAATATGATTAATAAATATGTTAAAAGAAGGAATTGAAAGTTAGACCCTTGTCAGTCCCTTGAACCCTAAGCTTATTATTCAGTTATTAATCTTAATACTTATTATTCAGGATCCACTATAATTTATTCAGTGGCTACAATGTGCATAGCTATAAGAGCTAAGAACAGAAGTTCTGTCTCACATATGAGCCTCTTTAGGGTTTAAAGAAATAAAAAATGCAATGTCTAGTACAAATAATGTGTTTCATTGTCTTTCATGTATTCAACTCAGTGTTTGGCAGGTTGACGTGTTGTGTTCTGTCTTGTGGTATATACCCTCACATGCAGTCTGAATAGAAGAGAGCACAAACACTATCCCACTCCCTCTGAGCTCCACCTCGTCCCTGCTTTGTCCATCCCAGTGACAGACAATCCGTTGACTTATTTCAGTTCTCCATTTGTGACACATACACACCCTTGAAGCCAAAGAGTATGTGCTCATTTAACAATAGACCCTGAATTTAAAGTATACAGTAGACAATATGACTTGCATCAGTTAAAAGAAAGTTGCATAAGTGAAAAGAAAACAAATGGAAAAGGTCACATACCACTCGAGTGACGTGATGGGATGTCTGCCTACAGTTTCTTTTCAACTTGCTTTAATCTGTGTTTTTATGTGTGTGGGTTGTTTGTTGGCAGCTATTGGCACAGTTGGTGCTAGAAGATCCGGTAAAGGTTATTGAGTCTGTTGAGATGGCCGTGATAGCAGTGGGTCAACTTCAGAAGCAGAACCCACTGTGGGACTTCCTGCTGGGTCTGCCGGACCTCTTCGTAAAGGCTAGTGACCAGGACAGGATCATGGCTGTTGCTGAGAGGCTGCTGGGGCTGAAGGGGTGAGTGAGTGTAGGAACCATGTAGAGGGAATGAACATCGAACATCAGTCATGGTGTTCTGTGATGGTACACAAGATATATACACCGCCCATGAATTTACACTATATAGACAAAAGTATTGGGACATACCTTCTAATTATTGAGCTCAGGTATAATCCGCCACACCCATTGCTAACAGGTGGATCAAATTGAGCACAAAGACTTGCAGTCTCAATAGACAAACACTGGCAGTAGAATGGGTCATACTGATGAGTCATGTCAGTTTGTGAAATTTCTGCCCTGCTAGATCTGCCCCGGTCAACCGTAAGTGCTATTATTGTGAAACAGAAGCATCTAGGAGCAACAACAGCTTAGCTACGAAGTGCTAAACCACCATGAGTGTAGATACAAGTTAGATGTACTTAAAGGGTTTTTCAAAACTTCTGCATAGGTCAATCTTTGAGATATAAACAAAGTCATCCAGAGTGGATTGGGGTGAAATGCTCTGTTGTAGAGAAACTTGTGTCAGAACTGTTCATAGCAGTCCTGATAGGAACCAGACGCCTGAAGGGTTTATTGCCTGTAAACACTCCCTCACAGAAAGTTATGTTTATGCTGCTGGTGTCTAATGCATTGTTTTACAATCATTTTGTGAAAATCTTTTAAGTAATTGTTTTCTTTAACACCTTCATGGTGGAGAGGTGTATACAGGTTGTTGTGAGGCAATATAGTCCCCAATAAAACACATTTTTTTCCAGAATTACCTCTATTTTACCATACCATAATTATTCTGAGAAGACTCCTGTAGGTTCACCTTTGGTTTTGGATAGTAAATAAAATCATTATATTTGCACTATAAACACTGCAGTCCCTGGTTCCTATTACCACCACTGTCCGTAAGCTTCTCTACAATGAAGCATTTCAAACCAAACCACTATGAATGACTTTGTTAACATCTCATGATTGCACTATGCGTAAGTTTTGAAAAATTGGTGGAATTCCACTTTATTGAAGTGGCCAGACAGTATATGTTGTGTTAAATATATTTGACATGTTTGCTGTTACTGAAAAATGAATGACATATTTAACAGCTGTTTTGACTGGAAATTTTACAAAATTATATATATGAAAATAATTGAATAATAAATACACAGTACTATGTACACCAATCAGGCATAACATTATAACCTTCATATCACATTATGGTGTGTTAGTGTGTGTTGTGCAGGTGCTCAGGGATCAGACACAGCAGTGCTGCTGGAGTTTTTAAACACTATGTCCACTCACTGTCCACTCTATTAGACACTCCTACCTTGTCGGTCCACCTTGTAGATGTAAAGTCAGAGATGATAGCTCATCTGCTGCTGCACAGTTTGTGTTGGTCATCCTCTAGTCCTTCATCAGTGGTCACATGACGCTGACCACAGGACGCTGTTGACTGGATATTTTTGGTTGGTGGACTATTCTCAGTCCAGCAGTGACACTGAGGTGCTTAAAAACTCCAGCAGACCACTGAAGAACAGGGTAAAAGGGGGCTAACAAAGTATGCAGAGAAACAGATGGACTACAGTCTGTAATTGTAGAACTACAAAGTGCACCTATATAGTAAGTGGAGCTGAAAAATGGACAATGAGCGTAGAAACAAGGAGGCAGTCATAATGTTATGCCTGATCAGTGTATATGCTATATATATGTTTGGGCGCCCCTGGGCAAATTACATTTTGTTGATTTTCTGAGTTAAAATAAGTTACACAACCTCTAGAGAGAACGCACTTCTGTACATTTAATATTTTATTCCTTTACATTAAACTCAGCAAAAACAGAAATTGTACAGTAAAATTAGCAGAAAAACACGGTTCTCTGTAGAGGATGTGTTAACTTATTTTCTCTTACAAAATCAACAAAACAGGTCATTTGACCAGGGTGTTAAAACTTTTGCACACTATTGTATATATGCTGTAATCTTAGCATATGTGAAAGTGAGGGTTTGTTTTTGCCTCCTGACCGTGAATAGTCTCAGAGTTTTTTTCTTCTTTTTCTATAGGGCCCTGACTTCGATTCAGAGCAGCTTCCCACAGGCTAACATTTCTCTGGACATGCTGAACCCAGCCATCGATGAAGGAATTGATATCCTCAACTACTTCCGTAACTGGAAGGGCAGAAGTATGTGCAGCAAACATCGCCTCCCGCTGTTCGTCTGTTACAACTTCTATCCCTATTATCCCAATTACTCCTCCAGCTCATTACCTAATTACAGCATTAATGAGGAAGACTCACTCAGAGTTAGATCAGTTGTTGGGTTAGCTAGTGAATGTTCATCCTGCATGTCAGTCCCTGCTTCCCAAAGCTTGTTTTTGCTAATAGGCTGGCTGACTCTCTTGGGTCCCTGATGATATACCAAAAACAGAGCCTGCAAGGGGGTATACTCATGTTCATAGAGTCACACGGGAAACAATAGAAAGAGCAGCTTGCTGATTTATTGCATAACTTCAATAAGTCTAGAGTCTAGAGACAGACAGACCTAGTCTAGTCTGAAATTAGGAAAATTACCTAAGCGAGTCGCTCCTTGCTGCCTGAGCTATAAGCTCAAGGTGAGTTGATGCCCTTTCTCGAACATAAAACGATAAGAAGTGCTGATTAAAGAGAGGGTGTCAAATTATAGCTATGGGTTCAAAGAGCTGCTAGCTCTCAGAAACCTAACAGAGTATCTGACAAAGGCTGCAAAACATAAATGACTTCTATACACAAGTGTTTATTATTAATACCATCTATTATTGGACTATCATAATTAAGTCAAATATTACTACTGCATTACTGTATTACTGTATACAGTATAAAAACCTATACAAGAGCTCATATATAACCAAAGCCTGGTGCTTCTCACACACAAATTTTACTAATATTTCACATATTTTGCTCACATGTGATTGTCTTCCTTATTAACTTCATGATTTCTTTTCCAATCCCGTACAGATGCAACTTTCTCCCTCGCTGATGTGTTGATGCCATTGAACCAGTCTCTAATTAGCCCAGAGATTTCCACCCTGATCCAGCATCTCCAGATCCCTCTGGATAAGGTACAACAACAAACAACAAATCCCCACGCTTGTCAAAGTATCAGTAACCTACAAGGTTCAGACATCATTCTTGTTTATCTATATTATCTCACATATGCATGCTATATTTATAATTCTGTTTATATATTTTATATTGAGAATGAACAGTACTATACAGAAGCTCATTTATTTGATTTCCAGTCAGAACAGCCATTAAGTACAAGTTAATCATTTTACAGCATCAAGAAACAAAACAGAACATTAAACAAAAACTACAACTATGGAGACCCACTGGTGACATCCTGTATAAATAAAAATAATTTGTGGCCACGACTTAGTAAGACATGGGAACAAAATAATTAAGTCATGGCCCTGACTGTGCAAAGCATGGAAACGAGATCCTACTGCATGGCCACAGCTTAGTAAGGCATAGGAATGAGAGGCTAATGCATGGCCACTACTTAGTAAGGCATGATCTTGTTCCCACAGCTTACTAAATGGTGGCAATGACTTAATTATCTCATTCCCACAACTTACTCAGTCATGGCCACACATTAGGATCTTGTTCCCACGCGTTGATAAGGCATGGCCACGCATTATTTTTCTTTATATGGGATGTCACCAGCAGGGCTCCATACTCAACAACTAAATACAATATTGCATTTTTCAGTATTTTACAGAGCCGCTCTGGTGACATAAAAATAATGCTTGGCCACGACTTAATAGGGCATGGGAACAAGATAATTAAGTTGTGGGAACGAGATCCTAATGCATGGCCATGACTTACTAACGCATGGGAATGAGATAATTAACTTGTGGCCACGACTTAATAAGGAGTGGGAACAAGATCATGCATTACTAAGTTGTGGCCACGCATAAGGATCTCGTTTCCATGGCTTACTAAGTCGTGGCCATGAGTTAATTACCTCGTTCCTACGCCTTTCACCAGCAGGGCTTCGTACAGTCTTAGAAGTTGGTTGCATTTTCTGCTTCTCACAATGCAAGTAATCCCTAACACATTCAGTGATGTTGAGGTCTAAACTCTTGGGTGGTCAGTCTATTACTTAGAAAACATCAACTGCTTCTTTGTTTGATTTGCAAATTTTCTTATACCTCAGAATTATCTCCTGAAGATTGAATAACTTACACTTAATGGCCATTTTAAATGGAAACTAAAGAACCAAAGGTTGGGACTTTTGCACAGTGCTATATTTTAGACAAGACACTTTGTTTGACTTCTACAGGTGACTGTGCTGTTCAACAATGAAGCCTTCTATGCCTTTCTGTGTTCCACAACTGTCGGCGGCCCCTCTTGTAACAGATCTAAAGCTGACATGGTATATGCATGGATAAGCCAAGAAAAGGTTGCTCTTCAGGTATGTTCTGGTTAAACAAGCTATTGTTTGGCAACAGAGCAGGCGTTAAGCATGACCTTTAGGCTGTACTACAGCATTAAAATGCTTAAATCAGAGTTTCCTGCATTATAAACCTGATCAGTTTACGAGTTTAACAATTAATGTCTTTATTTATTGATAGCTCAATTCATGATATGGTTTAAATCAAAGTTTTAAAGAGTCATATGTCAAAGATATGATCAGACTTTAGAAATTATTATTATTTTTATTAAACCAGTCCACATTGTGTCCTTATTCTATGGATGAATGCATTTTAAAAACATTAGAATTACTCTGTTCATTTAGATGTTATTGTTTGTTATGTAGATTACTGCATACTGCATTCTCAAAGGCACAACTTCCTGCGCTTATGCGACATTAGCTATCTCACGAGGAGACACACACACACCTAGTGTATACAGTTTCCTAGGAGACAGGAGCACTCAGTCAGCTGGTGAGCTTGCTCCGAGATGCATTAAATATCATGTCTTGCGACCCTCCAGGGAGCTTCAATTAGAACGGTCTCTCAGTATGGGGAAAACTAAGCAAAAGCCATATTTTAGCACCCATAGTTTCCCCTCCCCCACTGCTGTCCCTAGAGCTTTCCTTAGAATTTCAAGCAATGGGCATGGATTAAAGGGGCTTATTATATTCGTCCAAAGATTTTTTATTAAAATGTTTGCATAATTTAATTTTTGAGATGTAAACAAAGTCATTCAGAGTGGCTTGATGTGAAATGGTTAATTGTAGAAAAACCTACCAATTTCTTTCCAGTGATGGTGATAGGAACCAGTGCTCATCATGTCCATAACACAAATACTGCCATTTTATAGTATAAAATGCAAGTATAAGAGTATAAAATGCGCCATAACTTTTGCACAGACCATGTTATGCTTTATTTTTAGTGCACTATGTTAAATTCAACAAATAAATAGTAATTGTGCACCAAAATGTGCAGAAGTCTGTTCCCTGCAGAGGATGCGTTAACTTATTTCCTCTCAGAAAATGAGCAAAACATGTCATTTGACCAGGGGTACCCAAACCTTCGCATATGACTGTTTCTCTCTAATGTAAATGGATTTTAAAAAAGTTTCATTTTAGACCAAAATCTTCTACAAACTATTGTAAAACAGTGTCTCAGGCATTTCTTGTAATAATGTTCTGTGAAATAACTTTTAGAGGCACTTAAAGCTTTGGACGCCTGGTTCCTATCACCACCACTGTCAGTTCTGATTCACTTTCTCTAGAGTGGTGCACTTACTAAACCACTTACTTACGCAGAAATTTTGAAACGTTTTTAGATTTCTACTTCAACATAATAATGCTGGTGTCATATGGTTATATGACTACAGGGTCTATGATACAGGCAGTGGGTGAAGACAGTTAGATAGAGAGACATACTATATTGTAATAGGAATGAAGCAGTAAGTTTACACCATGCCTAACAAATCCGATAGCTTATGTAGATCTTTATATTTGGTGTGAAGGACAAATAGTGTCTTTAAAATCATTTGAGAAGATGAGTGAGTCTTTTATTTCCAGGCTCTACCAATATTGCTGATTTTTCTAAATGTCAGTGTGTTTTGTATGACATTAAAATAATGTTGATAAATGTGGTTGGTGTATCTTAATGGGTAATATCACTGTCACCCCAACAGCAGATGGGTTGTCTTGCTAGTTGCTCTGGATAAGAGCACTTGCCGTCAAGAATGGAGCTATTTAGACTTTAGATTGCAAATTTAGACTTATTATTAATGTTGAAATACACTGTATTGATACTAAAATACATGTTCTGTTGACAGATGATGTTGGCCTGGAGTCAGTCTGCTGCCTCTTCAGACCTTGCCCTTGTTAAAAACATACTGGGTAGCTTGCTGGGTGCTATTCCCTCAACGGGATCCTCCAGCAGCAGCAGGAGCCAGCGCAGCAGTGACAGCCAGCCACAGAACCTGCAGGAACAAATGTACACAGCCAAAGTCCTTGAATTAGTATGATTAAGCCAATGATAAAGCTGTGGTTTTGTGATATATTATTAAGGGAATGGTCCAGCGAAGAATCTAACTGACAACATTTTTCACGTACTCCAAATGTAGCCAGTGAGCCAGTTTAAAATTGGAGCTACGAAGCTAACGTTGCTAACCCAAATCTTTTGCGTACATCCTTCCACAAAACTTCTCAAACTGCATTGAGGTCTTTATTAAGGTTGCACAGACTTGCTGAGGTGGTTTAGGACACAGTATGACTTACAGGATGAGCTGTAAAAATGAACAAAACTTCAGTTTGTAGCTGAACACCTGTTGTCTAAAATGGCTGTCCACACTGTCCAGCTACATGATGTGATTTTGTTTATTTTGATAGTTCATGGTTATGTGCCCTAAACCACATTCACAAGTCTTAATGAGGATCTGGATGCAGTTTGGGTGCACTGAGAGATGTTTTGAGGACGTATTTGCAGAAAAGATTTGGGTGACTATTGACTTTTAGTGTTTGTATTGACCTGTAGCTCCAGCACAAAACTAAAGAAGAAAAAAAAAGGTGCCAAACATTTCTTGGTTAAATGTCTAAAGTGGAAAATCGTGTAAATTAGATTTTTTGCCAACCCAGTCCTTTAATACAGTGGTTCTCAAACTGGTCTTCAGAGCCCCCAGATGGCCTCTTGTTCTATCCCTTTGCATTATGGGGGGACTGCTTTAAAAACCTCTGTTTTAATGAAACAGTAATACATTTTATATCACTGTACTTTCACATCCCTCCTCATATTTTCTGTTATCCATAGATTCCTAAGTGTCGGCAATGTTGTAATAGACACGCTGAAAGGGATGCCTGGCTGGAATTACATTAACCTGTTTTTGATGGGAGCTCATTCCTCCATGCAGACTGTCACAGCAGCTATGGAGACACAGATAGGTATTTAATATTCAAGAGAATAAAATGAATATATTTGTATTTACCATGTGCGTGATTAGAAAATGCAAATTAATACATGTTCTGTTTGCAGTATACATGGATCCTGTGCTGCAGGATGCCGGGAAACTCCAAGCAATGTTCCAGTCCCTCATGCAGAATGAGACAGAGGCCGACGCCTGGGTCAGACGTGTCATGGAGTCTGCTGTGCAGACTGTGACTGAGGTGCACCAGCTGAAATGATCTAAACACTGAACACTGTTGTTGTTTTTCCTTCTCTCATGTTAAAATTACTCATTGGATTTCCTTGATTTAATGAAAAAGGCTCTAATGGGACACATGGATTGCCCTCGCTTGGCTGCTCCCTGGGCTTGGATTTCAGCATACAGCTCAATGGATCCTGAGTTATGGGCTGCAATAATATGTCCTGGCAATGGCTCTCATTTGGAGGATGTCTTATTGGCACCACTGTCTCCTCTGGTACAACAGGTACATGCAAACAGAATTTTAAAAATGATAAGATTTGAACACAAAGTTGTGATGTTTTGGCATCATTTGTATTTATTCTTATGTGCATTGCTTTTGCTTATCTTTGTTTCATTTATTTGTGTAGGTGAATCAGTTAATCCATGTGGCTAATAACACTTTGATGTATGACATCACACCCTCCATGATCCTGTCAGCGTGGCATAGTCTATACCGCACTTCAATGAAGTACGGCACTTCCATCCAGGCGCTTATTGGTGAGCTCGAACTGGAAGATTTTTCTGAATGGATCGAATACAACATCACAGTCAACTGGCCCGAGATCCTCATAACCAGGTCAGAAGCTCCCTGTACATTGAAATCAGTGGTGTAATTTACTTTTTCCATTTTCATTCCCTTTTTCATTGTTTTGTTTTGTTGACAACTTAATAATATTTTACTACTTTAAAAATATATATTATTTAATTAATTAATTGAATAAAGATAGGTTGATCTACTTCCTGATGTGTCTTCTTGCCAGGTGACAAAGGACTCAGCAACAAAGGGCTTTAAGTGTTCTTTTAATTTTGTTTACACTGAAACTTAAAGATAGACATTTGAAAATATTTGTTAGCTGTAGGTTTACATTGACTTCTTCAGTAATAACCAAAAACTAAAGCCAGTTTCCCCATATGGAAATAAGATATATGTACATATATTTGCGCATATTAAAATATATGTGCTAAATATATATAACTGTTCCATTTTTGAATACTTTGATATATGCACGTAGATGCATATACATGTCAGTATAATAAAAATGTTTATATTTACAGCATTTGACAGGCGCTATTATCTAGAGCGACTTACAATTTGATCATTTTACAGAGGTAGGCGAAGGCGCTCTTATTGGTATACTGTAGGGTGTTTCCCCAGGTGGGGGATCGAAGTGTCCATTTTTATAATTTATTTAAAAAAATGTATGGAAATATATTTCCATTGCATATAGGTCTGAATGTTATTGAAGGAATTTGCCCAGTCTGTTGGCTGCTGGACTGTTTGGCCTCCTCTAGTTAGAGGTTAGTTATTTACAAAGATTATTTTATGATATGTTTAAACCCAAGGCATTAATTAAGACAGTAATAAGCTAAACATATACAAAATCATCATTTATAGGGTATTTTCTGTTGGAGGTGTCTGTCTCAAAGCCTAACCCCTAAATTTCTTGTGAAAATAAATAAAATTGTTTTGTAAGATATTTTGATTTCTTTTAAAGTGAAGCTGAAATAGTTTCATTAAAAAAAAACAACTTAAAAAATAAAAAAATGCTGTCCCATGTTTTCATGCCACTAGCGAAATAGTTGTAGTCCGTAGGCAGAGGCTTATTTTAGCCATACCTCCACATTTGAGCACAGGAAGTGAGACTACACCCCTGTCCCTCATGGCTACATGGTGAGCAGTCAGGTCCCACTGTTTTGAAGTAAATGTATCTCAAACATGTCTTTACCCTACAAATACTTAGCTGTTGAAATTTGCAATATTATATATTTATAATATTAAAGTATTTGCTCCAATCGATAACATTTGCTGAAGAATATGTCCCCTGTGCTGAGACAGCAAAAGTCCTTTTAGCTTAAGCAGTTTCTATATGTACACCCCGCCCTGTCCATTCTTTCATATGTGTGTACCCCTCATCTGTATTTTTATACAAAGACCTCCTTGTCTGCATTATAAGCGACTAATACAGCAAGTAAGGAAATGATATACCAACACTCTACAGAGTGGATTCCTACAGTGTATATTATTCTTCAACACTGTCATTCTTTACTTTGCCATCCAGGGGTATGGAGACATTTGAGGTTTTGGGGTCACGTCTTCAAAAAAGCTCTCAGTGGTCATCCATGGAGCCATACTTCCACATGGCTTACTGGATCTTGACCTTCCAACCTAATGTCACTGCACCACCAAACTGTGAGTAACACTTAACAACCAGACCATACACACATGCTTACTGATACAGACTCCAGTTATGGAGTGTACCATACATATTTTGTATAGAGGCAGTTAATAAAATTAGGAAATGTTTTCTTGTAGTTTCTAACTCTGCAGTGACTTATTTATAGTTGTCTGTATAAAAACTCACCAGAATGTATCACTTTACAATATTACAAAATCTCTTTTGCAAGGGAACATATAACTTGATTCAGTATATGATATGCCAGTCACCACTGACAATGTGTTACCTAAGTACCTATTGCTAAAAGAAAATTCCTGTGTACAGGCACTTTTACTTCAAATGGCATTGTTTGTCAGACTGGGTTTACATGGGAGAAGTTCATTCCACTGGTTGAATCTCTACTTCGAGAAGTTAGCACAAATCCAGCTGCTCTGCTAAGGTGCGTTAGCTTCAGACTCTTTTGCCCTGTGATTACCAACATTATTCAATTTTCTGCTCTTGCAATAAACCTCTCAAATGATGTGCTCATGTAGGAACTATTTCAGTTGTATTAGAAGATTTTACTCAACATTTTGAAATGTATAAGTACTGTAATATTGTGTTAGGGTATATCAGAATTAACACTAGACCATTTTTTGCACCACCTTTAGACCTATCCAGGGAGCAGAGGTTCTGCTGCAAAGCATCTACAGGGACACCTACATGGGCATGCTAAAAGAGTTCCTCAGCAGCTCTGGACAGCTTTTTTCTGGCTGGTCACCACAGAACATTTTGCTGAGTCTTGCTGCTTTGGTGGACACGAACATTCAGCTCCTCTCAAACATCACATCCATTAACCATCTTGATGACAAGGTCTTGATCGCCATGTTGAATAACATTGTTGAGGCCTTTGGTCTGGGGGAGTTGGAGGTACTATGGTCAAGCAGCTCCCAGAACACTAGCCTCAACACTGTGGTTATGAACATTATCCAACTCTTTAGGCCAGAGTCCATCCAGATGCTTTACAGTGAAGGGAAATTTGCAGTACTGGAAGCTATTTTACGTGTTCTTGGCGAGGTCTTGCCTGCTGAGCAACAGATCCAGTTTAAACAGTTTCTAAATCGCACACATGCCCTCTTTGGAGATTTGGCAGTCTGTTCAGCTACAGGTCAAGACTGTCTCGCTGAAGTTCCAAAGGTTTTCGAGACTTTGTCATTTCTTTCTGAAGTGATTGCAGTGGGAACTAGTATCAATGTCACAATAACACCCATTAAGGGCAACATGACTCTGTCAGTCACTGGTCATATTCTAAACTTTATTCTACCATGGAACACGTCAATGGACACGGTCACTAAGGTCATCAAACTTCTTGAGGTGTTGTCTGCTTCACCCAACATAAACATCATTGATATTCAGCATGCACTCCAAACCTTGAATCTCACCATTTCTGATCTGGAGAAAATTGTACAACTATCGACGTCCTCTTCAATATCTCTGCTACTGAACAAGCTCATGGACACCATTAACTCCTTGCAATGTTTGAACCTACTGACCCAGAATGTAACATCTATAAGACCCCCAGGTTCCAGTGAAGCAGAATGCACTCTGAAGCTTTTTGAAAGAGCACTAGAATTCCTTCAGGTCATGCCTTTCCCTGAAGGTTCTCAGGCAATTATATCAGCTTCTTTTAATGCTATATATGATCAGGTGATGAAGCTGAAGAACATGTTCAGCCTGGGATCTGGGCCTGTCATCATGTCAGAGAACATTGTGAGGGCAGTCTTGGCAAACATCAGACAAAACCTTCTACATCTCAATGTGGGAAATGGCACGTTGATCACAAATGACCTCAATTTATTGGAGGAGCTTTTAAATGCGACACTGCATGAGCGATATCCATACTTCATGATCAACTCTACATTCTTGTCACAACATTTATCTGCACAGAAGGTTTATGGTGAGATTGCTTTGTGGTACCTACACAAACTGGAGAATGCCACCAGTGAAAGCATGTTTAAAGAGTATCTCTACCAATTCATTCACCTGACCGAAGTGCAGGTCAAAATCAGTGCCGCTCAGTCAAATTTCTCAACACTAGTGTCTAACCAGATCCAGTACTTGATAGATCATGTGCATCCTCCCCTAGATGGAGCAGATTTGAAAATGATCAGCAATGCTGTGATCACCATACTACAGGGTCAACTGCAACTGATAAAGATGAACCTTGAGTTTCAGCAGACCTTTTTTGACTTCATGGGTATGCAAAGTAATAAAACTCTTCCCAGTGACATTGAAGCTCAGCTTATGAACTACTTCAACTTGACTCTAGGTTGGATCAAAAACCCACAGCTTACAGTGATCATTGCTAAAATCTATGGCTGGAGCAGTGGATCTGGGCAGGTGCTTGGCAACAAGTTGCCACAGAAATTATTGTTCAGCCTCATTTCTGTGGTGGACAAGCTTCTCTTCAATGTGAACTACACTGATCAGTTCAACAGTCAACTCCTACTAACAATTTTAAGTGACATTCTGGAAGCCTTTGGCCTAGGGCAATTGGAGATACTGTGGTCAGACAACTCCCAGAACACTAACCTCAGCGCTGTGGTTGTGAACATTCTCCAACTCTTGAAGCCAGAGTCCATCCAGGCACTTAACAATCAGAGCCAATTTGCATTACTGGATGCCATCTTACGGCTCATTGGAGAGGTCTTGCCTTCTGAGCAACGGAGCCAGTTAGACAGGTTTCTAAACCACACACATGCCCTGATTTCAGACCTAGCCATCTGTTCAGCTCATGGTCAGAACTGCCTATCAGAAGTTCCAAAGGTTTTCCAGACTTTGTCATTGTTTGCTGAAATGATTGCAGTGGGATCAAGTGCTAATATCACAATAACACCCATTCTGGACAACATGACTTTGTCTGTCACTGGTCATATTCTAAACCTTATTCTACCATGGAACATGTCAATAGATACTGTCAATAAGGTTCTCCATTTTCTCCAGCAGATGTCTGCTTTACCCAATGTCAGTGTCAACAGTATTCAGCAAGCACTCCGAGCATTCAATCTCACCATTTTCGACTTGGAACAATTCAGTAAACTACCTGGGGCTTCTTCCTTGCCTTTGATACTGTCAAACCTCATGGATACCATCAACAACTCACAATGTCTGAACTCTCATTTCCAGAACATAACATCTCCCCCAAGCTCCAGTGAGGCACAGTGTACTCTGAGGTTTGTTGAAGGAGTGTTTGGCTTCCTTCAGGTGATACCCATGTTTCAAAGTTCTGAGACCATTCTGTCAGCCTCTCTTCATATGGTGTATGAACAGGTACTGAAACTCTGGCAGATGTCTAGCCCACAGTCTAACCCTCTCATTGTGACTGAGGATGTTTTGACCATAACTCTGCAAAACATCAGACAGACCCTTCAAAACCTCAATTTGGAAAATGACACATTGGCCTCAATCACAAAAGATCTCAATTTATTGGAGAAACTTTTAAATGTGGCACTCCAAGAACAGTATCCATACAACACAATCAACTCTACACTGATGTCACAGCCATTGTATGCTCAGAAAGTGTATGGCGAGATTGCACTGTGGTATCTACAGAAACTAAAGAATGCAACCGATGAAGACACATTCAGAAAACTTCTTTATCCATTTCTTCGCATGACAGAGATGCAAGTTTTAATCAATGCTGCTCAGTCAAATTTCTCCATTCTGGTGTCCGGTGAGATCCAGGACTTGATGAGCCATGTGCAACCTCCCCTGGACGAGGCAGATCTGAACAGGATCAGTAAGGCAGTGATGACTTTATTGCAGGCTCAGCTGCAACTTATAAAAATGAACCTTGAGATTCAACAGGCCTTCTATGACTCTATGGGTTTCCACATGAACATGAGCATTCCTGCTGACATTGAAGTTGAGATCATGAGGTACCTCAATTTGACACAGAGTTGGATCACAAACCCACAACTCACTCTGGCCTTTGCAAAAATACTGCAGTGGAACAGCAGTTATGTTGACATTACAAAGCCAGGCATGGACTTAGAGCAGCTGATCAAAGCCATGGCTCCACTGCTGTCTCCTGAGGAGCGGGTCTACCTTGGTGTTATCGAACAGGTCACTCAGGCTCTGAACCGTGCCCTGCAACTGGCCAACACTGATGGTGGCCTGCAGAGCAGAAACTTCACAGAAGCCATCATGGATTCTGTAAGGGTGGTATTGAGGAGTACCTTCAATGGATCCCTTCCCCTGCCTGAATCTGCCATTGATGATATTACAACAGTTCTCCAGATTTCTCTCCAGCTACTTCTGAACAATGACACCAGCTATGCCCAATCTCAGGAATTCATAGTGCAAGCGGCACTCAGGGCAAAAGACTTTATCATTACCCTGGTTCCAGAGTCTGCTGAAGTCTTTGGTCCTATGATCAACAGCATCATATCATACATTAACATCATCTCTAAGCCAAGTGGATCTGATACATGGAATGTAGTGTGAGTAAACCGGCTTATCTGCTTTTAATATATAATCTTGGTTTTAGACAGTTTTCCATGCTTTTTTCATTTGCATAATGCATGGTTGTTAATACAGTAAGACAGGTTTAGGTTCACTTATGACTTTTAGTCCAAAATCTGATGGTGCTAAATGTTATTGGATGTAATTTCTTTAGTATTAGAGCAGTGATTTCTAGTACTATATTGGGTCTTTTTAAAATTCTTTTGGTTCTAAACTACTGACCCAAACTATGACCTCAAAACCTGTTTTGATTTATTATGCATTTATAATTCATAATTAAGTCAGATGTGACTTGCAGTGTAACTGCTCTAAAAATTAGCAAAATTTTAATTAACAAGAGATTCGATCATCTTTTCATACTTAAATGCATTTTATTTTTTTCAGCATTCTGAATCTGCTGGACGGACTCCAGGTTTCTCTGCCTCCAAATAGCACGGCCATGCCCTATATTTCAGTGATAAAGAAAATCATACACTTTATTCTTAACTACAAGCAAGGCATGTTCTCTTGGAATAAGTATGATTTAGTGCAGACTTTCTGTAGTAAAATGTTCTATTCTGTTCTGCTGTGAATGCAATTTAAGGAAATGTATGTTCTCTCTTTACTATACTAACTTGAGAAGATAGAGACATGTGGTCCGCTCATCAGTGACTGATTGTTGTTTTTACAGGCAACTTAAGCCTGTGGTCCAGCCTGGGAGAGTTGAATCTTAGCAACCTTGATGAACTTACCAAACAGGTGAGGTGGCTCAAAGAGGATTTCTTACACAAAAGCTTTCTTGGCTTTTATTTATGGTATGCGTGTAGGTGTTATTGTTTTGACATACACAGTGAGTCATGGTATCAGATTCGCAGTGTCATCAAATGTGGGCTGTAGGAAAATTATTTTGGTAGTTTCAGGTAGATTCACCACTCACCATCTCTAATATTAAGAAATCATAAAAAGACTTTGTGAAAGAATATAACTGACCTGAAATCAATCTGTAATCTTCACGTTTAGCATGATGAAAACATGATAATTAATTATAGCATGCATGTACAGTACTGTGCAAAAGTCCTCACTCCACATCTCAAATGTCCAGTTTTCTTCTATTTTGTCCATTCCTTTTTCTCAGTAACAGCTTCATAACAGCTATACATCCTTTTATTTTTGTGATTCATTTTTTTATTATTTTCCATTTAAAGAACAACCCCCCCTCCCCATTCCAGCCCTGACCCACACACATGTGGGACTTACAAGAGAAAAAAACATCGCTACAACATTACATTTACACCAATTACATCATTCACAACTTAAGCAGAGCATATAGTTAAGCAAGCACAAGGGTCCTGACTTTAGAAATTCCATGAATCCATGTATTAAGAGTTCCAGGGCCAGCATTGCTAATTCTTGCAGATGACAGTTCCAGATAGGATAGGATATCCAATAAGATATGGAGCCAATGACGTTAAATGCCCTGCTCTCCACTCAGCGTTATCGCCAGCCTTATCGTTGTAATTCGCTGATATACTCCTGCTACACATCCTTTTAGACCCATAGTGTTTAACTGATATACGTAGTGTTGGAGACTTTTGTGTAAATTTCTGTTGAACATAAGTTCCCTGCTTTTTTATGACTCTGAAAAATGAATAACTTGTACATAATGGCCATTTTAACTGAAAATAAAATAATCAAAAGTGTAGTCTCTGACTTTTGCACAGTGTATGCTGTTGAATAGCCCTAACAAAGAGTAATTTTACTATTTGCCGCTACAGTTTGCTGGTGTCCTGGACGCTATAATCCCATTCCTCTCAGCTGAGCACGGTATGAGTTTGGCACCTGAAACCATCCAGGCTCTGACAGAATCAGTTCCTATACTTGTTCAGATCCTCTCTGGGAAGGCTGACCAGCTCACCTTTCATAGGTAAACGGCACCTTTACGCATTGCTTAGTCAACATAGATAATTATATAGCAGTTCCTCTTGCTTTGTCTCATTATACTATAGTTCATGTTGCTTTGTTTTCATAATTCAGCTGTCAATATTTGGTTTACTGAATAGGTTGGAGAATACGATGACTGCTCTTCTGTCAATGCTAAAGGACACAGCTGTGTGGAACACTCTGCCGTCCACTTTCAACGTGGTCAGGAACGTCATGGCACCCATGGTTCAGAGCATACAGGCTCAAACCAGTGAGTGAAGTAACACATCACAATTTTACACCAGTGGGCCATAATCACAACCTATAATAATGATAGACAGACCAAGCTTTGAATGGGGATAAACACGAAACTAAAAGAAACATTAACATTTCAAAAACAGATTCGAAATCTTTGTAGCATGAATGCTAGTTTGTAGTGTTCGGCTCAAATAATGAACAAGAAAGTTCTCCAAAATAACAAGGGGGGCTTTTCCCACTTGCACTTTTACCAACAAGCTAACTGCCTGGTTTTATTGAACGGGGGACTTTCTGTGACATAGCCACCATACTGAGCACTACAAACTATCCCATTCTTTTTGTCAACCAGTGGCCTTTCTCCTCCTGATATTATAATACATCTGAAGTAGCATATTAGCTTAGGACTAACCTAATATCTTGTGGCTATTGCATTAGATTGACTCATCGTTATTGTTAAGGGCTTGAGTTTGAACACCTCCAGTCAAATGACAGGTTTTTATTGATTTTCTAAGTGAAAATAAGTTAACACATCCTCTATAGTTACTCAAACATTGTATTTTTTCTGTAGTCTTTAGTGCACAATTTCACAGTTAAAGATATTGAAGAAAACAAGTATATAAAATGCCATTACTTTTGCACAGGCCACATTTTATATTTCATTTTTTCCCCCATTAAAGTTAAACGGCAGAAGTATGTTGCCTGTAGGGGGCGTGTTAACTCATGTTCACTTTTCATTTTCACTTTGAAATGTTCACATGACATTTGCCCAGGGGTGCCAAAATGTTATGCTGCAAGGAAACTAGTCTGAACGGATCAGGAAAAGCTCTGCGCCATTCACAAATATATTTCACTGCTGCTGGTGAAGCTGAACATTTGCTTGGTAGTTCTGTTTGAAATCAGTTAAGACTTGCAAGTGAAAAACATTGCAGCAGTGCATTCACTACATGCTTCTGACAGGTTGTCATTCACATTAAACAGTACAAAACAGTCTTAAAGCATAACAGCTATCTACTCATTTTTCGCTTAGTTCAGCGCAGTCTCAAATATTGTACTTACTCACATAATTACATTTTTTAATGCATTGAAAATTGAAATGTTAACATATTAACACAGGAATTGATTATTTTTGCATTGAAATGTGTTGAGTTGAGACATCGTCATATCATATCAAATCGAATTATGAATTTTGTGTATCATTACACCCCTAATAACTATGATCTCTGGGTTATAATATGTACCATGTTACTAATAATACATTTCCTGTTGTTCAGCTCTTGCAAGCTCTTCATGACATTCATAACAAATATAATAGAGGTGGATTTGCACAGATTCCCTCAATGCTTGAACTCTGCATATCTGAACATAATAGACATGCTCTATGTTTAATCCTCTGTCTTCAGGTGTCATCTCCAGCCTCTCAGAGGTTTTGTCAGATGCTATCTTTGTTATGAAGCCCAGAAATGTGTCTCTCATCATCAGCGCATTGCCACAGGCTTTCCAGTCCACCTTAGAAGCTGCACTACAGGTTAGACCTACATTCAGTCCTACTTCAGTTGAACTCTTCTGCGTTTCACGGTGCCTAGTCTTACGGTATCGTGTCTTAGAGAGGAGGCTCTAAATAGACAAAGTCAGAAAGCTGACTGTTCTTTTCAGTTCTTTCCGAGAAGCACAAATTTCCAATTAAGGGAAGTTTTGCAAGACTTGCTTTGTTAATGTAAGACCTAGTTTTAGAAGCTTTTGTGTGCCCAGTTATCTCCAAAGGATTTGAAACACAATGCATGTAAAACAACCCAAGTCTTTCATAACATGCTAGTGGGTAACATTCCAGCACACTGCCATAAGATGACTGTGGTTGCTGTGTTTTCTCTCTATGGCAGTACAGGAAATGTAGGGAATATACGTTGTTCAAAATTAAAATAGCCAAATTTTATTCCCCACAAATCAAATTTCAGTTAATATATAGGGCAGCGCACTCATGGTGACCCACTTGAGGTGCTTTCTCATCTCGTCTCCCCTCCTCCCCAGAGAGTGTATGGTTACCTTTCAGTATAATGAAATTAAGCTGAATAGGAGTTGCAAATCCCTGCTAGGCTACTGAATGTGTTCTGTAAAAGTATCACAGACACATGTATGGAATCTGTTCTGTTGCAGAAGTAGAGCTACAAAGACAGACAGCGCCTCTGTCATCTGTTCTGTTTTTCTCAGGTTTTTTAATGTGCATGAATGCTATGTCAGCATGTTATCTCTGCACCTGATGATGATCTTGTGATCCCCCCAGGCTGCTTTGCGTAGGCAGGTGTTGAGTTGCAGTGAAGTGCAGAAGATCTGGGAGCAGGTCAGCAATGCAGCTGGGATCAACAGCAGTGTGTTTACAGTGTGGTGTAATGTCCGTCTTCGACCGATCCTGGAGAATTCCCAAAACTTATCAAATCAAATTGCAAGCCAGAATGTGACGGTGAGACCTACGCACACTTGTAGATGAATCAGAGATGCTTTTTATGCCTTAATTTTACATTCTATCATTGTTGTGACAAATGTTTGTATCTCTGAAAAACAAAGAAAAATGATTATTAACTTTATTGTTTTATATTAAACATTACTAACAATATTAACATTATTAAATGTATGTTAAAGAGGAATGGAAACCATTCAGAGTCTTCTTTTGGTGAGAATCTTACATATTTCTTTACAGTGGTGGTGATGGGAACCAGGGGTCTTCAGTCTTCTAAGTTTGAGTTAATCATGATAAAATAGTGATGAATCTGAGGAAAAATGTTTTCTTTGGGGCCTATTTTGCTGTATGCCCTCTTTTTTATTTTGGGCTAAAATATTATGATGAATGGAGCAATAGAAAGGATCCAAAAGTACTTTGAATTTTTAACATTTTAATTGTTCCATTTGTTTAATTGTTAAATTATCAAGACATTTTTTCTTTCTCCTTTAAAGTCGCCATTTGGAGATATGAGGTTTTGTCGTGACAGCGATGATGTGTTTTAGGGCAAAAACTAAATAAAGCAAAAATCTATATTATATCCAAAACTATATTAAAACATTGCCAGGCATAAGACAGTGTAATACTAATCATTTCATCTAATAACTTTTTTCTGAATTAGCTTTTGGAGGCATTAAATGCTTTGAACATCTGGTTCCTATCACCACCACTGTTAACAATACTGACATTATTTTTTTTTTTCTAGAACAGAATTTCACACCAAACCACTCTGAATAACACTGATTGCATGTTAATGATGTAAAGCAGAAATTCATCATAAAGGCATAAATATATAGCAGGCCTTTTTGGACTATTTCCATTGGGATTTTCCTTATGAAATGTTATGACATTTTCAAATGGTGTAAAAAAACAAAGAAAAAACAAAATAATTGATTCTTTTTTTAATGACAAAGACATGTTTTCTGATAAAGGTGAACCTTATTGATGACAAAGGGTAATCCCAGTATTTTTCTTTGTTGGTGTGCTAGCAGAAGCTGACCACTAGATTGCACTGTATACCCAGACTAGATCCATATTAACCCCTTTTATGAAACAATTTTTCACCACTGATTTACATTACAATTGCTTTCCTTGCTGTCCACAGGTTATGGACCCCCAGTGGCTAAATGCCACGGCAGCAAAGATTGTGGCCTCTCTGGAGGCTCTTTACTCAGCCAGCCTTAATGAGTCCCTGGCCATGCAACATCTGTCACAAACCCTTATGCAGGGTGCCTACATGCTCAACCTGTCACTCTCAGAAGTAGAAAGCCAGCTTAATTTGAATGGCCTGTTCCTCTGGCTAATCCAACAGCAAAGGTGACTATATGCTAATGTACTGTATATGTGTTCAGCATGTGGTAACAATGTCACAACATTTGAACCAATTAAGAACATGAAAAGAACCACTGCCATAGTTTTGACACAGCAGCTCTTATATGTGTTATATTTCTGACTACATAGGATCATTTATCACAGTTTGCTGATAGATTTAGACTTATCAGCTCCAGACAACTGGATTCTGCCGAAAAAAACACCAAAGAGTGGAATAATTACATTTGCATTAAGGTTAATTTATTCTGTCTGACTCTGTGCCTCAAAACTGGCCAGAACAGATAAAGTGGCTGCTATTATTCTGTTATCTGAGTTTTCCTGCTCTTAAATTGATTTTGCCTTGTGTACCCATCTCAATAATGAACTCAGTAGTGATAGGAATCACATTATGTATATCTTGGCAAATCAATCAAGTCAGACTGCTGGAACGTTTATGTGCTGGACACAGATCATTGACCACAGCAGACATTCTCCAAGTCTGTTATAATATCTATACATTTTAGAATAACAATAAAAGCAAATTGATTCCGTCAATAATGTTTTATAGTAGTTTAGATATGTTGTAAGAAACTGAATGTACTTTAAACTTGCAATTGACTGATATGGTACTTTAATCATGTAATCTTGATTTTTATTATAGTATGCTGTTAATATAGAAATTTATGTAAAGTGATCAGATTTCTTTTCTTTTTTTCAGCTAAATGGCTAAATATTACATGCTAGCAGAAGACAGGAAGTGTCATGCCTTGTATTTAATTTATTAACATTTATTGAACTTATTTCTGTCTATTCCATTGTTCAGTTCATTCCTTTTTCAAATGGTCTTGGAGAAACCCGAACTGGAGGCACAACTGAGGACACTGAGCTGGAAGCCATATGTCCTGGCAATGCAGAAAACCATGGAGTATGTCCTGCAGGACAGTTACCTTAACCAGAATGCAATAGCAAGTCAGCAGATTGTCTTGCAGGCCATAGAAATCGTCCTCACTGCAATGAACATTAGCAGCGAGTCTATAAATGCTTTCTTGAACAGCAATATCTTCACTAAACCTAATAGCTTCTCCACTGACATGCTCATAAAAGACCTGATCTGGAAAATCATTGACATGAAACTGCTCGGCGACCTGCCTGTGGTCTATGGCTTACTGAATCAATTAATGTATGTAGAAGACACAAGTCGCATCTTGGAAAAAGTAATTGAACTGGTCAACTGGTACAGCACTGCCGAAGACACTGGAGTGAATCTAGCCATGCAGATCCTGCCCAAGTTGTATGAAATGGTGAAGGCAGTACTGCCAGCTGCCAGCCAGCTGACTTCCCCTCTGCCATCCTACTCTGACCTCTTCATTGACCTTGCTGGCAATGCCTTGTATTTGCTGAGACAAATCGCCAGCACCAGCAATCTCTTCGCCCCCATGGATAATTACCTCAATCCATTCCAAATGCAACTTGCTCTGGGACGAAATCTAGGGGATGTTATATCACAATCTAGAAACTCCAGAAGGGTGGCATCAAACGTAAAGAGAGAGCCAGTAGATGATTTTCTAGATCTCCTCGAGATAGACTACAGAACCTTAGGTCACATTCTTTCCGCCCCCCTCAGCCCTGAGGAAATTTGGGAGACCATGCATGTTTTCTTTGCAAACCCTGACCTTGCGGTCATACTGAAGGGCATGTCTGGAAACTCAAGTCAAGATGCGACCATTGACAAAGCCCTCAATGTGCTATCTTACCTGACACTTCCAAGCAACAGGCAGAACGTTATGGAGATGTTCATGCAGATCAGCAAAGAAGGGTGGAGTCTGGATAGCCTGGATAAGACAGGGCAGTTGGCAGAAAGCGTGGGCAGAATGATCGACTTGGCATTGGCGCTTTCCCAGGAGTCACCCCTGGGCATAGCTCAGAGGGTTGAACAGATGGCCAAACAGTTCAGTTTTGCAGCATCATATATTGTCAGCCACCAACGTAATGGCACTAGTCTTGCAGTCCTCACAGCCATCAATGATATTCTGTCACAGAATCTGAAGGACATGAGAAATTTCAGCTCCCAGATCCAGTCCTTCCTTCAAGCCATAATCACTTCCATATCTGCATCAGGGTCGAAGACTGGCCTTGAACCATACATACAGGCTATTGACCAAAGTGTTGAAGCTTTGATCTCCCTCCTACCTCCTCAGGAAGCTGTATATTTTAACATCTCAGCACAGATGGCAGAAGCCTTTGCATTACTCATGTCAAATCCAAGAAATACAGAGAATGTGCTGTTGTCAATTTACAAGATTGCCAATGCCCTCAATCGCACCCTTACCCTCGCCGGTATGACCACTCTTCCAAGTGGGCAGCCTGTGCAGGAGATTACATATCCTTTCCTCCTGAGCAGTGCCTTCGCCACAGAATTCTTGTTCAATCTCTCAGTCTCCAACTACACCTTCAGTAGTGCTCTGGAGCGGAACATGATTTTGACCCAGGTGTTTGATCAGATGACCTCCACTCTCCCAGTGGAGGTACAAATGTACCTCCACCCTCTCAAGTCAGCTCTCTTCTACGCTCTTTCTAATGTGACAAGCACAGCCCAAATACAACCTGCCTTCTTTGAAATCTCTCAGCAAGTTACCCTGTCGCTCTTGCTATCCCTAAATCTAACCGGAGATCCCGCACACGTAGGAGTGACTTCTGGCAACTTCTCTCTTGTCCTGTTCACTGTGTCAAGCAAGATATCCAGAATTCTCTATGACAGCCTAATGGGAGATCCTTCCTCTGTGCAGATTCCATATGTGCTCAGATCTCTGAAAGAGGTCATGATGTCCTTGTCCTTGCTACTACCTGCAGACAAACAGCAACACCTTAACATCTCTCTCCAGTTCATAGAGAGTGTGGCCTTTGCCCTGAACCACACCATCAGCACTGGGAACATAATGGATGTGATGGTCCAGTTTTCTAGCTCTATCAAAAGCCTCCTTGCTATGATGCCAAACATTAGCATGGACACGTCAGGCATTGTTTCCAAACTGGAGTACACCCTGAAGATGCTCCTGGAAGCCCTCTCCTCAGGCCAAGACCCACCATCCCAAAGTGCTGACATGATTCAGCAGATTCTCCTCGCCATCCAGAACTTCCTCAGCCTGTCCAGCAACAATGCAGAGCTGGATATAGCCAAGATCATTCTGAAGGCTGCCGAGATGAGCGCGAGGCCTTTGCTGATGACGAACAACACTAACTGGGCTGACAAGTGAGTGGCTTTGAAGTCATGCTACACTAGCACTGGTTATGAGCTTTTAACGAGATGAGGTATATTTTAGGTTTATTAATCTCCTCTCATATTTTCTGCCTGCCTGGCATTTACCCCGAATAACTGCTTACATCTTCAAAAGCAACACGGATCCAAGAGCGAAAAGAGAACTCATTTGGGTTCATAGAAATAAATTAACATAATCGATCCTGGCTCGACTCATTTTTAGAACGCTGTATGCACAAATAGCTGTAGAACATTATGATTGAGTCAAGCTAAGTGAAAGTGCTGAAAAGCAGTTTTGTTGGGTTAATATAACACATTCTTTCTACTCCCCCAGCCTGCCTCTGGTGCTGACTAACATTGCCAACAGCCTTCCAGACAATCTTCATTTGGGTCCTTTCAATAAAACCATCCTCAGAAGTTTGGCCAATGAATCACAAGGTACGTAAATGAATTTGCTTCCTCGCTCCCCTTTTCATTCAGAAAATTTGCATTAAGTAAGCTCTAACTCATTCTTTCCAGCTACATTTAACAAATTTCATTATGTCATGATGGTCCAAGACTTTTTTTGTCATTCATATTTAGCTCTGTTTCAATTCACCGTTTCTCTGCATAATTCTAATTTGTCTAGCACATGAAGCACATTCAACATGGGCACACTGTAAAAGACTCAGCCACTTGATTTCTCCATGGACTAAATCTACTTTCATGGTTCCCCTAATCCCCATATATCTTAAACAGCATGTGCATATAGTGCTTCATTGTTTTTCAAAAAGCAGATTTTATATTATTCATTGGAATATTGTACACAATAGGCTTAATGTCAGCTTTGGAAAATACTCCATAGTGAGTCAGGAGGCAGTCGGCCAGACTCCCGGAGAAAGAGAGAAAGATCCTCAGCATCCTTATTAAATCTCATTACTGCGGTCAAATTCTATCACATCTCTTTTTCTTTCTTTTTCTCTTTCTCTCTGTTTGTCTCGAATAAAGTTTTCAGTTTTTTCCTTCTGTCAGTGTATAAAAGTGGTGTAACCCACCTCTCAGATATGAGATGATTCCATTAGTTTACATACGTAATAAAATGCCTAACATTTAATTTCTGTCACAAATTAAGAGCTGTTCATTTTAAAGTATGGCACAGGTGCATCACAGTAACCCAACCTTACCTGTACGAGTATGAAGAGAACACGATCTTGGTTATTTGAACATGTGAATATCTGAATTCATCTAAGAAGTAAAAGGTTTGAAAACACTAAACAACCCCTTCATAGGAACTTTTTCTCACAATTTTTTTTTCACAGGATTCAAGAGTTAGTTTTAGACTTTAAGCTTGAATTTACCGATTTACCGAACAGGTTTCCTGAAGAAAATTCTCTGAAATGTGAGGTAAAAATATGTTATAAGCCCCAAATGTCACTCTACAGCTGCCATGAGAAGCGTTAAACCCTCTGTGCGAAAGTGAACAAACTGCACTGTTAGCTTCTTGCTAACACATAATGGGAAAGTTAATGTATGCACTAGCGGAAATTAGCATTATGTTAGCAGGGTTAAACACATATACATAAGCTATGAGACAAAGACAACCTTTCAGTAAAAAAAAATGCGACAAAAATAAAAAAATCTTACTTGAATGACATCAGCCTTGAAGGAAAACCAACATATGCTGTGTTTTATTTGCTGGTATTCTGATTAACCAGCATGGCCATACTGAGTGACCAGCTAAACTGGCACCTGACCAGCATAAATCAGTTTAGACCAGCATGGAGTTCTTGCTGGTATAAGCTGTTTTTCTTTCATCAGGGAGAAAACTGCAACCTCACTAAAATACTGTACACAAATCAGCAAGGTTTGTCAAATATGGTAGATAAGAGGCTTTGGCAGTAGTAGCCCATAGTTTGAGTAGCTGTTTTTATTATATAATAGTGTTTTAGTTTAATAGTAGACTTACTTTTGTGCAATGTCATTTCAATGTGCAGGAGAGTTAGCTTGTTTGCAGCATGTAGCAATTTTCTTATTTCGACTGGTAAACGACCCCACAATTCAAATGTTCCACTGACATTCTGGAGAACAATGTGTTTAGGACTGAACATGTCCGATTTAGAATCACTTTGTTTATCACAGAGTGCTAGCATGGATAGTGGCGCCCATTCATGTTTCCCATTTAGAAAACCCCCTTTAGACCTGGAGTTCCTAATATGAGTATGACGCAGAATATAGAATGACGCACAACTTCCCTCTTTTATCCCAAAATTTAATATTTGCAAACATTAACATAGACTGTCCAGCAGAGTGTTGTGGGTGGCCAAGTTGACTTCATGAATATGCACGAATAAGGCCGACTGAGATTCACCGTAATCAGTTAATCAAGTAGCGAGGTTGACCAAATAAGGTATAATTCCAAAAACAAAGCTAGGTAGCAGAATAAAAGTGTTTTAAAACTTCTGATGTCATTTAATTTACCTCTCAGTGCACAACATCTGGTGCTTAAACAAAAGTGTGTGCATAGTTATTGATTTGCTACTGTTAGAATTTTGAATAAGAAGGGAAAATACTATGCTGAGCCTTATACAGAAGAATCATTTACTTTTTAGTTTCACAGACTCAGGAGTTTAAAGTGTTGACCTCTTTTGCTCTCTCAATCTTCTCTGACTGATAAGCTGCTCGTTAAGAAACTTTCAGTTTACTCTCCCTTGTGCTGTTGTGCTTTATCAGTGCCTGAGTCCTATTATGAGAGATTTCATTTTTGTATCAGATCCTTTTGTTACTGCTGGAGGTGCTGGAGATATAAAGGCATGTAACAGCATGGAGTTCATCTGCTGCCCTCTTTTCTGGGCCAGTTTTCTTTGGGGGACTCCTTTAGCATGTCGTTTTGTGCTTGCTACACCGTGAAGCTGCTCCGATAGTGGAGTTAGGAGGTAGTAATGATTCCTGCAGGGAGCTGAGGTTACTCGTGTCAATGCGATAGCAGACTTTTTTGCAGTTGTTGTTGTTTTCCCGCTCTTTTTCTCTTCCTCTCGTTCTCACTCTCTCTCTGTTTCCACAGAAAACTTGAATCTTCTGCTTCAGACTCTAAACATAGCCTCTGAACTTCTCTTCACCAACTGGATGAGTGACAACTTCAGTGTTTTACTGGACCAGCTGCAGACACAGGTCAGAACTGTAAACCGCTAATTAATGCATTTTAGGCGCACATCTGGGGGTGATGTGTCATCGTCTTTTCATTGTCATTTTTTAATACTAAATGTTTTTGCACCATACAGAACATTTTTAAATGGAACTAAGCACAAAACATGTTTATCCATATCAGTTAGACACAATACAAATCTTGCCATCTTTTAAATTTGAGTTAGGGATGGAAATTTTTGCTTAATATTAATTTACTTAATTCACATGTATACGTTTTAAAATTTGGTGTCTATATATATATATATATATACATAATATATATATATATATATATATATATATATATATATATATATATATATATATATATACATGTATATCGACACACAATGCCTGACAGCTCCTACAAGATCTTAATTCACAAGTTCTGAAATAGCCAAATGAGTGGATTGATCTAGCTGTGAACATTTTGAACACACACACACACACACACACACATATATATATATATATATATATATATATATATATATATATATATATATATATATCACTTATTTGTTCACAGCTTGATCAATCCACTCATTTGGCCATTTCAGAACTTGTGAATTAAGGTCTTGTAGGAGCTGTCAAGCATGGAGTGTTGATCAATAAAGGCTAATTGAGAAACAAGCATATAAACAAATAACAATAGCAAAAACAATCACACGAATCACTCTAAATATGCCCCAAAAATCAATATTCTGTCTTAATGGGAACATCTTTCAGAGTGGACAGTACAGAATATTCACATAGTCGTTTAAGTCAGAAGTCCCTGTTCCTGCATATGTCCTGATGTTTTTCCTGCTCTAACAAACCTCATTCAAATATTCAGCTAATGAGCAGGCTGTTCTTTAGGTAAAGTAGATGTGTTACAACAAGGAAAACACAAATGCAGGGCAGAGGGCCTCCAGAACCAGAAATGGACAACTGCTTTAAAGCTTTCACTTACTCAGTCATGTAATAGTGGTTTGGACATGTTCCTGGATGTGCTGATGTTGCAGGTTTGCAGTCTAGAGAAGATGGACTCAGTGCAGCAGTTCAGCCAGGCTTTGTCTTTAGGCCCTGGCTTGCTATGCCACACGGCTCTGCCCGCCATCCGAGCACTTCATCAAATCTCCAACAACCTGGTGAACCAAAGCACTGGCGTCTATGAACAGCTCTTCAAGACCTTAGTTGGAGACCCCACTACTTATAACATCAAAGTGGACTGGTATAAACACCTTAAAATGTCTTGTTCTCTGCTTGTTTGCTTATTTGTGGCTAGCTGAACCCTGTAAACATCAGAATTAATATTCAGTCATTCCTCCTAAGTTTGTCCTAAATGAAGGGTTTTTGTACAAAAACTTAGTTTGTAAAATCAGGGTCATTTTTATATAGAAAATGTATTTTTCATATTATTACATAATTTCATAGAACAGCATATCGCTGCTGTCAGAAGAAAACCTCATATCTCCACTTTTGTCATTTTCAGTTTTTGGCATAATTTGAAAATGCCTGTTGCCCTTTACACTGTATGTAAATCTCATGATGAATGGACCAAAAGGAACGGCCCAAAATCACTTGCAAAGAAGTCTGGTTCCATTGACTTACATTACAAGTAAAGTCGTTTTTTTCCTTCTCCAGTAAAGTTACCATTTTGGAGATATGAGGTTTTCTTCTGACAGCAGCGATAAAATATTTCAACACTGCTCTCATATTTTTGAGCACTTTTGAACTCCAGCTGTAAGAACTTTCTAACAGAGTCTTATGTACATTCATGATGTCAGTGAGCACAAACGTTTTGACAAATATATCACAGTATCAGCTGATATTGAACTTTAAAACGGCAAAAAATTTGCACTAAAAGTGACTTAGAATGAGTGTAATTGTAATAGTCACTAAAAGTCTGGTGAACTTGTGCAAAACACAATGAATTCAAAACAGTGCTGTACAGTTAGAACTGTATGAGCTTACCAACCTCAATACATAAAAATATATTCATTAAAATAAACATGATTAGTGAAAAGAAGCTGTATAATTCCTTTGACCGTAAAGTAGAAGAGCAAGTATTATGATATCTATGGCATAGAAACTGCCACTATTGGCTATTGGGAAAATATGGACTTCTCTCGTTGCTTAATTTGGGGGATTAGTTGTAACACTGTTTTAAAACTAACCCCACCATGTAGAGGCTGTACTGTAGCCTGGCTAGCTGAAATTTAAGTTAACTTTAAAATGGCGATAAGTTTGCATTAGTAAAGTTAATGAGTGCTGCTACTCTGTGCTAAAAAAGGTCTTACGTGATAGACCCTGACATGGCTTGTTTGGTTGGACTGGTTGGACTGTGTTGTTCTGTTCTCCTTTTCTAAAAATAACACCAGAAGGAGCCCTTCACAGTGTCACAAACATTATACAGACAACAAGCAATGCTCTTGCTATAAGTGATGGTTTATGAGCATTATCATGGCTATAAAGTTCATTGATTGCTAATAATACAGCTAAAACTGAAAATTAATATCACAATGTGGCAATATCAGGGTGTACCAGCATAGACAACATAATTCAACCAGCACTAAGACTTATTCATCAGTAACAACTATAAATTATTTGGTAACTACTATCAAACCAATAGGCACGTTATGTAGCTATATAATGGGCCAAGATGATTATTGTTATTATGTTACAGCATTTTTTGCTGCATTTGTTTTTTGTTGTATTTTGCTCTTACTGTACTGCAGTACATTGGTTACAGTAGAGTCTATATGTACACTATTTATAACCTTGTTTTTTTATTGATTGTTTTCTCTGTCTTTTTTAGGAGCTCTATTCTCTCAAACATTCTCGGTATCAACATCAGCACTTTGAGAAACGTTGAAGTCAACATGACCTCTCAGAGTAAGGCACCACCATCACTACCAGCATAAGGGAAACCGTGACTAAGCTGATTTCATGATTTCAGTTCAAGGCAGCACTGTTCTCAGTCTCGCTGAAAATAGCTTTGCTTCCATCTTTCTCCACTCCAGCCTTACTTTAAAGGCTGACTACATATTTGCACTGATGTGTTGAAATGTCCTTTGTTTTTCCAGGAGAGCCAGACCCTGTCTGTGCCAGCAATGTCTAATGTGCTATTTGTAGTCTGTCTCAGTAGATTCTGTGACACATTTGAAGCAACTCATCAGATTTGATTAATATTTTATTATTATTTGATCAACGTACACATCTCTGCCTTAAATGAAAACATACTTTGTTTCTTGAGCGTATTGTTGACAATTCAGCATTACAACTAACCCCATATGCAAGGTATCAGACTGAGTTTAATTGTAACAGTCGCTAAAAGTCTGGTGAACTGGTGCAAAACACAATGAATTCAATACAGTCCTGTACTGTTAGAACGAGATGAGCTTTCCAACCCAAATACATAAAAATATATTGATTGAAATAAAAATGATTAGTGAAAATAGGCTGTATCATTCTTTTGACTGTAAAGTAGAAGAGCCAATATTACTATATCTATAGCACGTTTTTGATGAATCTGTGCATAAAAAATGTCCACTATTGGCTGTTTTGAATATTGATTTAGGAATATGGACTTCTCTCATTGTTTACTTTGGGGGGCTTAGTTGTAACGCTGTGTTGAAACTAACTCTGGCTAGCTTCAAATGGTGATATGTAACAGCCATTAAGAAGCAGATTAAAGTAATTTAGGTGTAAATTCTGCAACTTATACCCAAAAACTGAGTGGTCAAAAACAAGTATGATTAAAAAACTTACTTTTATGGTTTTATGGCTTACAGATGAGATTGCTCTGTGAATAAGAAAACATCACTAAAAGCACATTCAGTCTGAACCTGTTGAACTACGTTAAATACAAACATACATACATACATACAAACATACATACATACATACATACATACATACATTGTACCCCACTCTTCCCCACATGCCGAATCTGAATGAGAAAATAAGCATGATGTGTTTGTGTTGTGGCAGGTGTTGTGAAGGTGTCTGACTTGCTGAAGAACAAGACACTGTTTGTTTTGGATGTCATGCACTACACCGGCATTTCTTCAGAGATCCTAGACACTCTGCTGGAGTCCTCCTTGCCTAGCAGCAACCTGCAGGTGCCTTCCCACCCCCCAGCACCCCCGGCACACATTAAAGCAGTGATGGCACGAATGCGCAGTGTTTTGTATAGAAGGCGACATCGCAACTCAAAATGTCTATAGGAAAATTTGCATATAAGCTGACCTTATCACATACCAGGCCAGTTTGGTAATACATACTATGCCCTATTCTTAGACAAAACAAATGTCTTGTACTATCAGAAACCATGACGTCGCCGTCTGGGCTGAAATGTTTATTGCACAGCTTGTCCTTTTTATGGAGAATCTCCTTTTACAAAGCGCCGTAGCTCCAGGCTAGGCTGAAAATGTCATTAAAAACTGTCTCATGCATCTGATCTCCAAGACCTCCTAAAATAAGTGTGCAGCGTGAGACAAAATTAAAAGATATTTTAAGACCACCCCCTCATCTAACCTAATGGTTGCACAAAATATTGTTAGTTATTTTTTTATTGTGATACTGGCCAAGGCATGGTGGCCACAAAAAAGTATCTGGACATTTGTTCCATGCTTAAAAATGTATTAAGTTTATTGTGTTAGAAAATAAAATGTCAAACCAAATGGCATTTATTTTGAACAGAATATTCTAAGATTGTACTTTTCTTTTTGGCAAAGTATTCTTTCAAAAGGCAGCTAGTATGTTTCAGATCATTATTTCTTTAGACTTCTGTAGGATTGCATTCAAAATGCCTTTGTACACTTCTGAGTTCATTATCCCATCAATGAACACAAGGCTACCACCACCATAGTCTGAAAATCAGCACCAGACTTTCACGCTTCCACATCTGTGCGATACAGTAGCCTTTGTGCAGTCTGGTTGGAATTCTTCTCCAGACTTTCTCTGCACAAAGGACCAGATGTATGTACAAGTGCTGGTGCAGTTGCTGGTGCAGGGCAAAATGTGCCTCAGTATGACTGTATTATGTGCCCACAATGCACCCTTATTTTTTGCCATGTCTTCTCATATACATAAGTGTGGTCCTGAGACTTTAAACAATGTTATACTGACGGATTTCAGAATGTATTTGAGGCTCTTGTCTCAATTTAACCACTGTGTCTGCTACTACTGTCAACTTAAGCCTCTCAACAACATGCCTTTTGAGAGCTTGACACAATGTTATACCTGGATTTAAATGAAAATCAATGCTTAACCAGCTGCAATATCTCCACCCACTTTTTGAACGATCCTCCCTTGTTCTTGCACAGCCCTGCTTAAATGTGTATGCATGAGAAAGAGAATTCTATGTTCTATCATGCACACGGCCCATAATCTGCATAATTTAGGCTTGTGTGCCAGGTTCACACATAAGACACAAGCTTTTTGTGCCTGAAACTGGCACAAAAAGCTTAGAACATCCTGACCAAAAAGTCTACCATCATTTTGATGTTGTGCTAAAAGCATGGAAGCATTACTGGGCCAATGGTGCCAGTGTTGACTGTCCGGAGCCTCAGGTGGCCTCTGACCACAAAGCCAGAGGCAGCTAAAAGACTGGGGATAGTCCACTGCAGATATAAAAATGAGATAAATGAATAGCCCTAATATGAGATGACTAAATACATTTAATAAAGGCCACTCAGCCTGTGCCCTGACACTATATTTGAAATGCCTAAAAGCCCCTAACACCAACAATGTGCAGTAATGTAATTGTAATTGAAATAATTGAAATAATAGGCCATTATTTGAGTGTTAATAACTTTGGTTACATCATTTTTGTCCTCATTGCTGTTCAATACAAACATGAATATGTATAAGAGGTTTAATTGTAAGCTATTTTGCAGGTGTAGCTTTTCTATTTATTTTTGTCAGAAAGTGAGGGTGGTGGGGGCTAAAAATCATTTGTCCCCAGGGTGCTTGGTGAGACCATGATCTCTCATTGGCTAAAAGGGTTTTTCTGATGCATGCGTCATATTATTAATCATTTTATGAAATACCCTAAAGAACTGTATTAAAGTTGACCAGTGCTTAAATGGTTAAAGTGTCCAAAGTCTTGCTGAGGCCACTGTATATTACAGCCTTGATATGCAGTAACATAATCAACAATATGGATTTTATTCATATCACACAGCACTAAATGGTCCTAGCAGTGACTCATTCTCAGATTGTTTTGTCTCTCTTTGCTGCAGCTCCTGGCTTGGCTAGCTAACTTGCGCTACTGCACTGACCCCTCCTCCCTGGACCTGGACCCCGCAGGAAAACAGATCTTCACGGCTCTTTGTTCCTTGTCTTCTCGACAATGCTACACCATGGCTGTACTTCTGGCTCGGCACATCGACATGGAGAATGCCATATACAGGGTAAAGACCAGAAGACGTCATGTATGATCTAAGATTAGGCCCTCTTGTTTATTAACTATATGGATTTGGATTTGGATATGAAATCCAATCAGATCCTAATTCTGCTCTTTTATGGCGAATAGTTAGGCATAGGGGAATAAATCTCAGGTACATCCCATGAATAAACATAACATGAGAATATTGCTCATATTAGATATATCTAAATTTACAGTAATGTTCCAGTATCATGAGTGCTTTCTGGAATAGATACTGGCAAGCACTGCTGCTTTGTACAGTCTGCATTGTTAGGTTAATAAAGGCTTAGATAAACTGGAGGGTAAAGCTCTACTCTCTGCTGTGAGTTGAAGAGGCTATGTTTAATGCTGGAAGGACGCTGCTGTGGACAGTATCAGAACAACAGGATGGATGTTTATTGACTGTAGTTGTTCTGGGAGACGTAGGGAAAATGGCTTCTCTAGAAATCTCCGCTTGTAAGCATTTAGATGCTGATACTGAGAAAAGCAAGACAGTAAATAGTAATGTCTCTCCTTCCTCTCATCAGTCCTTGTTTTCAGATGACCAGCCATGAGAATGTAGTTTCAAACCTTCATCATCCAGTATGTGTTACTAGTCCTTTGATATTCCCCTTGTAGATGCTGCTTTCCAGTGAAATCCAGGGCATGATGGGCATCCTGATGCAGATGTTGAAATTCTTTACGGACATTATGAGCAAGCTGGCCCCTGCCCTGAACCGGCTGCAGGAATATCTGACCAGCTTTGGTGACCTGAACTTGATGGCAAACTCTGAGTTCCGAAATGTAAGTACTCGCAAAGATATCTAGGCTGAATAAGGCTGCGCTGTATATGATGTTGATCTACTCTTATGTTGATCTACTTTCTCCAGTTTGTGTGGGTGGAAGCAATCTAATCAGCCAGTTATCCATCCATCCATCCATCATCTAAACCGCTTATCCTTCTGGGTCGCGGTGGGGTGCTGGAGCCTATCCCAGCTGTCATTGGGCGGAAGGCTAATCAGCCAGTTATGTGACAGAAATTTTGGGATGGCACACAGGGTGGCCAATCAGATTTCATGGGTAGCCAGGGCCAAATAAAGTTTCCTGTTGGTATAGTTGAATGCTTTTTTGCTGTTTAAAACTCGGATATTACAGTAACAAATATAATTAAAATTAAAAAGTCTTTAAATGGACCACTTTCAAGAATTTTCTTTTTTTCATTATATACGTTGTTGGAGGCCTTACACAAACAGGAAATATCACTGCTATATTATGATTAATATCACCTTTGTTAGAGAAATTAAAATGTTTTTTCTATTGTTACGACCCCTGGTCATAATGCTTCTTACATGAGCCTTGTGCTGCTATTTTGTGTACGTTCTGTCTTGTGTTGCATTGTGTGCAGGTACGTGATTGGCCTTTTTGGGGTGCCCTCCTTGATAAGAGGTCACCAAGCCACTCCCCGGGAGACATTCAGGGCTCTTTCCCTTGTGACGTGACCTGGAAGAACACCTGTCCAGACCAACTGGACACTGTTCACTCCACTCTGCTTCATTTTGTCTCCTTTGTTGAGTTTGTGACAGCTTTATTGGACTTTGTGATCTGGGGTAAAGTAAGGGAAAAGTGCTATTTTGTTTTCGTGACCTTTTTTCCTGTTTTAATGTAGGGAGGCTACCTATCTGCATTTTTCTATCCTTTCAGTTAGATTTGTAATCATTAGTTGTTTTGTTTATTATTTTGCCGTGCGCTCGTCCCTGATGCCATCACCTCATCTTGTGTCTGAGCTTTTGAAGAAAACAAACCTGCCATTATCTGGTTTCAGTGGTGTCTGGGGTCTGGTCTGGCAGCAGGTCTGGGGAGAGGGCCAACTCTCATTTTCTCTTATGGCCTGACCCTAGACTGGGTTGTAACAGAACTGGGGGCTCGTCCGGGTCTAAAAGTATGATTCTCGCTTTGTGTGCGAGAGGTTCTGGGTTCAGATCCCGGACAAGCCCCCTGCCAGACCAGACACCATGGACGCCATTTAAATGAGAATACTTTAGGTTTATTTAGGCTTTCTAGATGTTTAGCAAGAGGCTAAGCTGAATGGGGTGATGGCTTCAGGGATGAGCATATGCCAAAATAATAAACAAAACAACTCATGATCAGAAATCTAACTAAACTAAAAATAAAAGAAACAAAAATACAGATGGCTTCCCTAACTCCCTACATTAAAACGGGAGAAATGGTCACGAAAACAAAATGGCACTTTTCCCTTACTTTCCCCCAGATCACAAAGTCCAATAAAGCTGTCACAAAATCAACGAAGGAGACAAAATCAAGCAGAATGGAGTGAAGAGTGCTGGGTTGGTCTGGACAGGTGTTCCTCCGGGTCACGTCACAGGGGAGAGAGCCCTGAATGTCCAAGTGGCCAATTACGTACCTGCACACAATACAATACAAGAAGGAACACACACATAATAGCAACACAAGGCTCATGAAAACTTTTCATTTTTTACCTGCCTTATTGCACAATTGACGTTATGCTCACGTTTTATCTTTCTGTCTTTCTGTTCACATTTGTACTTGTAAGTGACCCATGTCTTTTGCACTGAAAGGACCCGCATGCATTTTATCACCATGTTAAATCTGCTTTTGACATTGATTAATGATGATGATGATGACAGTGGTTTGCACGTGAGTGGTTCTCATTACAGTCACATGGCCACATATGAGATAAGGATAAAATCCAGGGCCACAACCAAGAGTAGTTCGAATTTATTTTTACCTTTTCCCTTTGCTCTCTATCTCTCTCTCTCTCTCTCTGTCTCTCTCTCCCTCCCTTTCTCTCGCAGTTGGTGAGGGCGAAGCGATCAACGATCTCTAGCAGGGCCACATTTGTCACCATCTCCCGTGCCATGTGTAAAAACGGCATACTGTCACTCTTTGGCATCTCCAAGTTGCCCAACTTGGCCGAGTCCGACCCTTCTTTCGGTGACCAGAAAAGGGTGGATGAGCTCATCACCAAGTTCAAAATCCCACGAGATGCCAGTATGAAAACACACATTCTCAGAGCGCTGAATCTGCAGAGAGGCAGCGTGATAATCCAGTCACTCTATGATCTGCCAAATTGGCTTCTTATGAGATACTGCATACTGTGTGCTCGCACGCAGTGATTCATTTTAATATTTGTCTCAATTATCTTAGCGCGGTTTGTTGACATGTTACTTAAAATTTCAAAACACTCAACATGCAGATACTTTCACTGTGACATTCTCGGAGAAACACCAGGCACATTCTCAAAGCTTACGCAAAAAGTCCTTTTGCTGAGAAAACAGTCAGAATTGCACTCTGTGAGCAAAATGTATTATTTAGATCAATACTGAATATCTGTTTTACGTGACTTCCACTTTCACTGATGTGCACACATAGTTAAACTATGGGAAATTAAGAAAACAGACATGAGGAAAAAGATCTTATGCCTTTTTTCCTTATTGTGAGTGGGTTAAACTGTGGGCTGCCTGTGATGTATTTGTAAGGATATTCATTTCTTCTGTAACAACGACATCAACATGTCTTATGTTTCATTACTACAATGTTGTACCGACTTCATTGAACATTTGCTTTTGAAACTTAAGTAAAGGCTTTTGGATGCTATAGGGTTGGAGACAATCTAGCCAAAAAAAAGGTTTTAGGATTTTATAGTGTGTTTAAGTTGGCAATAATTTCTTTGTGGACTGTAAATGTGTGTGTTTTCTTTCAGCTCCTTTCTGCACCAACTTCTACCTGGATATGGTGAGCACCACAGGGGGCGCTGTAGCCTGGGCCTTCTTGAAGCCGATGCTGCTGGGAAGGGTGCTGTACTCCCCTGACACGCCCCTGACCAGAGCCATCATCAAGAAGGTAACAGCACATTCGACTGGGTTACTTTTAATGTGATTCACTTAATGTGTTACACAGTTTCTAATCTACAAACACTGTAAAAGGCAGTTTTAAATGATATCAAAAAAGTGAAAAATGGCAAACATTTGAGATATATATCAGCGGTAATATATATTATTGATAGATAAAGTGTTATATTGTATTGGTTTAATATACACTCACTGGTCACTTTATTATCATTGTATCCATATAGGTGCACTTTGTATTTCTACAGTTACAGACTGTAGTCCATCTGTTTCTCTGCACAATTTGTTGGCCCCCTTTAATCCATTAATAAATGGTAAGGACCCCCAAAGGACCACCACAGAGCAGGTCCTATTTGGGTGGTGGATCATTCTCAGCACTGCAGTGACACTGACGTGGTGGTAGCATGTTAGTGTGTGTTGCACTGGTATGAGTGGATCAGACACACTAGTGCGGCTGGATTTTTAAACACTGTGCCCACTCACTGTCCACTCTATTAGACACTCCTGCCTTGATGGTCCACTTTGTAGACATAAAGCTAGAGATGATAGCTCATCTGCTCCTGCACAGTTTGCATTAGACATCCTTTAGTCCTTCATCAGTGGTCAGTTTCTGACCACAGGTCACTTTTGGCTGGATGTTTTTGGTTAGTGGACTATTCTCAGTCTTGCGGTGACACTAAGTTGAAAACTTCACCAAAGTGCACCTATATGGTAAGTTGACTTGATAAAATGGAGTGTATGAGTGTATGATAGAAGGTAAGTGTGCCTGATCAGTGAGTGTATAGTGTGTATAGTGTAGAGTGGGTAATGTGTATAGTATATAGTGAGTGCATAGCAAGTATTGTATAGTATTGATTATGTAATACTGATGTTTGTATGTTGTATATGACAATCCCCCACCCTGCTACACTATACAGATATGAATCCTTGGGCAAGACTCCCAACACTACCATTGCCTACCTCTATAAAATGATTAAATTGTAAGTCGCTCTGGATAAGAGTGTCTGGTAAAAGCCATATTAGCCCTATTTTATCCCATTGTATCTCCATTTTTTGTCATTTATAATCTTATTTTTTACATAGTTTGAAAATTTCAGCTGCTTTTTACAATGTAATAAAACTTCATGATGAATGGAAGTTGTTCAAGGGTACAGAAAATCTTCTTACATTAACTTCCATTGAAAGTTAAGAATGTTTTTTTTCCTCTGTCTTGTAAAGTTACCATTTTGGACATACAAGGTTTTGTAGCAACAACAACAACAACAATGCATTTTATGTATCTGGGTCTCAGTTAGTGTTGCCAAATATGACACCAGTGTTGCTATCACATAAAATGTGTACATAAGTAAACAGCTACTACGACATTAAACTCCCTCAGGCACAAGAGCACACACACAACCACACACTCGCACACAAACACAAACACACACCCACACAGGCACACTTTTTCTTTATTCTATTTCTGTTTTCTTGTGGCGTCTGGCAGGCGAATTCCACACTGCAGCAGTTTGGTGACCTGCGTGTGTACTCTGAGGAATGGCTACAGTCATCTTCCTATCTAATGCAGTCAGCACAAGTCCTGAATAAAACCCTGCCCATGCTCCAGGTATGAAGAGAGAAATCTCCACAATGACAAGCTTAAAGTCGCACTGAAGGCACTGATGAGCTGTACATATCACATTTCCTTTGTGCTGTGTCCCTGTGCAGAACTCCCTCCGTAATCCTTTTGTCCAAAACTTCATAAAGAAGCAGACCGACATTGACGTCACACAGATGCAAGAGACTCTCCAGAATTTCTGTAAGTGTGAGATACTCGACTGATGTGGCTGCTTTGGGTGATTATCCGTTTCAGCCTATATCGTATACAGCCTGCAGTATATTTCAAATACCTTTCTCTGTGCAACTTTCGATGTTTGTCCTTGAGGCTGAGCAATTATAAGCAATTACTGCTCCAATTTTAACACAAATGATCCTTCTCTCTCATACAGGAACGGCAGCATTCTTTTATTTCCTCTAATGCTCCAAATACACTTCTCTTTATGGGAATTAATTATAATGATTAATATAGATCCTTGAAAATGAATATGGTTCACAGTCATGTACGCTCCTCTGCAGCTCTGAGGGTTTTTAAATCTTTTTTTTTTCCTCCGCAGCAAACATGACGCAGATGTTGCAGCAGAATCAGTTGATCGTGCAGCAGATCAGCACGCTCTCCAGCCTCATGATGAACCTCTCGTCCTGCGTCAACTTCAACCGCTACCACGGCTACAACTCCACTGAGGAACTGGACAAGCAGGCCGAGAAACTGTCCCAGAACCGCGAGCTCTATGCCAGTGAGTCCACCTCACACACCTGCATCACAAACACCATAAGCCCCCCTGCTTGAAAGCCAAGCCCAGCAGATTTCTGATGGTTTAAAAAGTTCTCAGATGGCAGTAAAAATGTTACATAATGTAATGATTTAATGGGCAAGGATGCTCTTTTCTTACACACTTAAATAAATAGAGGGACTGATACCAGTTACATTTGGTAGGTGCTCTTATTCAGAGCAACCTGTACTTTAATTTTAGGTTGATGAATGGTGCATTAGGAGTCTTGTCCAACGGCTCTTACTGGTGTGGAATGGTGTGCTTGGCCAGACAGGTCATCAAACCCCAGTCTGGTGGGTGGAGGGCAGCAGCATTACCCACTACACTATACCAACTGCTAAAGCTGATAAAGCTCTCCATTGGTTGTCACTAATTTTGAGCAGATGTCATCACTGTGACGATCTTTACACAGCTTTATGCTACCATCGATCACACAAACAGGCACTGAAAGACCCTCTTTTTCATCAACACAGCATATATAAACACAGCACTCTGCAAAAAATGGTGTCTTCTCAAGTAAAATGATCCTAAATCTAGTCGATATACTTAACATTTCCCATTTGTAGATGGTTGTGTACTTATTATAAGATTATCTAACCTATTTCCAGATTTTTTTTACTTGTTTTAGGTCATTTTATTAAGTAAAATTATCTCACTATACTGACAGACAATTTTGCTGGTTTCAAGCACATTTCCTAAAACAAGCACAATTATCTGCCAATATAGTTGTTAAACTTACTTAAAACAAGCAAGAAGTCTAGAAATAAGTGAAATAGTCTTAAATTAAGCTTACAACAATCTCAACAGGAGAAATATTAGGTTTCTTGACTATATTTAGGATAATTGTACTTGGGAAGATAACATTTTTTGCAGTTCATTAGCTTGCTCCATTGTTTCTCCTGATAGTGGGAACTTAATCCTAACCTAAATAGCGAGTAGTAGTATAATAGTGTGAAAAAACAACAAGAAAACTGCAGTTTTTAACCACTTGCACCAGACACCTTCAATTAGTGCTGTAAAATGTAGGTCTGTGGTTAATTAGCCTTTTCTGGCAGTATGCTGATAGTTGTTATAGTAACTAATGTTAGCCAGTTAAATGCAAGGTCAACAGTCATGTGTTGTGTATTAATGCATTCCAAGTTTTTGTCCCTCTGATTATATTTTCATATGTAATGAAGTTGGTGGTCATCATCCTCACTTGATGTCTTTGGGCCTTAATGCCTGCTAGCTGCCCCTTTCAATGATGCCACTGTCACATATACGTCACAAACCCAACTCATACACACACACCATAAACGTGTCTCCTCTTCAGCTCTACACTGTTCAGATAAATGATACTCAGGGCTGAGTACACTATAGAATGAAGAGCCATTAACCTGTTAAGTATGTATAATAATTCACCTGGCTTTTAAGTGAGTAATTCAATGTGATGTCAGTCTAATCAACATGCAGCGTCTGCACTATCAACAAGGTTATTACCACAGATAAATAAAAGTAGTGGTTTTTGAGCACAGAAAACCAATAACAGGCTTGAAATAAGGTCTAAAAATAGAGAAGCACATTTTCAAACATATATTCCAGCCTTTACAGATGCAAAGCAACAAAACTCTCTGTAATGGTCTGCTTATCACATGCACTGTGCTACGCTGCAGTGTTAATTTTCTCAGGTCTGTATTCCTTTGCCTTACTTCTGTTCTTTTACATATTGTATTATTGTTCCTGCATATTTAATGCATTGTCTTTATTGCTTTGAGGCAACTAATAATAATTAGACATCTTTCTTTATACAGCACTTTTCATTTTAGTTACAAAACTTCAGAGGAACAGGGGAACGTATATTCCTCTGTTGCTCTGAAGTGAAAATGAAAATGAGACACAATACTCTAGGCATATGCTGGCTTAAACAAATACGTTTATAATCTGGATTTAAAAACACCCATTAAGCCTCATATTCTTTGGAATGCTATTCCAGAGTTTAAGAGCTATATGAAAAATGAAATTCCACTAACTGAGCTGTAAGAGATCCTAAGAGTTTGCAGTAAGCCTCCCTCACCTGCACAAAGTGGCTTCAAGGCTTTAACAAATCAGTAAGATATGATGGATCTTGGCCATTAAGAGCTTTAAATGTCATAAGCAAGACCTTGTAGTCAATGCAAAACATTTAGTTTCAGACATGTTCTTGATATGTGACTCAAATGATAAACTACCATCCAGTGTTGCGCTAAAGTCTTGAATTGTAGGTTTTGGTTGTACCTTAATGGTTTATTAAGGTCAAGGATGAATTCTGCAACCTTATATTGAGCCGACTTAGGCCCTAACAGCAATACTTCGTTCCCTTGGATTTATAAGGTTCTATCTAACATTTTTGTCAAAATTTAGTTATTTATATAAACTTGTTATTTGACAAATTCTTAACATTATGTGAGGTGTTTCTTAAGTTGCATGCATTTTGGGGCTCTTTATCTAGAAAACAAGAAGGTTCTATCTCCAAAGTCAAACTCTAACTTAGTTCTATAAAGGTCTATGTGCAAGCCAGTCAGCACTTTGAATACACACAAGAGGACCAAAAGACCGATCAGGTTCTGCTTCTTTGTCATGTTGCCGCACTGGTCAGTGACTGTGGGAAACTTTTATAAAACTTTATGAAACATGAAAAACTGCTGAAACTCTGCCTGTCTTTTTGCAGTTCTTTAAAAGGTCTTACCGTCTTAAATTTTAAAAATATTAAGCCACAATGGTAATTAAATAGTAAACATTTAAAATGATGGGGTCTTAATTACAGCATAAATATTAATGACCTGCTACACTTATTTGCTGGGACAGTTTATTAGCTGGTTGCTCTCTGACCTAAAGGAAACTAATGGTTTCTACCTAAAACTGACCTCTGCACTGGACAAAATATTAATGTAGCTCTGACCTTTATACTTAATCTGCAATGCTCTTTTGAATGAGAAAAAAATGATTTGTCCTAACACAAGAAATAAATGTAAAAAAATTGTAATAAACCATAAAAATAAATCTAATAAAAATGTCATAGAAAGCTTTACATTTAACCTTCTGACACATTTAGACACTGTATAATAACACTGATTTTAAGTTTTAAAACAAACTACGAGTGAAATGTTTGTTCATCGCTGCTTTTCATGTTAGAAATTCATGATAGAACCTTATAATTCCAGGCAGAAGGTTCAGATTAGAAAGTTCTGTCTGCTTTTGACATGTTCCAAAAAACTCATTTGCAAATTTGATAGGATTTATTGTACGTTCAGAATTAATTTAGGGTGTCTGTCGTTGTCATGTATGAAAGAGATTGCAAAATCTTTGAAGCTCAATGTCTCAAAACTGCTAAGAATACAGACAGAACCTTATGGTTCCACGGGGATGACTTATATCTTTCCATTCAAGACTCATCCTGAGCCCCTATTTGTACCACTGTATACTTGTATATGGATGAGATGACGATAACGTTCTTCTTAACTCTTGACATCACACACCAGAGCAAAACACTTACAAAATGAAATACACAGCACTCGAGCAAGGGTTCAATTTAAGCTGGTGGAGAATATACAAGATTCCTTCCTTTTCCACTCATGAATACTGTATTATTTTTATCAGGTGTCATCTTCAAGCTGCCTAAAGGCGATGTCTCCTCCTCATCTTCTGGCCTGCCTCCTAAAGTAGACTACACAATCCGCATGCACATTGACAACTCAATGCGAACTGACCGCTCCCGAAACCCGTTCTGGGTGAAATCCTCATACATCTCCCCGCTGAAGACGCAGCGCTACATCCGTGGCTTCGCCTACCTGCAGGAGGGCATTGAGAGGGCCATCATAGCAATGCAAGCTGGGAAAGAGGTGCAGGAGCCCGCCGTGCAGGTCCAGGCCTTCCCATACCCCTGCTTCTATAAAGACGAGTGAGTGGAAATATATACTGCTTCACCACACACAAACACATAGGCCGTATCTGTGTATGTCCGTTTGATTTATGGCACAGTATTGTTGAAACGGCATTGACATATGTTAGGAATTCACTATATATACAGCTTCTAATACAAATAAAACCAAGCAAGCAAAAACTACACAATGTCCAATAAATCATTGTGCCCCGTTCTGTGTACAATACATGGACTATGCCATCTTATGTTAGAACAGCTAGAAAATATCCTGATTTCATTGCTGTGATCGTTGCAATGCTGTGATCTTTGCATCCTGGCCCATTTTGATTTATGACAGAACAGCCTGCCTACACTATCGTGTTGAAATATTAGTAGGAGCGTAATAAAGATTTCTACAGCTTTTGTGTCAGACTCGCGCTCCCAACATGACACGACCTCTGGTATGAACCGCTTGCGGTTCAGTCGGTCAGCTCCTTTTTTGTTTTTTGTTTTTTTCTTGTATCTGTTGTTATGGTTGAATGTAGAGTAAGTGGTTGAGAAAGCTGAGGCGCTGTTTTATTCCACACTCACTGACCCTGAGCTCTCTCTATGTCCCTCAGGTACCTCAACAGCATCTCTTTTGCTTTCCCGCTGGTGCTCATGCTTGCCTGGGTGCTTTTCATCGCCAACTTCGTAAAGAAGCTCGTCCATGAGAGAGAGCTCCGGCTGCATGAGGTATCTTCTCAACCAACAAGGATGAAATCTGAAATATTTTTTCATTATATCATCAATGCCAGCCTTCCACATGGTTTTATTCTTTAAGAATATGTAACAAAGAAAACTATTGTATCCTTTCAGATGTTGTTCGAACACATATTGAGCTTTTCAATACAAAGAAATGCATTTTTCATTTTGCCACATTCCTTTGATGTCTCCCTGTCAAAAGTGCTAAAGGAATAGTTTGGCAAAAAAAACAAATGTACACCAGGAGTAGACCAGTTTTAAAATGTGCACTTAGCACTCAGGCCACAAAGCCAGTGTATCTTCTAGCCAAATTTTAGAATTTCGGCCAGAATTATAGAAACATTGGATATTGTGTATGTTTAATGGATATGCAGGGCAGCCTATAAGGAAGGACAAAAATAGGGAAAGCTTTCAAAGGCCCTGCCATTAGTGGGGACCCAGGAGCCAAAACATTTTGTTCAGAAAGCATGGCAGTGGTGTATATCGCTGCTGTCGGAACAAAACCTTGTATCTCCAAAATGGTAACATTACAAGAGAAGGACAAAACATCCTTTACTTTGTATGTAAGTCAATGAAACCAGACTTTTTTGCAAGTAATTGTGGGTCATTTCTTTTGGCCCATTCATCATGAAATTTACAGAAAATGTAAAAACCAACAGGCATTTTCAAATCACATCAAAAACTGAAAAACGACAAAAATGGATATACAAGATTTTGTTCCGACAGCAACAATATATAATATAGCCACACAGATAGTCAATATTAAAGAGCTTTGAAGGGCCTAAATCTCAGCCACGTTGCTTGGGGTAGAGGTGGACAACAGAATTTTTCAGGGGTCTAGCCATGTCATTGTATATGCACTGCATTTACCATTAACATAGATGGTTGAGCAGGCAAAAACAAGTGAGGTGTTGCTTTTTACTAGTCCCACACATGCACATCCATTTTTTTTAATGTAGTAAAAATGATTTCCTTATAGTTATTCGTTCATAGATGTGAAGGGATCTTCATTTTTCATGATATAGTTGGCCGGACTGAAGATTTTCATCATTCGATCCAGCCGGCCCACCTCCATCTCCATCAGGCTCTGATGAGCTGTTTTCAAATATTGCTTTTGAATATTGTGATTTCTGAAAGAGTAACTCCTGGTAAAGAATGAATTGTGGTCTCTGTCTGTTGTAGAAATCAATGATATGCATGACAGAACATCACATCCTTCTTAAAACTCTATACAAATACAGACACACATATTCTTTCTATCCACCTGACTCTGAAGTTTCTAAATAGCTTTTGTTTGTCAATGTTGTATGAAGAAATGCTCAAAACTCGGAATAGAAAAAAAATCACTTGCTGTCAGCTACCATGGTGGTAACGTTAACATTGGTGAATTCCGTCAACTCTTATTTGATTTATTTCTATGTCCAAACATGAAGGCTCTGGGTTTTACACAGGAGGGTGAAAGTCATTGTTTAGTTACTGAAGGTGGATATTTGTTAATTTGTGAATTCAGCTGGTCTGTTGTTTAAGTAATTGTGAAAAAGAGGGTCTTGTGGCATTTGTAGTGGCTAAAATGTGAAATGTTGAGCCCAGGGGCATCAGGCAATGGGCGATGTTGACACCTGTACATATTTCCCCCCTTTACCTCAAATGTAGTCGATCAGCCAAGACATGTTTGGTGTCTGACGCTTTCTTCTTTAGTTTTGCATGGATGAAGCTAACAAACAATAGAAGCTTATACACAACTTGCCCCAAACTTTGTCGAGTTGTTTGGTAATCTCAAATAGACTAGTCATACTGTTATCTCTAAAAAGGGACAAAACTTAATTGCTAGCTTAAAACAGTAGTAACAGCTGTCTTGAAGCCTGATTCTGTCCATATGTTTGGCCATTTTCACAGATATTGTTTGGTTTAACTATTTCTTTAACTTGTACTGAATCTCACTGAAAAATCCTTTTCACATTCTTGCCACAGTACATGAAGATGATGGGTGTCAATCCTGTTAGTCATTTCTTCGCCTGGTTCATCGAGAGCGCCGTGTTCCTCCTAATGACCATCATCATCCTCACTTTCATTCTGAAGTATGGCAAAGTGCTTCCAAACAGTGATGCCTTCGTGATCTTTCTCTACCTTTGTAACTACGGCCTGAGCATCCTAGCCATCAGCTTCCTTGTCAGCTCTTTCTTCGACAAGACCAACATCGCAGGGCTGAGCGGCAGCCTTATCTATGTCATCTGCTTCTTCCCCTTCATTGTGGTCATGTCCATGGAGGAGACCATGTCCTTCACCGGCAAGGCTGCACTGGTACAGGATATACTGCTATTCTTATTAAAAAGTTTGAATCAATGAATTCTCACATTTCAGTGATTTTTTACTTTGTTTAGTGCTGCTGATATGCACTCATTATGCACTTTATATCTTGTGTAGACTCACTTAACCCTCAGAACATTGACTATGCTATGAGCATGTCATGACAGATTAAGTCCAGTAATATAACTGTGTCATTACAGTTATAATTAATTATAATGACAGATACAGTCATGACAGCAAACATTATGTCATCTGTTATGACAATTAACAGTAAAAGTAACGACACTGTTACACTATTACTAAACAAAATCTGTAATGACAACTCATGACAGTATATCATTGTGTGATTGTGGCAAATGCACTTAAAAGGCAATTCCACCGACTTTTAAATTTCAGTACAATTCATTCATTGAAACGTAACAAATAATTCAAACTGAATTGATGTGAAATGTTGCACTGTACAGATACTTACCAGCTCAGATGTCTTTACAATGGTGGTGTTGGGAACCAGGGCTCAAGATGTTTAATATAGCCATAACACAAATATAGCCATTTTATTTACCTTTATCTAAAATGACCAGTGAACATCATTAAATCTTCAGAGTTTTAATCTTGATAATGCTATAATAGTAATAAATCTGAAAAAGTATGTTTGCTTTGTGTAGTAGTTTTGCATGTACCTCTTGGCCATGAGTGCAGAAAAAATCCTACCTCAGCGCTATAATATATCAGGTAGTGTATTCATAGCCATTTCTTCTAATAGCTTTCTGTGAGGGAGCTTTTAGAGTCATTAAAGGCTTCAGACGTCTGGTTCCTGTCACCACCACTGTGAATAATTCTGACTCTAAATGCTTCTCTTGAAAGGAGAATTTCACATCAAACCACTCTGAATGGCTTTGTTTTCTGAGCATATCGTGGATATTGTCACTACTTGTGGAACACTGAACAACTGTATGTTTCATTTGATAAAAGATTGGACTGTCCTGTTTAGTTGAATTTATAGCAAAACATGATGTGAAACGCTAAATTAAAATCATTGAATTTATCATTTTTTAAATATGGCGCTAATGTTGAGGTCTTGTCACAACAGCAACAATAAGACAGTGCAAAATAAAAATGCATGTTTTACTACAGACTGTGTTGTAACTGCTCTTTTACTTCTTACAGAGCCTGTTTTCTCCAACATGCTTCAGTTATGCGAGTCAGTACATTTCCCGCTATGAGAAACAGGAAGAAGGTAGGCATGTGCAAACAGCAGGCCGTGTTTGTGGGCTTCCCATGGAGCTCCTGTCATATAAGAGCAGAAACAGAGCTTGATTGATTCTTTCTGCATATCTGTGTTTCAGGCATCCAGTGGAGCAACATGTACATCTCTCCTGTGGCTGGAGACACCGCTTCATTTGGTTGGCTCTGCTGGCTTCTCCTCATCGACTCTGTAATCTATTTCCTCCTGGGCGCCTACATCCGCATGGTATTCCCAGGTATTCCCATTCAGCACTGCTTACCTCTAATTAGTTTGTTATTTACTGATACCATCTGCTTGTTCCTGAAGACTGAAAATCAATTTTCTGCAAAAATATATGTGTATCATATACAGTTGCATGCAAAAGTTTGGGGTCCCCTCATTAGATGAAGTGAAAATAAGACACAGAGAACAAATATTTTAGGGAACAATTACTATTTATTTGCCGAACATATTGGGGAAAAATAAAACATAAAATGTGGCCTATGCAAAAGTTATGGCACATTTTATATTTGTTTTTTTTTTAATATGTTAAACTTTGCTGTTAAATTGAAATTGTGCACTAAAATTAGCAGATTAGTGCCACATTCAAGTTTAGAGGAACTTTTTTACTTAGAATATCAACAATACAATTTGACCAGGTGGAGGTGGTGGTGGTTGAGGGTTGGGGGGATCAAACATTTGCATATGACTGTATGTATTCAACATATTCTGTGTTTAACTCATGCTTATAAAGTGTCATGTTTGTAGCCAAATATATGTTTTAATATTAATGTAAAATATTGGAATTGTAATGTATTTCCTCCATCATTTCTCATCAGGTAAATATGGCATACCAGCTCCATGGTACTTCCCTGTGCTCCCATCCTTCTGGACTGACCTATTTGGCTGCTGCAACAGAGCGCCGAGGAAAGTTGGCAGAGGGCTGCTCTTCTCCAACATGGTGCGGGACGTCCAGAAAAAGGGCAAAGGCAAAGGAAAAGGTACACAGGCAGTGCATCTGCAGATTTAACAGATCAACACAAAACAGATCAACACAAAAGCAGCTGCTTCTGCCATTTAATCTCAGTTAACACCACAGTTTCTCAGTGCTGTTGATACGTATCTAACAAATCAGAAAATGTGTACATTTTTATTTGGTTTGTGTCACAAAATTGAGCATAGCGTTAATTCAGGCAGGCCACGACATCAAGCTTAGGCCAATCAAATCACCCATTGCTATCAGCTGACCTCAATCGGCTCACAGCTCAGCTGATTGCCTGCTGTGCATACGATTGGCTAAATTCATCAGGGCACTAATTTAAGCTGCTTTAGCCTGCCCATTCTTGCTGCTTCCTCTGCGGGCCAATTTGCAAACTCCTGCGGGCCCACGGTTGCCTGGTATGGTCATTTTAGGGGTCTTTCTGCTGATCTCCCAGAACATAGAGCCAAATAAAACTAACTAATGGAAACAAAGGATTTTCTTTGATTAAGTGGTCCTGTCTGAACTACTTCGTTGTACAACCAAATATATGAATAAGAATGTCACATATCAGTCATAGTCATTACTCTGCCTTAGCAAAACAATATGAAGTGCTTATTGAATCCACTTCTGCACTGAATGAGCAATTGCAGTGCATCCAACAATAAATTTAGCCTTGTGCTGCTTTAATGTAGACATGTAGCTCACTAGGGCTGAAAGTTTAATCGTCTTAAATCTTAACAGGTTTTAAGTGAGAAAGTGAAACTAATTACACAGAGCTGGTGAAGTGCCTGTAAATGAGTTAGACCAATCAAAAGCAATCAAACACCCATGTCCTGAGACATCACAGCCACAAGTAACTGAAAGTCAGACACAATACTCCTCAAGCCAGAAAAAGGAGATATTCTGGTCTTTTTAGCCAAGAAAACAGGCCTGCATCAAAATTTATAGAATAAATTCAGAATTAGATATTTTCTTCAATTTGTTCAGCCCTACAGCAGGAAAATGACGATTCTGCATGTGAATACATTTTACTCTGCACAGCGTGAACATGCACACACACCTCAATCCCTCTGACGGCTGATTTAAAGGGGTTAAAGGGGAAATCCCCGCAGTTTCTGAATGTGTGTTTGATTAGATGTGGTTACTTTTGCTCCGATCTTCTTCATTTCATCATCTTCTCCCTCTGTATCTGCAGATGTGGGTGATTTCCACGCTCAGGAAGATGAGGAGTTCTCAGAGCTGCCAGTTGGTGTCTCACTGCATGGCTTGACAAAGACTTATGGCAGAAGGAAAGCCATTGAAAACCTGAACCTGTCCTTCTATGAGGGTCATGTCACCTCACTGCTCGGCCACAATGGAGCTGGAAAGACCACCACCATGTAAGAGAGCACATAACTGTCTGTTTCAGCAGGTGTGACATAAAAGACATAAAGTTATTTTGTTTACATTAATCTTTTTATATTTCATATAAGTGATAGTTATTAGAGGTAAATATTGGTAACAGTAAACATTGTAAGTATTAGCTAATGCGTAATTTTATTCACCTGTTCATTAAGTATTAGTTTAGGCTACTAATACTATACTAGTACTACTGCTACTAGGTTGGCATTAATAGATAATTGATTTTGCTTATCCTTAATAGCTTGTGATTATGATTTATTATGTTTTGTTGATTAAAATATAAGAAAAATGCCACATTTAAGTGCTTTTTTGTATTCTATGTATTGAGAACATGTATTTGTGTCTTGCTTTAGGTCTCTCCTCACCGGCTTGTTTGCCCCTTCCTCTGGCTCAATTGAGGTCTATGGGAAAGACATGCAGGCGTTTATTGATGATGTACGGAAGGAGATGGGTGTGTGTATGCAGTACGATGTTCTCTTCGACCACCTGACTGCTAAAGAGCACCTGTTGCTGTATGGTCAGATCAAAGCCCCCCACTGGACAAAGCACGAAATGCGTCAACAAGTGCGCAGGTATGTAGTCTATAGGGATAGAACAGTACAGCACAATTGGAGTGCTGTCTTTTGAATCGGCCTTCATGTTTAACCTAACGGTGTGTCCTAGTAAAAATTATATTACAGCTAATTCAGGGTATCTTTACCAGAGAGCAACAAGCTAAAAGCTAAAGCTAGCAGGCTGGCTATTTATACCTTTAGCTTGCTACCTGGCTATCAAGATATCTTATCTGAGTTTGGCTTTTCTCTGCCTGAAAGGGTAAAAAACTTGTTTCTGGCATCTGCTTGGTGCCGAATAAAGGAATAATTGCTGTTTTCTTTACAATTTTGTACAATGATTCAGGTAAGAGCTGCACTCATGCTAGCTTTATTTATTAGCCTGTAGCTCAGTGGCTAGGCCAGCAGTCAGGATAGGTTGACACCACAGATCCCCATTGTTGGTACGATGCATGCTGAATAATGTAAAGAGAGAACATTGCTGAATGAAAACACAAAAACAATATAAAAACGATAATTCTGTCATACCAATGAGGCTGAGGTGTATAATGCTGCACTACAGAACAGAGCAGAACACAACAAATAACATACTGAAATCTAGTTATAGGCCAGAATGCCCCTTGAAGGTGTGGACAGTTATAGTCCAGCCCATCATTACCTGGCTGAGGTGTGCTAGGAGTGCAAAGAGAATAAAAGCTTTGTACTGGTTTGAGGACTGGATTGAAAACCACTGATATCTCCAGTGTTAACCCATCAATTTCAGTATATATGGACATCATATATTGATCATCACTTTTTTCCTGACTGTTCTCAGGATTCTGGAGGAGACAGGAATGTACGCCCATCGTCACAAGCGTGTGGGGACGCTGTCAGGAGGCATGAAGAGGAAGCTGTCCATTTCCATCGCTTTCATCGGTGGCTCTCGTCTGGTGGTGCTGGATGAACCTACAACGGGCGTGGACCCCTGCTCACGGCGAAGCATCTGGGAAATCATCCTCCAGCATAAGCAGGGTAAAAGAGAGAAATCTACAGAGAGAGAGAGAGAGAGAGAGAGAGAGAGAGAGAGAGAGAGAGAGCATAAAACACTGGTGAACCCTGCAGGCCTTTTGTTCTTATCGGGTTTCTGACATTCCATCTCAAAATTTAATTAAGCGCTAATGGATTTTCTCAAGGTGCGTGCGGCCGTAGAGGAAACAAGAAGGGGGAAATGCCTCAGCAGATGTAGTAATGAGCGATTGTTATCCGCAATGCTTTCGCCGCTCACGTTTCTGATGTTTAATTATGTGCTTCTAAGACAGAGAGACAGTTTGCCCCTATAAGGGATTTAAAACTTGGAAAAATGGTTGGGTTTGATGTGTTTCGCGCATTTGAAAATCTTGTCCTTCTTCCCTACAGTTATTCATTCTCTGCATCTACAATTTCTGACTAGACTTTCTGTGTTTTTTTAATGTCTAGAACGCACAATAATACTGTCCACTCATCACCTGGACGAGGCTGAGGTCCTCAGCGACCGCATTGCTTTCTTGGAGCGTGGAGGCCTCAAGTGCTGCGGATCCCCATTCTACCTGAAAGACAAGCTGGCTAAGGGCTACAACCTCACCCTCACCAAGAAGGTTCTGTGCTGAACATATACACTTAAACTCAATGTGAATCAGAAATAATAATAGCTCATTTTCCTTCCATAATGTGATGTATTTCTGAGTGAAACTTGGGATCAGGGAGAGTCTCTGAACTAGCTGAGTGGTTTCACTCAATGATAGCTGGCGAATATGAGAGAAGAACATGAAACATGATGTTATTGGTTAATGTTTCCCCACCCACTGGTGCATGGTGATGTAATCAAAACTCTGTAGATGTTTTAGAGGTGGTTTAAAGAATAAGCAGAATTTTATCCTTTAAATCATATGCTATGCAGAACCATGTTTAAGATGACATGCCCTGAACTAACAAGGTAAAAACGGTCAGTTTCAATTTTAATGTGATTTTAATAGAATTGTTAGCTGAAAAATGTAGACAGTTTTTACTTAATTTCAAATGTAATTAATACAACAAGGCCTGTTTGGTGTACGAAGTGACTTCTTTAGTATTGCACTAATTCTTTAGTATAGCTATGATGCTAATCTAGCTAAAAAATGAAAAAAAAAGCACTGCATAATTGAAACCATTAGTAGCAGGCATTTTGAAGCCTGCTCAAAATCTTTTTTTTTTAAATAAATATAAATATGCCATACAGAAACCACATAAACAAGTCTACTTGAGATTCCTCAACAACTCAACACAGTTTGAGGAAAACATGCAGTGATTTGTGGATGCATTTTGAACTATGCTGATCAATGGGGCTTTGACTTCTTCCTAGTTAGCTACATTAGCCTTGTAGCATCAGTGCAAAACCAAAGAAGCAGACATCAGACACCAAACATATCTTGTCTGCTCAGCTACATTTGGCGTAAAGCGAGAATTTTGTAAACCATAGCATTAACTATAAAGAGCCTAGTGGAGTAGTGAGAGTTTGCACTTACTTCCACCAGTCTCAGAGCTTTCATGCCAAATCAGTGCTGCAAACCATGTTCTGTAGAATATCTGAGAATGTTTTCCATGAGAAATGCATGTTTCACCTCTTCTCCATGATAAGTGTCATTGCTCCAGTGAATTGGATGTGTTTTCCTCCGGATTCAGGTTCAGCAACCTGATTCTGAGGAGAAATTTGACAGCGAGGAGGTGAAAGCTTTCATCCTTTCACACATGCCTGAGGCTCAACAGAAAGAGGGAGAGGTGGGAGATGTGGTCTACTCTCTTCCTGCCTACAGCTCCCAGAATGCATTTGCCTACCGTTCACTGCTTACTGGCCTGGACAGAAACCTGGATGCTCTACAGCTGGGCTGCTATGGCATATCAGACACGACCCTAGAAGAGGTGAGATACATATAAGACACTGACATATGGATACACAGGCAAATACACACACACACATATGTATGTGTATATATATATATATATATATATATATATATACATATGTATATATATATATGTATATATATATATAAATATGTATATATATATGTAGATATGTGAGATATATGTGTGTCTTCTCAGGTACAGTACACTGATGGATAGTTAGATACGCCCACACATATGCTAACCTAGCACTATGCACACCTATACACAGATGGCACAGATGGACGTATATGCATGCCTAGAAGCACATCCACCGAGACAGATTTACACACAGTACTGTGCACAAATCAGAGACCACCCTTTCCTTTACTCAGTTTCCATTTAAAACTGCCATTAATTACAAGATGTTCATTTTTCAGCATCAGATAACATATTGAACAAAAAATTACACAAACCACCCAACACTAAGAATAATATCAATGATACATTTAATTTGTTTTCTTTTGTGCACCTACTGCCACTTTAACACTTACATCCTTCTAATCTTACAATCAACCAGTTACAACTCTGTCTTCACAGCAAAAGCTGTTCCCAAAGGAATTCTGTTCCCCTTTTAAAGACACTAACATTCACACCAGCAACTACCCAGACTCACTTTAGCTGCCTTCAGATTTCTTTCTTGTGTGCATCTAAAATGGCCAAAACAGATATTTCTAACAAGATTAGATTTAAGACAATACACTTGCATAAGGAAGAGGAATGTCAAAGAAAAATAACTGAAAAAATGGAGCTCAAAAAACAACTAAAAGAGACAGAAAAAATAGGACTCCGAACAACCATGCAAGACCTGATAGACCACCAAAATTGTCCCCAATAAACAGTATCAAATAAAATCAATAAACAGTACTTCAAATAAGCAGTAAATCAAATAAACAGTACTTTGAGAGTACATCTTTTCTCTACAAGAGGAGAAAATCAAGCTCCAAGGATGCGTAGCTGTCAAGAAACCTTTAGTGAGAAAAAGAAGTCAATTTGTTCTAAAGCACTAAACCCAGATTTCTTTGAAAAACTGAAAGCAAGTCTCCCAAAAAAAAAAGAATGCTGTAATGTCCTAATGTCTATCTGCCACATGTATCATGGCGACTTATCATAGACTATTATTTGAACCATTTTCCTGTATTTAGTAAAAGAAAGGAAAACTATAGACTCAAAACAGTCTTGTAATAGATGACAATAGGCAAGTGCCCCTACTATAAGTGTGCTTTGAATCAGGAGTACAGGGGCATTAATGTCCAGTGTAAATGACCATATGCAACAGAATTGAGATTATGTGGAAAAATGCAGGAGCATTCCTCTAATTTAACTGTGAATGTAACTTCAGAAATACTATTTCTAATTTCTATTGGATCATTTGTCATAGTTAGCCGAAGTAAAGGGCAGCTGGTGTCACAAAATTAAAAAAATAAGAGAGGTTGCAAGATTTTCTTATGACAGTGACTACCTAGACACACACACACATATCTAGACACACACATATAAACAGAGCTTCGGGTCTGTTCCTTTATCTGTCTCCAGGTATTCCTGCAGCTGACAAGAGATGATTTGGAGCCAGTGGAGGACAGGCCGTGTACCGTGTCCGAGTCAGTGCAGGAAATGGCAGCTTCCAGAGACAGCCTGCAAGATGATGCCAACGGCAGCATGTACTTGGGAGAGAAAGCCAGTAAGTGCTTCTCCTATAATTACCCACCGTATTGCTTTCCTACCTTAACAGGATAAGTAGGCATTTCTTTGTCCTTTACTGGAAATTACCACAGGCCTCCCTTTAGTTTTCTTCACAGTGAAGACTTACAAACAAGGTTGAATACTTTGCGCACACATCTGACCCAAAGAAGGCTAGTTCAAGAGAAACTCTGACAGATGCGACCAACTACTACATGTTATTTAAAAAGGCCTGTGAATGTATGTAGAGAGGAAAATACAGTAAGCCTGTAGGACTGCATTTAATTACTAACAATTTGTTTTGCCTGCCACACTGCATCATGAACTGCACTTTGTAACTGATAAGCTATGGTATGTAACAGCTGAACTGCACTGTATAACTGATAAGCTATGGTATGTGACAGCTGAACTGCATGTGTAACTGATAAGCTATGGTATGTGACAGCTGAACTGCATGTGTAACTGATAAGCTATGGTATGTGACAGCTGAACTGCATGTGTAACTGATAAGCTATAGTATATAACAGCTGAACTGTGTGTGTGTAACTAAAAAGCTATAGTACATAACAGCTGAACTGTGTGTGTAACTAAAAAGCTATAGTACATAACAGCTGAACTGTGTGTGTAACTAATAAGCTATAGTATATAACAGCTGAACTGTGTGTGTAACTAAAAAGCTATAGTACATAACAGCTGAACTGTGTGTGTAACTAAAAAGCTATAGTACATAACAGCTGAACTGTGTGTGTAACTAAAAAGCTATAGTACATAACGGCTGACCTGGAGTGTGTAATGTGGTGTTCCCTGCTGCAGGTCTAACAGGTAACTCCACGGTGAGCGGGTTCTCACTGGTGGCCCAGCAGGTGATGGCCATGATATTGAAACGTTTCCATCACTGCAGGAGGGACTGGAAGGGCCTCATCTCACAGGTCCTGCTCCCTGTGCTGTTCGTCATCGCCGCTATGGGCCTGGGTTCCATTAAGAGTGACCTACAGTCCTTCCCTGAGATGGAGCTTTCTCCAGCTCTGTATGACACTGGCAAACAGTACGCCTTCTTCAGGTATGCTTACGAAGCTACTTTTAAATCTGAATCTGTGTTAAAGGATTGTTTCACTAAAAATGATTGTTTATTCAGCTGTTTCACGGTGTTTACGAGTGTACACTAAAAAACAGTGCTACATGATTCAAATGTGTCAGCTTATTGCACATTAATAAAATGTGTTACACCATCGCAGTTCTTGCCAAACGATGTGTTGATGAACATATTTTATTCATGTGCAAACACCCAACACATTTGAATCCTGTAAATTGAAAACATTTTTTTCAGCGTACATATGTTGAATGAAAATGTCTTTGTTTTGTTTTTAATCTACAGTGAATCACATCCCTTTCATCAGAAACAGAATTGCTTGGTCAAGTTCACAAGGATTTTGTCTTGGTGAACTTGGTGCTTAATAAAAAGAATATAGAAATTAGTGCTTATGAAAAATCAATACAAATAGTAAACAAATAACTACAAATAAATACAATTACCAGCCTTAAAGGGTATCACATATCTCAACATGTGTGCAGTAGGTAAACTAAATGTACTGGAGGTACACAGCAATATAGATCAAGTGAAATGTGAATGTAACAGATGCAAGGATTCTATTAAGGAATAGATTAATGGATGCTACTTTGCACATGTAAGTATACAAGTATATGATTCAAGATGCCTGGAAAAAGTGCAAGAGATGAAAGAAGTTTTGCTCCTTCTGCTGCAAGCTGCTTCTTGCTTTTCTTAGAATAATGACGCTATGATACCATTTCTTTCTGTAGTAATGAGAATCCCAACTCCACATACCTGGTGAATACGATGATGTCATTTCCAGGCATTGACCACTTCTGCATGGGAAACCCCGACAGCGAGTGAGTATACTCCTCGTCACTGTCGCAGTGATGGAGGCCAAGCTGTGCTCAGACAGCCTGCCAACTGACCATCTGACATGTATTCTCATATTTATCGTATATATGTCGGAACAAAACCTTGTTTCTCCATTGACTTGCATTAAAAGTAAATTGTGTTTTTTCCTTCTCCTGTGAAGTTACCATTTTGGATATACAAGGTTTTGTCCCGACAACAGCGATACGGGTGTGTGTTTATGTGTGTGTGTACTTATGTTAATTCAGAAAAAGTACAACATAATCAAAATTCAATACACATCCTTTAGAAATGGACAAACATGGCAAAATATAAAGGACAAATCTTTTTTTTCAAGACAAGATATAACCTTTATCAAATTCAAATCATAATAAAATAACTCCTATACAACTTATGAAAACAAATGTAGCATTGATTTTAAAAGTCATAATCCACACTTTTAACTGGATTTCTCTGAGCTATGTGTGAGAAATACCTATAAAAGATTGTAAGTCAATAGTTTCTACCTTAAACTCACAGTTTACTTTTTTTACTCCCGTAACTACTTGACCTAGTTTTATAGTAGTTATTGAGAAATTCATAGACTTTACTTAAAATAGTTGCACTAATTCTAACTAAATAAAAATGGTTTGGTTAATAGGTACATACAGTGTTGCTCTATGTGTCAGTCACTGGTATCACTACACCAACAAAGCCACACTGGCTACGCTATGTGTGGCCTTGAATTTGAATGAAGTGCACCTGTGCGTAGTTTGTGACCAGTCTTTGGAAAATTCATTTGCATTCATTCTTGGCCTTTTTGTATTGTGTAGTGCTTCAGCTGTAAAAGCTAATGTGAGCTAATTTAGAGACTCTTTCATGCGAGTGACCACACAGAGCCAGCTGAACTGACTTTCATTTGCAGCGTGAATTTTTTCTTGCCTTATTTACCGGATTTATCCTTTTTTTTCTTTGCGGTGTCGCTTTTAGGCATGTTCCGTACTGCAATGTTCTACCATTTTCTATTGCAGTCCTTACGCTTGCTCTTTCCTTTGTTTCTCTATATAATGCATTCTCTTCAGCTCTTTCTTTCTCTCTAACACACATACTCTGTTTCACTGTGTCTCTGAAAAGCTCTCGTGTGTCATCCCTGGGTAAAAGCCCATATCGGTGCTGTTGTGCGTGCATCATTAGTATTCCATTAACACTTCCTGTTTATTGGATAGATCTCCCCTTACAGGCACTCAAATCAGTGTTGGCACATGTCAGCCTAGACCTTAGAGGCGCTTTTAAATTGTTGGCCAAAAATAAGGAATAAAAATCTGCAGAGTGTTGCTGTGTAGCTGGAATACCGATATCAGTTATAAACCCTCTGTAAGCTGGTTCTGAAGGTTTTATGTAAATGTATTTTGCTTACAGAGTGTGTCGCAGAAGAGGCAGCGCGGTATCTGACGAATGGACATCCGGAGGTAATGGCTCCTCTTGGTCTGGGAGCTGTAAGTGCAGCGACTATTCACAGGTGAGTCAGAGGCACCCTCTGAGCTCTATCGCAGTGATGTTCAGCTTTGGTCCAGCAGGGCCTTTGTACAGCACTGTTTGGCGATATAAACACCTGATATAACTCAGCAGGAGTGGGAGGTATAAAACTGCTATGTTCCATGATGAAGCCACAAAAAGGCAGTGCATTACAGTGATTTTATCACCACGTGAAGCAGAGTTCCTAATACCTGTGATAAAATCACTGCAACGCACAGCTTCAAGTGGCTTATTGCTTTTATACCATGGCAGACAACATCAGATATGATAAAATACTTTTTTTTTCAATAAAAAACTTATACTTATTATTACTTATAATAATGGTGATTAATGATTCTTCCCTCAAGAAATGTAGTTTGTTTAGAGTATGTAATTGTTGCCACACAACCATGGACTACCGAAGGAGAACAAAAGGTTATGATAACACAGCACTGTTTAATACAAGACGCTTCGCTTCATGTGTACTTTTTGGACACCAAATTACAACCGCTAGTTTTATTTAGCACCAATCCAGCGACGCCCCTTTTTCCCATGCTGAGGCTGAATCTCAAAGGACTCCCTGCTCTCTACATAGTGCACTACTTAGGAAATTTAAATACTGCATCCTGCAGCCCAACGGTGAAAGATAAAGCCAAGAAATAGTCATTTGGGACACGTCCATACTCGATAAATGATGCACTATTTGGCTGTAGAGGCTAGAATATCTAAACTTTCATAGCTAGCACACTATTTAGGGAATACAGAGTTATTTGGGATTCAGCCTTGGTTTGACACAACTGAAACATGAACATTTGAAGGCCGTAATCCATTCACGTGACATTCTTTAGAATTCTTTAGTATCTGCAGATACTTACATGGACCATAAACAGAGGTATCCAGGTGCTTTAAGGTCATTTAGATCCTCAAAAACTATTAGCATAACTTTAAAATCTATCCTGAAAGATACAGGTAGTCAGTGCAGTAGTCAGTCTCTTTTTTTGTTAGGATCTGTGCTGCTGCACTTTGAGTTGAGGATGGATTGTTTTCATAGGAAGCACAGTAAATGCACTATTTAGGTGCAGAAACCAGAGTTTCATAACTTACATAGCACACTATACAAAAAAGGAAGGAGCTGTTTTAGATTCAACCTGGGTTTGGTGCTACTTAAGGCAGATCTGACTAAAACTGTTTGAAGCATGTAAGACATTCAAGTGACATAACCTTTACTCCTTTATATTGCAGTTCTACAGTGAACCATGTAGAATCATGCTTTAATTTAAAGGAGTGTACTCCAGGCCTCTAGGACTGAAACTGGAAACCCTGCTCTACAGTTTCTCAGATCTACAAACTTGCACTGTGCCATTACATCATTTGTTCTCATTTATCTGTGACTCATTTTTTCTTCCTGTTTTATTTATTTGGTTATTGTTTGTTGCATTATATTAATGCACATGTTGTGAACAGATGAGACTAAAATGTGAAAGTGTGCCAAAAGATGGATCCTGCAGCACTTAGAATGCACACGACAATAGAAACAGCCTGAGGCGCATTCTGACTTGAGCAGTGTTTGTGCTCTTACGCTGTCCCCAAATACCACTGGCACTCTTTAGTTCTGTGACAGCATGCTGCAGACGGCTGGCTGCCTCCTTTTTTTTTTCTTTGAAAACCCCAAAACCCTTTGGCTGCTCCTACACTCCTCCCTCTGCTCATTTCAGACCTGCCAGAAGCCTGGATTTGAACCTCCTCATAAAACCAACCCCTCGTCCCAAATCGTCTACAACCTGACCGATGTCAATATTGAGAACTACCTCTTGGCCACGGCTAATGACTTCGTCAGAAACAGGCAAGTTTATGTGAATGCACAATGTAAGAGGAGTATGACAAATGAAGCTATGCTATGTCTGCATTATTCTTTCAGAGTGGGGTATAGCATAAAAGCAAAGATGGAACAATGCTAAAGTGATGAGGTTAAGAACAAATACAGTTCAAGAACAAATAAACCCCAGTCCTAGACTTTAATTGCTGAGTTTGTTTACATGCACATGTATAAGGTGATCATAATCTGATTTTGGCAGGTCACAGATTATTCAAGTTTAAATGTAGACAGCATGCGAAGATATACTGAATTAAAACTGTTATGAAATAAAGACACCTGGGCTTTAGCTGGATATTTGGCCTATTTAGTGCATATATACTGTTAACCTTTAATTTTTCTACATCTTTTCTACATAATTGGCTGGAGAAGAGCTGCTCTGGTAGCAGTAAACACACTTGAAGAGGGGGAGAGCATAATGTGCTCATAAAGAGTGATCCATTCAGACTGACTCATGCATTTATGAGTTATTGACAGTTGTAGACAGATTCATGTAGAATGACCCTTGTAAAATTAATCATGTTGACTGAATCACATAAACTGGCTCATGTAGCCTTCTCATATGGACTGATTCATTGACACTGATTCATATAGACTGATTCATATAGAATGCCTTATGTAAACTGAGTCATGTTGACTGAATCATGTAAACTCACTCATGTAGACTGATTCGTGCAGACTGATCTGTGTAGACTGAATCATCTAGACTGATTCATGCAGATTGATTCATGTAGACTAATTCATGTAGCATGACTCATGTAGACTGAGCCGTGTAGACTGACTCATGTAGACTGAGCCGTGTAGACTGACTCATGTAGACTGGTTCATGTAGTTTTCCCATTATCAAATTAGTGCTTAAGTATATTTAAACGTGCCTTATGAATACTTACACATTTTAGCTTAGCTAGCAATATCTATTTAGGAGAATAATCATTAGATTATGAATAACTTTAGAGGAAGCTCTTGGGTAACCCCACTGCTGTTCTGTGGCTCCTTTGACCTTTTGGCACTTCCTATGTTACACAAACAGTCACCAGAAGTGGAGCATGCATGGTGCATGGAAATACTTTATTAGGCTATGCATAAAATAGTTATGGGAAATCATACATTATTCATACATTATAAAATGTGCAGCCTCCTCTGGGTTGCAGGGAGAACAACAAAGACAATTCACAAATGCATTGTGAGGGCAGGAGGTGACTGCACCAGTAATCAAGGCTGGGAATTAATGGGAAATTAACATGCAAAAGTGTGTTTGTTTTAACCTAACCTGTTTAATGTGTTGGTGTCAAATGAACTCTTGTTTAAATTGTTTGTGTCTCAGATACGGAGGCTGGTCCTTTGGGAAGTCCCTTCCTATTGACCTCCAAATGGACATTCTGGAGGTGCCCATGAACAAGACCCTAACTAAGGTAATCACAGACACAGTTGGTCATCAAAGCACAGGTGCTAGATCTCAGGCACCAATTCATTCCAAAATATATTCAGAATAATCTTCTTTGGCTCACAACAGTGCAGTGCTGGACGGATTAGTAACCAACTGCAGAGTACATGGTCGTTTCAGGAAAATTGTTAAATTTAAACCAGTCAAAATCTCAACAGTTGAATTGGATTAGCTTCCCAACATTTAATGCTGTTGCTTCTGTTTTTGTTTCTGTAGCAGATTTTTCAGAAATATAACTTACCAAAACTGGTCTATATACAATGAAGGTGTTTACAGAGAATCTTTTTCATGCCACAGCCTTGCAGTGGCATCTTCTTCATTATCCAAACATTGCCACAAACGCCATTGACCAAATGAGAGCAAGTGATCATGCAGACTAAAACATGCCTGCAAGATTAACTGATATCATTAACAACAATGGCAACCATTGCAAAATCTGGAGAGCGTGGAGAGTGTTTTAATTAGTGTGCAGTTTGTAGTACTTAAAGCAATGAATATTATGGTGGGTATATCATAATGGGTAACACTGCTTCCATCCACGTGTCAGACTAGGGTTGAATACCCTGCCCCAGTAAGCACACCATGCTATGTCAATAAGAGTCCTTAGGCAAGACGCCTAACTCAGTATTCACCCATCTCTGTAACATGATTGAATTGTAACATAACAATGCCTTACATATAAGTAATTGGTGTAGAATAACCCTGTTTCTGTACATGCAGGTGTGGTACAACCCAGAAGGCCATCACACCTTACCTGCCTACCTCAACAGCCTCAACAACTTTATCCTGCGCTCTAACATCCCAGCGGACCAACGTCAGAAATACGGTTAGTCACATACATACATACATACATGCACTATAGCACAGTATCACAGTATCAGCATTTTCCAGCTAAAAGTGAAATTTCATACCATTTCAAAGTTAATCCTCAGAAATCAAGAGTTACTACTTTTGTTTTACTACCCTGTTCAAATGTAATAAAAAGTGATGCAAACTTTCTTTTTGACCAGTAACTCACCGGCATCAGTCTGTGATTAATCATTAAACAGCAAGCCTAAAATCAAGGATGGGACCCAATATGAACTGTAAAACGAACAGTTTGGCTTCTGAAATCTGATGGGCTGAGCCTTGTTTTAAGCTCCTGTAAAACACAATCAGCTGAATTCTATATTCATTCAGGACATGACACTGATAGGTGGGGCCGGGCATTAGCATATATATAAAGCAAACACTGAAAACCATATTAAATACACCCTATGCTACATAAAAACCCAGTTTAGTTTGTTTGTATAATATGTTCATGATTATATGACCAAAAACTGAAAAGTTGACTGGAATATGCAATGATGGGCTACTAAAAGTTCTATATTCTAGAGTTGTAAAGTTATTTACCACACATTACCTCCCATATATTCCATGACTGTCTTGCCCATGTTTGTTTTCAATATGGTCCATTGTTGTACCACCACCCCTTTCCAAAAAAGTTGGGATGGTGTGTAAAATGTAAACAAAAAACAAAATGCAATGATATGCAAATCACATAAACCCTATATTTCATTGGAAATAGTACAAAGACAACATATAAAATACTGAAACTGAGAAATATTGTTTTTTGAAAAATATATGTCCATTTTGAATTTGATGCCAGAAACACATTCCAAAAAAGGTGGGACGGGGGCATGTTTACCACTGTGTTTCATCACCTCTTCTTTTAACAACACTCTTTAAGCATTTGGAAACTGAGGAGACACTGCTGTAGTTTTGAAAATGAAATGTTTTACCATTCTTGCTTGATATTGGATTTCAGCTGCTCAACAGTTCCTTTATTGTGTTTTTTGTTTCATAATGTGTCAAATGTTTTTAATGGGTGACAGATCTGGACCACAGGCAGGCCAGTTTAGCATCTGGACTCTTTTACTACAGAGCCATGCTGTTGCATGGTGTTGTTTTGTTTAGTTATAGTCAGTATATAAAGTCAGACAAAAATAATAAAGCCTGCCCAGGAATCATTTTCAATACTTCTTTACTGTACTATGATTGTTATTAATGGTGCTTACTTTTTCTTCCTAATTGTCATCATGTTCATTATTATTATTTTGCTAAAACATTTATAATGAAGACTTTATAAAGACATTTTGAATAGCTGTATGCAAGTTATAACCCTCTTAGGTTGCCCCCCCCCCACTCGTCAGACCAAATTTGCACTCCTATTCATGAATACAGTTCGGACAAATCGGTGGGGCTAAAAAGCAGATTATTAGAGGTGGTCACACTGCGGCAGAAAGACAGACAGAGAGATAGTTAAGCATTGCCTACAATTCAAAGAAAATTGTCCACAATTCCATGCTTTGTTTACAAATGCAAAGTCATCCATAAGCATACATCCACTGTGCTGTTGTGCAACAGCTGCTGCAGTTCCACTGTCCTTTGGCAGGGGGCAGTGTTTCTCTTCAGTCTTGTTGCCGTGCAGCAGGAATCGTAATTAGCGGTGCTGAGAGCTGGAGTGAAGTGGATAAAACAGGACGGAGGCTCCAGCCTTATTTCAGCAGTGCTGCCAGGCCAGGCCTAGTGGCTCAGATTCACTAGCCGCCTCCGGGGCAAGATTAATACAGGCCCGGCAGTCAATAAGGGAAAAGGGAGATGCAATCATTCAAATGTTGCCGGTGAACTCACTGGGGCCCGAAACGGAGCATAAATCCAGCGAAGGACTGTCAGAGCGGCCGCCCCGTGTGCCTGTGACGTGGCTGGGGTGGAAGTGTTGTGTGAATGTGAATTGTTCATGTATTAAATCATGTCTTCTTCTTTCTTTTTTTCTTCCTTCTTTCCCCTCCCCGCAGCAATCTCACTGTCCAGCCATCCCTACCCCGGCCAGGTGGAAGATGAGGATGCCATGTAAGGACACTTTCATTTCCTCCAGCGTGCCGCTCTTTAGCACACAGGGCTCATAAAGGTGCCGGAATGGCGATGAGGCTGCCAAGCCCCAAAATCAAAGAACCCAGTGGTCAGGACAGTGAGGCAAATGCCTTGGCTTTAGATAAGATATGCAAACAGTGTGCTGCTATTTACATTCCACTGATGCTCTTGGAGTAATGCAGTTTGACTGCTGTATTTACTCCTCTTTGATCGTTTTAAATGGATTTCCTCTGAGCTTGGGTTATCGATTACTGGCCCAATATAATATGTGCACGCTCTCAAGGTGGCTCAGAGGTTAATTCATTCAGCACCGGCGTCCGAAACTTACTTGAAGACTGCTGCTGTGCTTAATTTGGAAGCCGAGCTCTGCACAATTATTTCACTTTTGCGACTCGGATGAGGTTGGCTCGGAGCCTGGTGGGGAGAGGTGTCTGAGGATAAGGAGAAAGGTGTGTAGGTGGGAGAAAAAGAGAGAAAGTTGAAGGCGAGGAGAGGAGGAGAGCTGTAAGATAAGAACAGAGAGCTTTTATGAATAGTTTAAAAACAGTGTGTATTCTCATGTGTCTGTTTTAGTTTCCTAAGAAACGATGCAGCGTTTGAACTGTTCAAATCAATATTCATAGTACGACCCGTGCACCGAGACTTTGTTCGAAGAAACATATCTACAAAGAGTGATGGAGAAAAGGTGCGGATCCAGGGTCATTTCCATTGACCTTTGTAATCGCTTTCGTTATGACAAAGAAAAGCTGATTTAAAGTCACTTTGAGAAGAAATAGGCACGTAATTCAAGGTTCTTCATAAAATGTGCAGTGCTGTTTAAAAATCAGAGACCACCCTGCATTTCAAGTCAAGTCAATGTTTATTTATATAGTGTTTTTTACTACAGGTGTTGTCACAAAGCAGCTTTACCGAAAAAAATCCAAGCTTCCAGTGAGCATTGCCAGTGGTGACAGTGGCAAGGAAAAACTTTCTAAGAGCAAGAGGAAGAAACCTTGAGAGGAACCAAGACTCAGAAGGGGAAGCCGTCCTCCTCTGGTCGACTCCAGATAGCAAACAATAACAGCAGAAAATGAGATTTGACCATTAATATAAGATACAAAAAGAAAGGAAAAGCAGGAGTAGTAATGTCAATGTTCAAAAAAATGCAGCAGCATTTACTTAATATCATATCATAAATTAAATGAGCCACTATGTTATTCATTTCTCAGTGTCAGGAAAAAGCAGAAAATAATAAACCATGAATTATATATTTTATCTTTACACAAATGGCACAACTACTAAATATTGTAGCATCAGGGTGGAGTAAGACACAGGGGAGGCCATGATTCCACCATGAGAAATGCTTTTTATTCAACACCAGGTCAGAAAGGCACAACAAATCATTGAACTGGCAGGGGAGGTCACCACTAACTACACGCTACCATTAACCCCCACCCCTCCACACACAAAACATACTAATAACCCACATCCCCCACAGAATGACACCATAAACACATACACATACCTCAAACCAATGAGCAACGGGCATTAACAACAACAAGTCCCTTTCCAGAGGGTGTGCGCCTTCCATGATCCTCCTCACATGGCCACTCGCATGGCCATGCCTCACAAGCTTCTAAAGATTAGTGCCAGCCAATGGCGGGTTGCTACAATATAATATTACATTATTCAGCATTTACTTTGTCCACGCTATGCCTTTATTACAGCTTCCATTCTTTTCCAGAGACTCTTTGCAGTGCTGATTTTCCACACCTCCAAAGTTCAGTCTTGTTTGCATTTTCTGCTTCTCACAATCCAAGTAATCCCAAATACATTCAGTGATGTTGTGGTCTGAGAACACCAGCAGCTTCTTTGTTTGATCTGCACATTTTGATTTGCCTTACAGAGGACGGATGGACAGAAACACATGCAGATTTTTCAGATGTGAGCAGGAGTAGTGCTTGATTTTCTCGTCTCTCAAAGATGAAAGCTTTAAGTGCTGTTTGTCTGATACTTTTGGTGGTCTACCAAGTTCTGCATGGCTGTTAGGAATCCCACTTTTAATATAGACCAGTTCTCCAGACCTAGTTTAAGGCCAAACAAATAAAAACGAAAGTGCAACGGAGATTCACTTTGGCCACTGTAATTTAGTCTAAGATTAGGCTTGATGTCTGTGTAGCTGGTCATATATCTTTTTATATTAATTCTTTGAACTTCAGTTTTTCACTTATTTTTCATTGACTTTCCCATCCCTTAGGCAAGTGGACTATCTTGTATCTAATCTCCTCAGAAATCTCTCCTGAAAAGTGAATAACTTGTACTTAATAGCCATTCTGACAGGACATGAAAGAAATGAAAAATTACATTTTCTGACATTTGCATAGTAATGTACATATGTCTAAATTTGATCCTATGTACATGCAGGAACTCTCTTTTTAAGGCTAAGTGGCTCTGTTGCTTGCTCAACACATATAAATATAAATGTGAGACTTTCAATCACCTTGACAAATCAAGATGTATAGGCCATTGTAACATGCACACATTTGTACAAGAGCTGTGGAAAGCGATATTTCCAATGAAACCATCCATCAGAAAGTTAGTGGCACTCAATCTTAATGTTGCCTACCATGCAGACCTTATGAATCTGAAAAAAAGGTTAAGTTAATAATAATTATCATAATGATGATAATAATGATAATAACAATGACTGTTCAGTCCTTGTTTTCAAAACTCAGGCATTCTTAATGGTATCAAATTGACTGATATTCATAAAAATAGATGACATCAAAGCTGTTGGGAGTGAGGAACAGGTGGTTCGTAATGAGGAACGTTATTGATATTTCAATAACAGATATTTCACATCTGTGTTGTTAACTGTGATGAATCATATTGGCAGGAGTATTTATATCTGCTCATCATGCTACATTTTAAGCCAAAGGGAAACTCAAACACAAACCCTAAACTAAACACTGAAACAGCAAAAGCGCTACAACAAAACTCCTGTTTTAATAATCTTAAAATATTCATATTTTGTGATGCAGCCGCCTGCTTTCTTCCTAAACAAGCTTAGTGGAGTTTTCTGTTAGTTTTCATTCCATCTAACCCAGTTTATTGTAACCAGTCTTAAAAATAATGATGCCAAAATGGTTTATTGGAATGATAAAAGAACAATTCCTGGTTTGCTAAAGTTCCTTTAAATAGATGATTCTTTCAAGAACCATTTTTGTGAATGTGAAGTATGAGTATGACGAATCAGTTTTAAAGCACCTCTATGTGATGTTAAGGTTGTGTAATCATTAATGGTCCTTTCTAGAGATGTACGTCCAAGCTGAGAACCAGTTAGGAGCCTTCATTTTTAAAAGTATGACAGATTTTGAGGATATTCACTGGGTGGAGTTGATAACGGTTGGATAGCATAGTGGATAAGACCATTTCCCCACATATAGAATTCACCTACCATCATAAACTGCTCTGGAAAAGAGTGAAGCTAAATACATTCTTAAAAACAAAGGAGCCAGAGGGACTCAAAAAGGGGTCTTGGGCATGGTGGTATAAAAGAGCCACTTTTCATTCTCCAAAGAAGCTTTTTAACGTTTGAAGCAACTCTACATAATGTAAATGTCTACACCAATTAGAGCTTCAATCAGACCTGAAATTTTGGTCTGAACCTAAATGCAGCCTGAGAATAGTCTTGATGCATGAACTGCACCACATCATTAGGTTTTAAGTCTGAATCCACCCAAGCCCAACAAAATTTTGTCTGTACTCAACCAAACCCAAACCGCATCATCAAGTTCTGAGTCTGAATCCGACCACAGTATAACAAAACTGGCTCATCATCACTCAAAGGGCGGAATAATTCCTGACACGTGGTACATTAATGTGTAGCTACAATAATAGATTGTGTATAAATAATCCATCCATCCATCCATCATCTAAACCGCTTATCCTTCTGGGTCGCGGTGGGGTGCTGGAGCCTATCCCAGCTGTCATCAGGCGGAAGGCAGGATACACCCTGGACAGGTCGCCAGTCCATCACAGGGCAGACAGACAGACAGACATATACATCCACACACACACTCACACCTAGGGGCAATTTAGCACGTCCAATTGACCTGACTGCATGTTTTTGGACTGTGGGAGGAAACCGGAGTACCCGGAGGAAACCCACGCAGACACGGGGAGAACATGCAAACTCCACACAGAAACGACCCTGGTTACCCAGCCGGGAATCGAACCCAGGCCCTTCTTGCTGTGAGGCGACAGCGCTACCCACTGCGCCACCGTGCCGCCCTGTATAAATAATATGAAACATAATTTAAAATAATATGCTATAAGAAAATAATCAGCTGTCCTCCAACAAGCTTAAATAATGTTTTGATTAATGTATTCATCAAATAATTCTTTTAATTAAATGCATTTCCAGATTGTTTTAACACAGCATTATATTAGCCTTCACTTGTGTGACCCTAAAACTCTATTCCTTTTCATACACTCTTTAGTAAAAGTGCTATTTAGAACCATACATTCCATAAAAAAACATTTCCTGCTTAAATGTTTTTTGCATGGTGAAATGGTTCTTCACATTGATGGAGAATGTGTTGCATATTGCAATATTCTTGAAAATGGTTCTATATAGCACCAAAAAGCAATCTTCTATTGTTACTATCATAACAGTTCTGTCTAAATTCTATTTATGGCTAGTTAGGTATACGTTTACTTAATAAATAAAGTTTCAGGCTCAATTGATTTTTTTTTTCCACGAACCAAACATTATGATAAGATTGTTCACATCTAAAAAAGCACTCACTTGAGATCGTGGGCCCCTGGTCTGCGTTCTTGTTTTCTTTCCTGTATTATATGCTGTTTGCTATTACAAACCGGGCAGAACCCCGTTCGCATTAATGTGCGAAATGTTCACTTCTGCTGCGCAGAGCCTGATTCTGCTCTTTAGATCGATTTTCTCATTTGTTCTGGGTTTTCAGCGTGCCTGGCCTTTGGCTAGGCAGCTGCCCTCATGGAAGAGTAGCAGCGATAGGCAAGGGAGGCCAGGCAGGATCAGACGTACAGGCCCAGCGGGTGGCTTCTGTAAGAGTAAACGTCATGCTGAGACAGAAATCTCCAGAAACTGTCTTGGGCCTTCTCCGAAAACATCTATGAAGAGCTTGAGAGATCTTAATAACTCACTGTGTGAGTTCACAACAGGTGAACCAATTCTGTGAAGGAGCAGAGGGTCCAGATTGCGTTGTGAAGTTTTTGACTTGGTGCTCATGTCCATTAACCTGTTATCTGTAGTTCTGCGCATTCTCTTCTCTTCTGTTCTTCTGAGTAAACGATGTTTGCGTGTCCTACAGGGTCCGTGGCCTGGTCAATGTTTTGGTTGCATTGTGTGTCCTCACCGGCTACTCCATTATGACAGCCAGCTTTGTCATCTACGAAGTTCAGGAGCACCACAACGGCTCCAAGAGGCTCCAGCACATTTCGGGCATCAGTGAACCCTTCTACTGGGTGGTCAACTTCTTCTATGATATGGTACTTCATTTAGTTCACTTGCTCACTATGAACTCAGAAAGCATCTAAATCATTTTTGCCTCTCAGGTTGGTTCCATCACACCAGAATGTAACCGTAAAATTAGTTAAAATCAGTTCAGTGATTTTATCTAAAGTGCTAAGAGTGAATGAAAGCTAATGTGGACCACTTGATTCATGATTCATGATTCATGTGCTTTCATTCATTTTTACAATGTTAGCATTGTTTCTTTGTTATTAGACACAAATAAAAAAGTGTATGGTGACTGAATAAGTTAGATCCAGATATAATGTGCTCTCTCTCTCTCTCTCTGTCCTCTATCTGTCTCTCTGCCAGGCTCTGTACATGGTTCCTGTGGTTCTCTCTGTGATCATGATCGCAGCCTTCCAGCTTCCAGCCTTCACTGATCGTCTGAATCTGGGAGCAGTCACGCTGCTGCTTGTGCTCTTTGGGTCAGTATTAAAGTGACAGAAAGGAGGGACTTTTAAGTTTAAGAAGCACTTACAAAACAGGTTACATTGAGATTTAGGAGGTGAGGAGCCCTACTTCTTTCAGGGGAGACAGTAATGTGGGAAAATATCTTTCAATTTACACTCTTATTAGGCGTTCCCAGAATTGATGTCACAGAAACTAGTAGGAAACGAGTTCTCAATATCTATATCTATATCAATATCTAAATCAATATCTGGTTGCAAGCAGGGCTTCATTTGTGCTGGAATAAGCCAGATTTGAATCCAGTACCTTCCAGATAGGATCTGGCACCTCGTTTAGACATTAAATATTCATGCAACGTGAGTTGAATGGAACTAGTTAATTTAATTGCTATCAAATGAAGTAGTTTTTAGGTTTAACTGAAGAACTACTTTTCTTTTACAATGTAGAACCATTTTATAAAGGTTCTTTGAAGAACAAATAAAGAAGAACCAGCCAACCATGCAAAGAATCATTCTAACTCAAGCCGCCATGCTTCTGTATAAAACCACTGCCTTTCCTAAAGAACCCTTGAAGAAACCCCATTTTTTCATGGGTGTAGGCAAAATGAATAAATGTATGTATCAAGCTGAAACACCATCAAACAGCAGGAAAGATTGAAAAGGCGCTTGCATAATTGTGAAAACCAACTGAATGAGAGAAAAAGGAGCTGCTTCGCAAAATCATACAAACACGCAGCACCTAAAAAAGACCACCATGAAATGTTAGATGCAGTGGGAGTAGATAAAAATCAGTACTGAATAGTTACATGAGTTTCACAAAGATTGCATTAGAATCTATTTCCATTTCCAAATTGTATTACCGAAGCTCAGCTTTTTGCATTTTCATTTACATACAGATTCTGGGGTTTCTGTTGTAATTTAACCTCTGGTTAGAAATCAAGGTTTCCTGCTGCGGAACAGGAACAGAAGCTGCTTACAGTTGGCCTGGCAGGCTGTACAGCAGTGATTTCCCCACTCCGTCAGTCTGCTAATTGCGCCATGAACGGCACTGCGGGTTAAGCCCAGCGCTGCTCCTCTGGCTGTGGGCTCTGAGGAGGCCCTGGGAGGCCCCGCCGCTCAGCGAAAACTCAGCGCTCTGTCTTCCATTCATCAGCCCCAGCGGTCCTCTGCCTTCCGGCCCATAAATAACCAGTCCAGCACCGCTGTCTGCTGCCCGCTCTCACCCAGAGCCGCTTAATTGCTTTTGTTCGGCATCCATGTGTCTGAGGGAAAAGTCTGCTTCTCTCTGCCGCACATTCTCACTCACACAGATAAACACTCACACTCGGAGCTCACTCTCCTCTGTGTTTAAGCACATCTACTTCCTTGACCCCCTCCACCCCAATCACCGAGAGTAATGAATAAAAAAGCAGATCATTTTGTAGTGCAGAAAAGGCGAGAAAAAGCCTCACCGTGAGAGAGCAGATGAAGTCATTTATCTTCCGCTCGCTTAGCTCAGCTTGTGAACATTTTTTTCCTTTATTCTTCTTCTTCTGCTTTTTTTTAACACCTCCTTTTAGTCATGGTTTGACTGGACATTTCTCCTCTGTACTTTTCCTCAGCATAGTTGTAGTTGTCTCCTCTCCATGTCCATTTTAATTCTATGGCTCTTTTACAGGTTTGCCACCTTCCCCTGGATGTACCTCATTTCAACCCTATTCAAGGATGCAGAGATGGCCTTCATCAGCTACGTCTGCATCAACCTCTTCATCAGTGTGAACACCATCATCTCCACTGCAATAGTCTACTTCCTAGGGCAGCTCAATCCGAATGATGAGGTAAGACTGGGCCAGCAAGAACAGCTTAACCTCTTGAACCTCAGGCTTATTATTCCATTACTAATCTTAAGGCTTACCCTGTATGTCTAAAAGTATACATCCCTTGTAATTACTTCCACTACTTTAAAGTCCGCCTATTGCTAACATGTGTTCAATTGCAAATAATGAGTTGTATAATCTCAAAAGAAAGTCTAGGTCAGGGGTCAGCAACCCAAATGTTTTGTTTTCAACAAAAATCAAACCACTTTGAGAGCCACAGCATTTTATGTCCATTTTACCATCTTGGATGTAAATATGTTTCAGTATGTGCTAATGAACTAATAAAGGCTAAAACGCAGACATTCTTTGCTCTGCTTTAAGCTTTAGCTCAGCTATATCCGCTTTTCTTGCATCTCCGGCAGGAAACTTTTCCAAAAAAGTAGAAAGGATTTTTGTAAAATGTCTCTCAACATTCAAATTCTTATGAGGCTGAAGTCGCTTCTCACTCACCAGCTTCTTGTTTGAATTTTCCTGTTCCACCTTAAATGGTGCCTGAGGCCTTGCAGATTTAACATATCAGGAAACCAGCTGAGTGCTTAATAAGTCCATATGTCACCAAATTATTGATGTTCATCTTAAATCTTGCTATGATGATCAGCGATCTATGCACCAACCTTCGGTGAATTAGCAGCTATAGGCTACATTAACTCCAGTGTTTAAGACCATTTATCGTTAAATCTGTGTTTGAACGATCAGCAGAGCTTTATTTTACTGCAGAGGATGATTGTTTTATTTTTACCTAAATATCTAATTCTGCTGTGGAGCCGCAACATGACTGGAAAAGTTGCATGTTGCCAAACCCTGCTCTGGGGTCACCATGCTCAATACCAAGCACCTATTAATACTCTTGATTTCAGAAGAAATGTTGGACGAGCAGGTGTCTACAAACATTTGGACATATAGTGTACAAATTATTTGGTAACTCTTATAAAAACTAATTTATGTAGTTATGATATTGAGGATTTAAAGTGTGGGCCCATATAAAGTCAAAGAACCTGAAAGATGTGGCTGAAACCAATACCAATTTTAAAGGGTTAAAAATTCTAATGAGCTATAATATTGACCGCTAAGATTATTTCAGATTGTAAAGCTATAATCAAATACGTGTAGTGAAACCATGCTTTACTGATAAATATGATCATCATTTTTTAGTTGTCACACTCCTTAAACCAAATCAAACAACAAGTCACAGTCTTAAAATTTTAGTGCTTACATTCTCTCTTCATACTCTTCACACATAAAAAGTGAGGAAAATTCAGTTTTCCATGATTTTAGCCCTCTCAATGATTTATATCTTACGTTATGTGAATTTATTATTTAGAAGTCCAATTAACTCAAAATTTTAAGACAGCCCAGTTACTTACTATACATCCCATCCCATAATCCTTCTGAATAAGAACCTCTCCCACTTTACTCTACTGCACATATACATATTTTATAAATACACTTACATTTGTATTAGCTGCTCAACTTTTAGCTGTACATACTGTATGTATGTGCTTCAGTACTTCATTGTAACTCTACTTTAATACCAGTGCACATCCTTCATATTACTCAGATATTGTTTGTTTACTGTCTTTTGTATATATATATAAATATATATATATATATATATATATATATATATATATGGTATCTTTTTCATTACTTATGTTATTGTATTTAATTTTATGGTGAATCAAAATTCTGAACACCATTAAAACACCATTTCTTTTACAATGTAATCCTCTTCATAAAAAGGTAGTTATGTTATCCTCTTGTTAAGTTTAGGTTTTGAATACATTTTACATATTTTTGTCAAAACATAATGGCGTCTTGTGTTCAGATTGATCAGTTCAGTCTGTATTGCTGTGATAATAATGGATGACTCATTTTGTGTTCCCCTGTGGCACAACCATCTATGCTTTTCCCCTGTTGTCAGGAGGTAGTGAGCTTAGTGAGGCCACGACCAGAGAATCTGCTAATTATCTCAGCCTGTATGCCAGTATATTGCCAATATGTCACTTGGGACCGAGTTCATTGGGTTTCTATATACAGAATATACCCTAAAAAATTATCCGCTACCCTGAGGAAATACATTATAGTTGATGTTGTAGTCACTGTAACATGTGACAAGTGGTACATTTAAATCACTGTTATGTATATATGAAAAAGACAAGAAAAACATCCCAAGTGGAATGAATGAAAGTACATGCCAAATGCAGCTAGCAAGAAAGTCCGATTTTCTAGGTATAAAAAAATAAAAACAAACTAATCCATTCTCTCCTTTGTCTCCCTTTTGCCCTCACAGAACATCCAGGTGGTGTACCGCACCCTGAGCTACGTGTTCCTGATCTTTCCCCAGTTCAGCTTCGGAAACGGACTGATGGAGCTGGCCCGGGTGGACATACAGGTTCAGATCCTGAGTGTGTTCGGAGTGGACGCCTATAAGAACCCCTTTGGCATGGACGTGTTGGGCTGGATGTTCGTCTCCCTGTTCCTGCAGGGCTTCCTCTGCTTCACTCTGCGGCTGCTGCTCAACAAGTGGCTCCTGCAGAAAGTTAGGTAAGGCCCCAGTAGGTTTATAAAACAAAGTGGAGTAAAAGTTAGAAATAAACTTTAATAGAGTGTCACTCCATGATATTACAACAATAAATAACGGAAAATTAAAAAGAGAAACACACTGTTATTGCAGAGCCATTTCGTGACAGTTAAAGTGCGTTACGATGGCCATACATCATTAGATGCTGAATTGTGTATCGGATATTGCGCTCGAGCAGTTATGGAATAGAAAGTAGTTGCTGGGTTTAAAATTGTGAAAAATAATTGTTGTTCTTGTCCCAAGATGTGAATATCAATTTATATGGCAGAAAGAAACATTTTTATATTATTGTAAATAACAATTATTTCAGGGAAGTTAAATAGTTTTATTATGCCCCATTTTTCACTTGTATAATTCTCATGCTCATGTTTTTTTGCCTGTCCCTGACAAGGCGGCTCTTCTGCCGGAGTAACTCAGTGCCTCAGACAAGAAGCTGGGACGAGGACGAGGATGTTTTGGCTGAGCGCCAGCGTGTGGACAGTGGAGCGGCTAGTTCTGATTTGCTGCAGGTCAGCCAGCTCACGAAAGTCTACCAGCATCTGAACCGGAAAGTTGCGGCCGTTAAGAAGCTGTCTTTCGGCATACCGGCGGGAGAGGTCAGTTAAATGAACCATACATGATTAAAATATTTGTTTCAGTAATTCCTATAATTATGAATTGTGAGTTATGATGATTATAGTGATTCTTTTCCTAACGAGTAACCGGATATGCAAAATAATGAGGTCTGGTTAGTGATACTATTCAGATTAAATGTAGAGCATTGTGTTTAAATGTGTGTGCTATTTCAGAAAGAATAGACAGTTTTTGGTCTTTTTAGTGCTTTGGATTGCTGGGTGTCAACGGAGCAGGAAAGACCACCACATTCAAGATGCTGACTGGAGATGTCAGCCCTACATGTGGCTCAGCGCAAGTCCTAGACTGGGACGGGTAACGGTTTCCCCCATATCAACTCTGTTTAACCATGTTTGGCCATAGATGTTAGCACTAGTGTTTAATGTACACTGCTAAATCTGCTTATTTCATGTTCTCAGGAGAATGGTTGACATGATAGACTGCAGGACAGAGGGCATAAACATCGGTTACTGCCCTCAAGTGGATGCTCTGGATGACTTGCTGACTGGAGAGGAGCATCTGTACTTCTACGCCCGTATCAGGGGCATCGCCCAGAGGGAGATTGATGGGGTAAGATACTCTCTTTGTCTCTGTTCACGAGTTAGATCAATGGTGTACAAAGCCAGACTCAAAGACAAGTGACAATGATCACCTGTTCAAATCATCCAACCAGACGTTTGTGTTCAGTTGGTCATCGACTACTAGTAAAAACGAACACTGAATCAATATATATGTTTTCTGGGTTGTCAAAAAGTTGGTTCAATGAAAAATGTATATTAATTAAGCCAGTCTTTGTTTGTCCCTGTTAGCAGCATTCAAAAGGGCCTCACTAATGACTATATGTAGGCGGTGGTAGACAAAGTACACAAATCTAGTGTGTGAGTGGAAGTAGAGATACCTGTGTAAAATATTCCTGGATTACTAACGATCCAACATTTCTCCTCTTGTGTTAGGGTAACATTTTACTCCCCATCCAAACCTCACATTACAGCATTTTCTTTCATTCCTGAATCTTATCAGATGTGCCCAGGCCTAGTTACAGTTGCTTAGCTATGATTGGCCATTCTGTATTTAGGGGAAGGATTTTGTGAAAGGTACATTATGATTGGTTTGATTTATTCGTGAAAGTGCATTGCATTATTTTCAATGTTATGCAATATCTAGTTTTTTTTCTTTATAGTGTCTTGCGGAAAGCAGTACAAAGTGTTAGTGTGAAATGTAGTGAAGTGAAAATAAAAACATAAGATGCTTGAAAAAAGTACTGCACTATTTAAATAATAATAAATGTTTTGTTAAAATTGAACGGAGTAGCATTACTGAGTCGAGAGAAAAAAAAACATACTAAAGTATGATCTATGTGCAGAGCTGTGACTAACCCTGTAAAGGTAGAAATAAGATTAGATGACCCTTATTAGTCCCACAATGGGGAAATTTCACCTCTGAATTTAACCCATCTGTGCAGTGAAACACCACATACACACTAGTGAACACACACTAGGGGGCAGTGGGCACACTTGCCAGGGGTGGTGGGCATCCCTATCCGCAGCGCCCGAGGAGCAGTTGGGGGTTAGGTGTCTTGCTCAAGGGCACTTCAGTCATGTGCTATCGGCTCAGGGGATCGAACCAGCAATCTTCTGGTCACAGGGCTGGTTCCCTAACCTCCAGCCCACAATTGCCCCTATAATAATTTATAAGCCAGAAGTGTCAGATTTTGGAGAATCTTTTGTACGATGTACATCTTTACATATTAATGTCACACACTCAGGCTCAGAAAGAAGGTCCAGCTTGATGTTTAGGTCTCAAATGCAAAATCAACATTGCGTGCAATTACACATTTCCACCAGAGAGGTCTCCAAATTCCCAAAACTTACACAGTGTAGCCTTAAGTAGAGTAAAGAAGTACATGAACTTTGTTTGTTGAGACCGTTTCTGTCCACAACCGCATTTAAGCCATCTTTTACAACTGTTACAATTATTTACACACATGATAGAAGAAGAGAAGTTACATGAATGTACTCTAGTACATTGTTTACCTGTTGTTCACCATTTGTTGAAGAGGTACATCACAACTAATAGAACTTGCCTGAGTTTGCCATTGGAATTTATGACAGGTACTAAATAATTAGTCATTTTTGCATTGTTTCATTAACCCTTGCCTGGTATGTTTATTTGCAGTAATTTGTCCTCTAAGAAACATTTTAAAACTCTGTTTTACTCTCAGGCTTTCGAGACTTTGTAAGTCAGCAGCTTTGCAGGGCACTGACTTCTTTCCACATATATCTAAATATAAGGCCGAGCCGGGCTCACTGGGGCCGTCTCGGTGCAGAGGGAGCTTCGTATGAGTAGAGTATTGAATTTGACAGGCCGGGGCTGGCGCTTCTCCATATTGATTAGAGAGGAAGCTAATTAATCTTCCATTCTCACAGTATTATTGGAAAGGGGCAGTTCTGGAAAACCTGCTTCGGGCCTCTCTCGTGAAATCTTCATTAGCCATAAACAAGCAAGAGAGACAGTATTTCTTAAGGACTTATCATGACAGTGCTGATCTAGGTAAATGTGACACTTTGGCAATCTGGCTCATTAAAAAAAATATTGTGTCCGAAGAGAAATGAATGAAGCAAAGCCACGCAGTGCATCTCCGAGAGATTTGTCACTGAAACGACGTTTGTGAAGTAAAGCAATTTAGTCCCAGGGAACACAGTGTAATATATTCAAAGCATTTATATGATACTAAAATTTAGTGTAATATTAAACATCCAGCAAAGTTTCAATGAGGAAAAACAAGATAGAAATTTAATAAAACATCACTTATAGGACCTGTCTCACAACTGTCTGGACTTGGTTCTAATATTCTGATAATTGACGGCCCTCAGTCTAACACTCCCAGTGTCCTATTCCACTGAAACAGAATAAACACAACAGTGTTTCTACATCGTCGCTGTCCAATAAAAACCATGTATGTCCATTTTTGTTGATTTTTATTTTTCTACATCATTTCAACACTCCAGCTGTCCTTTACATTGTGTGAGAATTTTATGATGAAAGGACAAATAGAAAGGCTCAAAAATCCGTTGGAATAAAGACTCTTTACATTATCTTACATTGAAAGGTGAGTGTGTTTTTGCCTTCTCCTGTAAACTTAATATTTTGGAGATACTTGTTTTTCTTTGGACAGTGACGATATGCAGGTCGAGTGGTAGACTCTCTCGATAAAAACATGCGGCTTTAATATGGTAACATCTTACAGACGGTAGCAAAGGTATACCTGAACTGGACGGTGCAGTTCTTATTCATTTACTGTTGGATGTGCATCCATGGAATGCTGGCAAATAAACTGACAAGTGGACATGCAGACAGTCATGCTTGCTAGGTTAGCTTTCGCTTGGTTGTTAGCTTTCACTCAGTAAGTTTTTCTGACTCAAGCACACGTAGGGGGCCACAATTTTGTTAAAGCTGTGTGGGCAGGACAAGCCACATCAGCCTTGTGACTGCTGAGGACTGCTTACATACCTGTGACCCAAGAGTAGGACTGCCCAGTTTACATCAAAAGACAATAATTTGGCAAAATTCAGTTAATGAATGTCTACAGGACATATTTTGTAAATGTATATTGTGCACCCACATAAGCAAGATTAACCTAATTAAAAAAACAACATGGATGCAGATTCCCTGGGGCTTTAAACTTACCTCCACTGTGCACTTTATTAGAAACACCTACCTTGTATTTCCACTCACTGGACAACCTTATAAGTCCACTATAAAGATAACCAATTACAGACTGCAGCCCGTCTGTTGCTGCACGATTTATCAGCTCCCCATAACCCCATTCATCACTGGCCTGTTTCCGAACTGTTGACCAGATATTATTTGTGTGGTGAACTATTTTCAACACAGCAGTTTCACTAGTGGCGTGATAGTGTGAGAGTGATCGATCACCAACAATCACCAAGAGAAGCTCTGTGGTCAGAAACTGACCACTGATGAAGGATGGCTAACACCAACAACGCTTCAACAGATGGGCTACAGTCTCTAACTGTACACCAGCAAAGTGGACTCGCATGCTGGAGCTTTCCAATAAAGATGTAATATAGAGGCCCGTGAATGTATCCTGATGGGCTAGTTTGAGTGCCATTAGTCATTTAAATGTTCCGTCTCCGCCCCCCTTCCTTGCTCTCCTCGTCCGTACCGCCCTCTGCCCTCCTTAGTGTGTTTATCTTTAAAGACATTGCTTTCTATAGTGAACAGAAACTGTGATAGCCATTTATTATGACACGACCATCGGAGTGTCTCCCCGTATGGGCATTAGGAGGGTGACACTCTGCACTGTTATGGTTTTTATCATTTTAATGTGGTTCGCCGCTTCACAGTGATAGAGGTAATGGCTCCTACTTGAACCTTTCTCTTAGAACAGCACACGGCCTGCTAAGACTAATGGAAAGAGCGAACAATTTCAGAGCCTTTTAGAAGGTGAGTCATCTCCAGAAACAGAGAAGGAGTGACTTCAGCATAACTTGAAGTCAAAGTGAGGACACTGTAGCTGTGTTGGCCTTATTTTCGCCCCTTATGTCTTCACAGAGTGATATGAATCATTCAGACATGAAAATCCTAAGTCTGAACAAGTGCACTATTACACCATTAAAAGCTTTTGGTTAAAAAAAAGAATGATTTAGAAGCCCTATCGGTCATCTCCTACTGTCGCTGCTGCCTCAGTGCCTCAGAGGCTTGGACATTAGCTCAGATTAGGAAAAGATTTGGGACATGCGGTCTCAAAATCCCAGAAAGCCATGGGAAATGTGCTATCCCTTTCGAACAGGACAGTCAGAGGACGGATGTAAACCCACTGAAACTGAGAGCACTTTACGGTTTGTCACAGGTCCACATTGAGCTGTTTAAATTCAGAGAGAGGCTGGTTCGCTCTTTTGATGTAGGAATCCAATTAATTAAATGGATGCAGCATGCATGACGTGCTTTTTTGTGGCGGGTCAGATGTCAACAGGCATTTAATCAAAACACAGTTCAGAGCGACTCATTATGGTGCTGAGACCACATGCTCAACATGCTAGACGAAGTTGTGAAGCATTTTTCGGGGGGGGCGATTAGTGCTTCATTGAACCGAAACAGAACAGGGTGGGAAGTTGCGACGGAGCCGACTTTAAAAATGTGAAAATATGCTTCATCTTAAAATATGTTTGTAAGTTAACTGGCAAAAATGAACTTCAGATTCCTTTCTGAACTGACAACGTTTTGTGCTTGCAGGTTGTGAACTATCTGCTGAAGAAACTCGAGCTGAGCTACCACAGGCACGTCACCAGTGAGCGCTACAGCTGCGGAACACGCCGGAAACTTTCCACTGCCTTGGCTCTCATTGGACAGCCTCAGCTCCTGCTGCTGGTGCGACTATCTACCTCCTACACGCTCCTCCATAACGCAGTTTACAGTTTATATTAGAATTTCTCCTTCATCTTTCTATCAGCTCATTCTCGGCCACCTGTCAGCAGTTCCATCTACTGCTACTTTAAAAACAGATTACTTTCAGAGACGTTTGGTGGACAGGGACATTTACCACAGCTTTTAGCTACTTCACATTGCAATATGTTCTATTCACACATGATCTGATGTGACACTGATGCGCTCTGCTGTACAGAAGCACTGAGCTACTCATTGTCCATTGGGAAATACAAGTGCTTACTGGTTTACTCTTGCTTGCCCCCTCAATCAGGACGAGCCCAGCTCAGGAATGGACCCCCGCTCTAAACGGCACCTCTGGAAGATCATCTCAGAGGAGGTGAAGGGAAAATGTGCTGTGGTTCTGACATCACACAGGTATGAACATTTATATGTAACTTCTTTAAGGCATGAATAAATACTATATCCGTTATTGATTAATCTATTCATCATTATTCGATTAATCAACTAACTGAACCATTACACACTCTATGGTTTCTTCTCACTTTTACCATCAAAGCGTCATCATCCGTTCCATCCATGCGAGAAGATATTTCCTCTTTTATGGTGAAACGAAACAAGGCCATATTGTCCTATATGTTTTCTCTAGTGAACTGCAATGTGTCAGAAAGGCCACGTGTATTTTATGAACCTAATATGGATCATTCTGCGGAACTGATTCAAAGTCAGAGTTGAAAACCCATTTTTTAACTGACTGACTGGGACACTAAAATCCCTTTCCTTTAAATGACTTTGTCTTTATTATGCTTATTTTATTAAACTAAATCATTGAAAATTCCACTTTGTCTCTTCAAAAACAATCATAACACACCAAAACTTTACCAAATGTTTGTTAGTAACTGTTTCGGTAGTGACACTTTTAGCTAATTTGAACAGAACTGAAAATGCTAGTCTGTGCATAACTAGCAAACACAGATTTGAACAGTTGTACACACATAAAATTATGATATTATTCATTAAAAACGTCCACTTAATTGCAGAAAGTATGTGTTTCGGTAGTAAAAATTCTTAAGGTTATACACTGATTTTACTTCAAAACAATGGGCTCTAACCGCTCACCATGTGGCCATGAGGGACAGGGATGCGGTCTTACTTTCTGCTCTAAGAAGCAGGGGCGTGGCTAAAACAAGGCTTTGCCTACAGACTAAAACACTGTTTCAGTAGTGACAAGAAAATGTGGGGCATTTTTTTAAATCTCTTATTTTATTTAAAAATTCAAGTCATGATAAATCAAAATGATCCATCTTCACTTTAAACGACAAAGAGATCTTTTTAAAAACAGCATTAAAAAAGGATTATAGGAGGGTTATTTTCACAAATGTAAATTGAGGGGTTGGGGTTTAGGACAGACAATCCCAATATAATGTACTCTAACTACCCCTTTTGTATATATTTAGCTTACTGCAAAGAACACCTTCACCATGTAAAGCATTTTTTTTTTTTGGAACTATTTTCTTTACTAAAGAACCTTTGAAGAACCATCCTTTTTAAGAATGTGGTTATCTGTGCACCATGGATTTTGATGGAAGGGTAAAAAAAAAGAAAAATTAATATACAGCCACTGCTAACATGTAGTCAATAAAAGACTATAAGAGTGTTACCTTTATTTAATGTCATGGCCTTAAATTAGCTGACTTGTTAGTACTGACTTGTTTAGGATTCAAAGATTAGGACTATTGACTTGAGACTCGCCTGTACTGACTTTTGACTTGAATCGAGACTCGACTATCTTGACTTGGAACTTGATTTGAGACTTGAATGTCTAGACTTGAGACTTACTTGTTACTTGCAACTTAGTGACTTGTTCCCACCTCTGGTAAAATAAATCAGCGTGTGGCATTGGAGCTTTCTGTGTGCTCCTGTGTTTTCTATTACTATATAAAAGAAGATCCATGCTGCCTTTAATGATGGATGAACTGTGATTGTACACGTTCAGAATGGTATTCACATCACTATGGAAATACTTATTACTGATCTGTTTACTCAGAGTAACAATAAAAGGCAACTAAAGTCTGAAATGTATTCTCATGCATCTGTTTGCTTGTTCAAAATGGTAGTTTTTGATACAGACAAAGGAATAATTCCTTACATTTCAAAATAAATACAATAAAAGAAATTAAGAAATTACATCATTACAGGAGAAGAGAAGATTAAAAGTCAGAAATGGCTCCTTTTTGCCTCACAATTAAAAGGTTAAGAGAGAAAAGTGAGGTAACCTTTCTTTGGTCTAATTCAGTTTGTTGCATTTGCTTCTTTCAGCATGGAGGAGTGTGAGGCTTTGTGTTCTCGTCTGGCTATAATGGTGCAAGGCCAGTTCAGATGTCTGGGCTCCCTACAGCACATCAAGAACAGGTCAGTGGCCTCTCTCTCTGCCTCCACAAACCTATTAGTCACCACTTTGCCTCCGCCTCTCTTGTCTCTTTCTTCTCCTCACACTTCTTCTCTCTCCACATCGAACTACACATCAGTCTAATACCCCTCACAGACACTCGTTTGCTTTGTCGAGAGAGATAGAGCTAACCTGTGTTGACCCAACAGGTTTGGCAGTGGCTTCACGGTGAAGATGTACCTGACTGCAGCCTCCTGTGATGTAGATCCAATCACCAAGTTCATGGAGCAGCATTTTCCCAGCACTTACCTGAAGGTAAAGGCACTTTATATGGGCGGGACTGATGAGTGCATTCTTAATACTATTCTTACAGATCAATGCGCTCTGTGTACTAGCTCGGGGAACATTTAAAGCCACCCTGCTGAGTGTTTCTCCGCTTGGTAATGGTAAGCATTTGTAGCTGTGAGCCAAGGAGCCTGTGTTGCATTTTCTTTAAACTCTGTTAGGAATCTTTAATTGGTAGTTTAGAGCAGGTGTCTCAGTCTCAGTCCTGAGGGAGTTTCTGCATTGCAGTTTCTGTGCTTTCCCAGCTAATTTGGCTCTTGAAAGACTCTGTAATTACATCTGTGAAGTCATTGAAATGTCCAATATTAGTGGTCAGGGAGACTAGACTTGTGATGAATGTTCTAAAGGGCTAAATCAGTTCAAAAGACAGTAGAAACTTTGTAATTACATCAATCTGTTGTGTTACATCAGGGAAAACACATAAAAATCTGTGGGGCTTAAAGTGCTGGTTTGGCCAAATAATGGAAGTTTACAGCCAACATTTTAGCGTAAGTCATCACACACTTGCCTCAAGCTGTTTCAAGTTGTTAAATGGCCAAAATGAAAAAATGTAAGCATCGCTACTTGTGTTACATGTGTAAACATGCCTACTTGCCCCATACAGCCATACTGGAATGTTATCTAGAGCAGGAATGCCCAAAAGTGGGGCTGCAGGCCAAAGTTTGTTTGTAAGCATGTTTCATTTCGTCTGTCAGAAAGTTGCCTAACCCCCTACTTTCTCAACCACTGAGAGTACAAACATATTTTTACCAGTACATATTCATTTATTCATTTTATGGCTTCATATTTTTCTTTCCAAATTGTTTTTGAATGATATGTAGTATCTAAACAACAGGGCTGGTTTCCCAGATTCAGATTAAGGCTAATGCTGGACTTTCAAATGGTGAGTCACCATTGGTACTGCAATTTAATCCAAGATTAGGCTTAATCCATGTCTGGGAAACCAGCCCATAGTGTAGCTTTATAGAATAAAATAAATAGTAAACAAATTTGTGACACACCACACAGTTGCCGCTGACCACACCAAAGATATAACAACACGTATGCAGCTGGCAGTCACACTCTAATAGAGTGTACCAGGCTGTGATACAAAGCCAAGAGGAGATTTAGAGACCACCGCTGTGAACAGTAAGTTTTTACTGTATTTAAAGGCAAGTGTGCCTCATATGTGAGGAAATCATTAAGGTATTGAAGGATTATAAATATATACACATATACAGGCCGTGTGTGAAATCATAGGGGTAATAAATTGCTAGGTACTTGTTTTGTGTTTGAGGTCTCAGCTATTTCAGAGACTTTCCAGTTTAAACACTAGAAAAACCGTCTTCTGATGATGCATCTTGAAGGTGGGAATTCTCTGTGGGGTGGATTCTTGAGGGTGAACCGTTTAAATTAGTTTTTTTTCCTCTGGCTGGCTGATGCAGAAGGAGGCCAGTGCTGATAGAAAGCTGAATATCACATCTACATTCATTAGAATTCAACCAAAAAAATCTATTATAAGATTTTTTTTTATTACAATCGAAAGCAGTGAAAGTCAGGAGGAAAAAATATGGTGTTTGTGTGTTGCTGTGAGTCACCCTGTAAATGGTTAATTCAGAAGTGAGAGCCGGCCGGTTGTATTTGCCGGGAGTTTTCCAGACCACGTCATACGTCTTTATGTGTTACCATCACACATACAGGCTCAAAAAAGATCCAGCTCTATGGGCTGGTTGAAAGGCCTCAAATGCAAAATTAACATTGCACTGATGAAGATATGATGACAACAGAGGATGATTCCATCACATCCTCAGAAGACACGTCCTTCACCAAGTTTTGACTGAGTTCTTTTTGAATACTCTTTCAATGCACTCACAATCATCAGATTTATCCACTTGGGGGAGGGGCCTGAAGAACAACCCATGTTACAAAATCTTACATAGTGTAGCTTTAAGTACAGTAATGAAGAACATGTACTTTGTTACTATCTACCACTGTATTTACTGCAATACAATACAATAATGAACACCCATGATGGATGAATGGAAGTTACATGACTATATTTAACAATATCAACATCTCCAAATCCCCAAAGCTTATGGACAAAAATATGTTGCATTGTTAAAAATAGCAGTAATAGCAGCCATTGTGAAGCAAGAATTGTGCTTTTGTCCATTTTAATAGGTAACAGTATGTCATAGAGCTCATTCAGCTCAAGCAGAGGTTGACATTTAGCCATCGGAGTTGGGATACACTGGTTTAGACTACAGTGGGCCATTACTGACTATGTAAGGCATAACTGTGGTCTATACTGTGTTTGTAGTGTGGTGCATTAATATGACATGCTCTTTACTGTACATCCGTGCAGGATCATCACTCGTCTATGCTGGAGTACCATGTTCCTGTAGCTCCTGGAGGTGTGGCTGACATCTTCGACCAGCTGGAGTCGAACAAAGCTGCTCTGAAGATCAAACACTTCTCAGTGAGCCAGACCACGCTGGATGAGGTGAGAAGTGGGAGAGATGTGACAAGAGGGGGAAAGTAGAAGCAATTGAAAAAGGGAAGAATAAAGGGGGAGGGGGTGTTAGAGGGTGAAAGAGTGAGTGACGGATGGATGGATGGAAGAATTGAGTTAGGGGGGTGATTTCCTCACTCATTCAAATATTCTGCTAGAGAGAGTGAGAGAGAGAGAGAATGAAGTCAGAAGAAATGAAAGATGTGAAAGAGCAACTGTGGCACTGAAATTGACAGAAGTCGTATCTTTTGTGCCTCTCCAGGTCTTCATTAACTTCGCTATGGGAAAGGTTGGCACAGAATCGCAGGAAGTCAGCGAGGCCTCTGACTCGGACAGTCTTGACACATTCAGTACTGTTGACACATAGGAAGACACTGGCGGATTGCACAAAATGACAAAAAAGGACTATGGAAAATCGAATAGAACGTTAAACAAGTTAATATAAGCAACTCATGAAGACTTGATCCTGGTACTGTAATTTTTAGAATTAAAAAATAATCAGTTCATTTATATTATTTTATTCTCTTTAAATGACATAATGAAGTATCTAAAGCACCTTGTGAGGAATTAACCTGCTTCTCGGGTTCTTTCTGTGTGTCTGTGCATCTAAACCGCCAGTATACACTTCTCAGGCCAAGAATAATTCTCTAATATTTATAAAATTTAAAACAAAAACTTAAATAATGAACAAAATCATGAGGGTGAATGTTCTCAAGTAGCCAAATGTATGTTTCTCCATGTTAGGTTAAAACCTTTATTACTTCTATAGTTCTGTATACTGTTCTACTGCAAGTGTGATTACTTCTCATGACATTGTTACAATGTGAAGTGTCACCTGAGGCACTTTAAATGCTAGAATATTTGCATTGCTCAGCCTTAGATCCTGCTTAAATCTGCAGAGGGTTTCTCTTTCCTCAACAAAATCTTTTTTGTTGGTTCTATTGTTTACTGTGACCCGTCATAAAAGCCTGAAGAACGCAAAAACAGATGACCACAATTTGGTTACTCAATACGACATTAACTATGCATGCAGGGTGAGGATCTCATCCTTTCATACCGCTGGCAGCAATGACGCAGCGCTACTTCTGAGGTTGGTATAAATCACAAAGACCGTTTTGGCTCCGAGATATAAATGATTCTTCAATGTCTGCACATCTTCATTCTCATTAATATTTCCTCTCAAGGCACATCTCTCATGTACTGAATATTTCATCAGCTCTTTCCTCCGACTGCTTCAAGGCACGATTCCTCTTTTTAAAAATGTACTAAACTTATTTTTACATTAAAGCTATTTTTCAAATGCAGATGTTCAGTGCTTGTCTTATTGTGCGTGGAACAAGTGGCTCTTCACATCAGAATCAAATCAGAACCGGCCCTTGTGAAAAATGAAATTAGTCATTATAGTGCCATTGTCGGCAGTCGAGGGTAAGGGATTCACTGAAGGCTGTTTTGTTGAGAGCGAAGAAGCAAATTATGTGAGCTATTATTTTACTTCATGAACTGCTTGAAATCAGTACTCGAGGAAGAGTGAGTCTTATTTGTATTTAAGGCTACGCATATTAATACTCATTTTCTCCTATATGGGCATTATGAAGCAAACACAGACACAAATATAAGGGAAAATGGAGAAAATACCCCCCTCTAGTACAATGTTCATTCACTGTAAAGCTACAGCATATAAGTTCAGGTGTTCAGCATGTACAGGATGATGATGCATACACCTAAACATAGTTAAGGGAAAATAAACTAAAACAACAGCAAATTTTGTTTTTATAGCATAAAAAAAGAAAATCTTTAGAAGGGGCATCTTGTCCCACTATTGAGGTAAGAAACACCACCTCTGGTGAATCTTCTAGAGGGGTTTCTTTCCACAGGTCACCAGTCCATCGTACACTTAGGGGCAATTTAGCTTGTCCAATTGGCTTGACTGCATGTCTTTGGACTGTGGGAGGAAACCGGAGTACCCGGAGGAAACCCACGCAGGCGCAGGGAGAACATGCAGACTCCCCAACCTTTCAATATATTTAAAATGAAATTGAGGCACAGATCAGGCTGTAACTCTGCCAAGCTGCAAAACTCACATACTCATCTCCAGCAAGATGTCCAAAAAGGCTGCCTAATTGCTAGTCACTGAAATTCCACCCAGCAGCTTTGTGTTTTTATGATGAAAGTCTGAGTAAATAATATTTTGGGGGCAGTATGTTGGAGGGTTGGCTCTACATTCCTGCAAGACTCTACATTTTCAAAAAATAAAGAAATAAATAATAAAAAAAGATTTCTTTTTTTTTCTGATGCAATATATTCCAGGACTGTGGTGAAAATTCATAATTAATTAGACCATAGCCATTCAGCAAAAACGTGTTGAGATTAGATTTGGCCTCATCATTTAATCAGGATATAAAATATCTATAAAAATATGTTGCCCTGGAGAGCTTTGTTCCCCAAAGTTTTATATGTATATATACATACATACACATGTATATATACATATTTACATATTTATATGTACGTATATATGCACACGTGCATTCATTCTCTCTCTCTTCCTCCTTCTCTCTCTCCCTCTCTCTCTCTCTCTCTCTCTATATATATATATATATGTATATATATGTGTATATATATATATATATATATATATATATATATATATATATATGTGTATATATATATATATATATATATATATATATATATATAAAAAAGGGAGAGAGAGCCTATTACTCTATACATAGAGTTGTGTCAGTGAAGAAGCGCTTTTAAAGATGAATGCTCCTTTATTTAACAAGTACCACTGCTGAAATGGCTGAGACAGCAGGCCGGTCACTTCTAGCCATACACTTTCATCTGACAGTAGGCACTAACACTGCACCAACTACCCCACAGCCCAGCACAGAATAGCACAAACACATACCGCATGTTAAACACAGAATAGCGCAACACACATGCACATAATTAAGCTAATCACTACAGCTCACAATCATTTCTACACTCTTTGTCCATTTTATCAGCTCCACTTACTATATAGGTGCACTTTGAAGTTCTACAATTACAGACTGTAGTCCATCTGTTTCTCTGCATACTTTGTAGGCCCCCTTTTACCCTGTTCTTCAGTGGTCAGGGTGGGTATTTGGGTGGTGGATCATTCTCAGCACTGCAGTAACACTGACGTGGTGGTGGTGTGTTAGTGTGTGTTGTGCTGGTATGAGTGGATCAGACACAGCAGTGCTGCTGGAGTTTTTAAACACTGTGTTCACTCCCTGTCCACTCTATTAGACACTCCTACCTTGTTGTCCACCTTGTAGATGTAAAGTTAGAGACAATAGACAGTGTGTTGGTCATCCTCTAGTCCTTCATCAATGGTCACAGGACGCCGTTGGCTGGATATTTTTGGTCGGTGGACTATTCTCAGTCCAGCAGTGACACTGAGGTGTTCATTTTGATTATTCATACCATACTTATCACAAACTTTCTATGCTTTATTCCAATTTATGTTCCCAAATTTGTTTGTTTATATTTAAGAATGTCAGCTTCCCCAATAAAAAGATCATTTCTTATAACATCCATATCATTATTTGTGGTACAGCATCGAAAATTATAGCATATTATTTGGTTGCGCCTGGCACTTCCGATGTATTAAGAAATTCACTATATTTCAATAAAAAGCCATCAAAAAATTATGAGAATAATACATTTTTAGATTATGTTGTTGTTAATGACGCATCCTTTGTGAACCAATAGGATTGGCGGGTTTTGGGCCCCGCCCTCCCCTTTTGCAGCTGGCGGGAAACAGCGGCAGCGTCAACACGGAGGACAAACAAGTTTCAGCAGTTTCCTCTGCGCCTCCGCCACCAAAGAGCATTAAGACTTTATTATTCACTTATAATGGGTCTCGATCCCCCCGCAGAGTCAGAGAATGGCGCTTGGGAGAAAACCCGAGAGGCGGTGGCAAATTTCCGAAAACTGCTGCTCTGCTCTAAATGGTAAGTTTATAGTCTGGCGTTCGCTGAGAGTTTTAGCCGCCTGTTGTGGACGAAATGCATCATGGGTATGGTAGTTTTTCGCCAGGCTTCCTCAGCACTGACTGCGTTGAAATGCTTCCCGTTCAAAACTACAAAATGCGAATTTTTTTGTGTTCCTAGCTTCCTAATGCTATAAGCAGCAAAACAAAATAGTATTAGCACAACTTTCTTACTCTTACTGTTTTGTAAGCTCTCTGAAAATCGATGTTTCCGATGACATTGTTTTAAGCCGTTTGTAATGTCTGTAATTGGTGTTTTAAACGAGACTGAAGTTTCCTATTCGCCAGCTTCTTGTTCGAATTTTCCCGTTCCACCTTAAACGGTGCAGCAGTCACAGTGAAGCCTCAGGCAGCAGAACGTAACTGCTGCGCCTTTTAAGGTGGAACGGGAAAATCCGAATAAGAAGCTGACTTTGGCTTCGTTGTTGTTAAGACTTTAGAAACAGACTAAAGGGTAACGCCCACTTCAAGATCAGCGCTTTTACAGCAAACACTGGTTTGAGTGATGGCCTGAGTTGAGGTGAGAGCTTTGTTTGTTTATACTGTCTCTGTCATGAAACATGCAGTTAGTCTGTGTTCTGTAAAGGGGAATTACAGTGATTTTTCAACAGTTCTGCATAATCCAGTAACTAAGATGTAAACAAAGTCATTTAGAGTGGTTCAGTGTGAAATGGTTCATTGTAGAGAAACCTATTGACTCTCATGTCTTGTGGTGGTGACAGGAACCAGGGGTCACAGTGTCTGCAGCACAAATATAACTAGCTATTTTATTTACTATCCAAAACCACCAGTGAACCTACACGTGTCTTCTGAGTTTTTGTATGCAATGTTAATAATCATATTATCAGTGTTATTAATCTTATTGCCTTACAACAGCCTGCGTATACCTCTCTGCCATGAATGCATTTAAAAAAATATGTTTTAGGACAAAATTCTTATGTCAGAACTGTTGTCAAACAATGCATCACGTGTCACACAGTGTGTTTGTCATCATTTTATGCTATAGCTTTCTGTAAGGTAGCTTCTAGGTGCATTAAATGCTTCAGATGCCTGGTTTCTGGTATCACTATCGTGAACAATTCTAAGTAAGCAGGTTTGTCTAGAATGGAGCACTTCGCATCAAACCACCCTGAATGGCTTTGTTTACATCTTAACCATTTAATTATGCAGAAATTTTGAAGAATTGGTGGAATTCCCCTTTAAGTACAAATGATTTCTATGGTTTGCCTAGAAAAGCATGTTGTAATGTAATTTGTCACGATAATGATAAATATTATCACACTGCCCACCCCGTAGTGTGTGATATGATTCCTGTAGGACCCTGTAAGTGTATCTAGTATGATTAACACTGTAAAATGTGT